TTTACTTCTCAAAGAACGCCAAATCATCGTAATGATTGTTATCACACATTTTCACTTGTTATCATGAAAATAAGGCTTTTTATGTCACATCTCATCTTTGCCATTGTTCAAAACTCTTAAAAACTTCCCCGAATTGTTTGTATGTAAATCATTTTTAATACTTTTGTCAACATCTTGTTGATGTGAGTACGTAATTAGATAAGTTAAAAGATAAATTCTACAACACTTTTGAATACTCTGCGAAGTATTCAAGGTGATACTAAATATATCCGGAATATTCCATCTTATCGTTTTCATTTGGAAATGTAGCTGAAAATATAACAAAATGTAACATAAAAAGTCTTCAATTCAAGATCTTTCAGATCAAGATTTTTCATTTCTATTCCTGCAAAAATAAAGCTGCAAGCTTGGCTGCAAGAATAAGAAGTTCAACATTTTTAAAGTTTTCCATGGAAATTTACGTCATTTATTTAAGAAGTGAATTATCAGTGAAGGTTAAACAAATAAACTCGTTGAATAAGATGAATGAAAAGTAATAAAACTTCTTTTTTTACTTCTCAAAGAACGCCAAATCATCGTAATGATTGTTATCACACATTTTCACTTGTTATCATGAAAATAAGGCAATGTCAAGTTTTCAAATGAATTTTCAGTTCGTATTCACCTTTAAATACGAGCAGAAATTGAATTTCTCGTCAGTCCTGAGAATAATTCAGAAAGTTAAAAATATGAAAGCATTCAAAATACTTTGCGTAAGATAAATTCTTCTTTAAAATTAATTAATTATTCATAGGATTTTTTCAAACTACCAGGTCGTTGCTGCCATCATTGGATGTGCAAAGTCGGATACATTTACTGTTGGAGAACTGATAGAAAATCATCGTATTGGTAGAATTTTGAGTGTATCTGATGTCTGCTTAAGTAGCAGTAACAATCAGAGGCGATACTGCAATGGAGCTGAGGCAGATGCTTGCGATTCAACTGGATTTATTGTAATGATTCAAATCATTTCTATTTTCAATTAAAATCTTAATTTTATATTTTTCTTTTTTATCATAGCAATGCAATGGAGTTGGAAATGGCTTTCTGGTAATTTTTAATTAATTTAAATAATTTTAATGAAGCTTTATAATATCATCAACAGATTGAATGTGGTGGAACTACACCTTATTGTGAAGATGATGGAAATGGAAATGCAAAATGTTCAGCTATTCGTAATTCAAACTGTGGTCCACGACCAGCAAATTATAATTGCATGAGTAAAGGCGTTTTCCCAAATCCCTTAAATTGCAAGAGTTACTACCATTGTTATGATGATGGAAATAGCATAACAGCACAAGAATATCAATGCAGTAATTTATACGTTTTCGACCCGAGTGCTGTAAATGGTCAATACTGCCGATACACTCGCAATGCTTACTGCACCACTGTCAATTGCAATAATAATGCTGGTAGAAATCTTGTACTGTCTTATCGTTACTTCCCTGCAACTCTTGGACAATATATTGCGTACTGCCAAAATGGCAACCAACCTCCACTTGTGTTTAAATGTGAAGAAGGTTACACAGGAGATTTGAGTACGCTACCAGTTCAGTGCAACATAAATTGTCGTTCAGTAGGAAGATTTGTTTATATTGGCGATGAAACGAAATATTACGAATGTGTTCGCGCAACGAGAGGTTACACGGCAGTCGTACAAGAATGCTTCCGAGGTCAAGTCTTTAATCCAACTACAAAAGCATGTGAAGTCAGTTTGGTTTCATCAACAACTACAACTGAAACATCAACGGGTGGGTCTACAACGACTGATACATCTGGAACTACAACTGTATCAGGTGGAACTACAACTGTATCAGGTGGAACTACAACTGTATCAGGTGGAACTACAACTGTATCAGCTGACTGTGCTTCGACTTGTTCTGGTGAGAGTTTCCCAGGCAAATGCAATTCGGAATGCGCTTGTAAAGATGAATGTACTGGTGTCACTAATGAAGCTGAATGTACCAACAATTGTGTTGCCGAAAGAGAGTGCAAATCCGGTTGTGCTGGAAATGCTGATCCGAATGCATGTGAAACCAGTTGTAAAGATTTTCTGAATACTTGCACAGGCAATTGTGAAGATAGTGGCACTCCTACTCCTTCTTGTGAACTCGAATGTGCAGAAACGGAATGTTACTATACTTGCCTTTCATTTACAGTAGAAGCAGACATTGAAAAATGTGCCACTGAATGCGATAACTTAGTTTTGAAACTTTATCGCTAATTTTTTTAGAATTTGAATTTCTTATTGCCTTCAAGAAAAATGTATTTAAAGGAAAATAAATAAACGAGCATATTTTCACTTAAAGCGATATTTAATGTCTTTTCTTTCTATTAACGCTTTGTAAGGAAATATTATTAAGACGTGGTCATTATAAAATATATTCAAACATGAAAATTTATGAAGACACATTGCAGTGGCTGATGGCCAACTTAAAGGGAAAAGTCGTCAGGTGTTTGTCTGACAAAGACTCTTAGAATAGAAATCTTCTATGAATAATAATGACTTAATAAATAATGTTCTCATATGATAAAATCTCGCTTCAAAAAGTAATCTCAAATCTTAATGCTTATACTGGCAAGACAGATCTAATAACGACTAAGAAAACGATTGCGTCTTATATTCAAATTGAAGTATTTTAATTAAGAAAAATATGATGACAATCAATTAGCTTTCCTATAATTATTAATTAATATTCAAAAACTGAATCATTGATAAGACTCGTGATTTAGTAAAATAATTTTGCGATAATGTCTGACTTTCATACGAATTTGTACACACGGAAGGATGTTTATTTAACTATTTATACCCAAGGTTAAGACAACATTAGTTAATACTCTCTGTTGAATACATTCATCTAGTTATCTAAGCAGTTTTATAATGCTTATCGTATAATTTATTTCTTCACTTTATACCATTTTTGTGCTGCGCGATTCCTCGTATTTCCTTATCGCTTTAGGCTCGTCGAGAAGATATTAACATAAAATATTGCCATGATAATTTGTGTGATAAATATGATTTCTTGTCTGAAATATAAAAAAGATACACTTGGCAATTTCATCACCATTGTAGTCTGAAATTTTCAGCAAGTTTCTTGAACATGAAGGAAATCATTTTAACTGTGAAGAATTTAATTCATTTCCATTTTGAATGATTTTTTAATTTTTTCTTCCTACTTAGATAATACTTCTCTGTTCCACATGTACTTTTGCACAAAAGTTCATTGCTGGAGTGGAAACACCTAGTCGATCGGGGCGAGTAGCAAAAACTGCAATAGACGTTTGTACTGATACAAAAGTCGGCAACACATATTGTAATGATGACGATATTTGTGTTGCAACTGGTTTTATTGTAAGTTTAAAAGTTTTTTGACTTTACATTTATTTTAATGTAATCTCTTATAAAGCAATGTACAGGAGCTGGTGCAGGTATAGAGGTAAGATTCTGTCTAAATAAATTAATTTTGAATAAAATGAATCATTCATTAGTTTCCCTGTGGAGGTGAATTTGTCGGTTGCGAAGAAACATATAATGCCGCCGCACCTCCAGTAAAAAATGGTGACGCAAAATGTGCAACCACTCGACCTTCTGCATGTGGTGACCCAGTAGCAGATTTTCAATGCCTTGATGCTGGTATTTTTCCTGATCCACTAAACTGCCAAAAATATTTCTTTTGTTATGAAGATGGTGGTGATTTAACCGCCGTCGAATATACTTGCGAGAAATATTACGTATTCGATCCGAGTGGGATAAATAATGAATATTGTCGCCTAACAATCGGGCGACATTGCATAACAGCTGATTGTAACAATGAATCGAAAAATGTTCTACTTGAATATCCGTATTGGTCAGATGGCCAAATTGTGGCTATGTGCAGAGGAAGCAGTCCACCTCTTGTGACCCGCTGTGCAGAAGGTTTTGTTGCTAATCTCAACACACTTCCTATTGAATGTGAATTTGTTTGCAAAACTCCTGGAAATTTTCCTTACCCTGGAGACGATACTAAATATAACTATTGTTTCGCTGTTTCTGGCGGGTTGGAACATAAAGTCAATTCGTGCTTCCCAAATTATTATTTTAATCCAGGAACAAATGTATGTGAAGAAAAGACGGAAGAAACGACAGAAGCGGCAATTGGTCCTTAATTAATAAAAATTGCTGTTTAATGTATTCAAACAATCAAAGAAATAAAATCGTTTCCTAGATTTTTTTGCAATAAAAGTCTGGTTATTAATTAAAAAATGTCCATAAATATAAACCAGCCAACATTCCTAATTTAAAATATGACAGTTTATCTCATTAATGACGTCCGTAAATGTTATCTGAAATATTTTGTATCTTCAAAGAGATTTCTTATCTCTTTATCTTAATTATGATAAATCTTTGAGGTAAGTTGATAAATTTACATTCTCTGTTATAAATATTTCTATCATTAAATATTTATTTGAGCATCGTTAAAGTCATTATGAAGACAATTTTATTGTTATTGGCAGTTTTCACTGTTCAATCATTAGCACAATCGAGTATTTTAGACTGTTTCGCTGTAAGTATCAACGGAATAAAATATTAAGAAAGTTTAAAGTTTTTTTTAATGTCATGAAATGTATTTAAAAGCCTGTACTAGATAATGTGAATGGTGAAAGAGAAGATTTAGTGGAATGGTCACAGGATGTACGGGATACTACTGTTCGTTTACAAGAACAACGTCAACGATGCAATGATATTCCTCGTGATGGTAATTATTGTGAATGAACATGTAAATTTATTTTTTATCCAATTTTATACTTTAAACAGATCCTCCAACTGCTATTCAAGATCGAATAATTCAAGCATGTAATGCAGCATGGAGTGCTTCACTTGCATTCGAGTTGAACCGCCTTTTCACTGATTTAGTGGCAATAGATCCTGAATTGGCTGAAGAACTTCGAAGACAATCAGCAGATTGTTTTCCAATCCCAGAAGCCCCAGAAGCTATCGAATTGAAACGAAAATTGTTGAAAACATTAAACAGTTTTATGTAAATTGTTGAATATAGAAATAAATAAAATGAGTAGTTTAGAATTTATTTCCAAATAAATAAAATCTTATTCAGGTTCTTTAATTTTAAAGAAAAATTTAAAAAAATAATTCTTATTCTCCTTATGTTACATAAGCGCCATCTTTGTAAAAATGTTGTAACTAAAGTACCAGAGAACTTCCGTTCAAGCTTTTATTAATAGCTGATATGTATGTTAATTATTTCTTAAATGTCGTCATATGATAATAATTAGTTCTAAATATATGACCCCCCCTCCTCCCCTAAAACTTCAAGTTAAAGAAAAAACCAAAGGAAAAAATTAATTGAAATAAAGAATTTTATCAAGTGCAGTAAAGCTTTTTAAATCATGACAGGAAGATAAAATTATAAACATTTTTTGGAAGATTAGATAAATAATTTATTGGGTATTTAAAGACAGCACTCAGTTTCAAAATACTCACAGTAATAGCTGAAAATAGAAGAGTAAATATGAAGACTTTACTTCTTTTGGTAGCAGTTGTAGGATTGACACATGTAAGGATAATAAATTTTTCATGTTAACTTTACAAAGCTTTGCTGACCTTTTTTTTCATCATAAAGTTCAGTGCATCACAAGCTCCGGAAATTCCTGAAGATATTAATCTTGAAGAAGTTCTTGCATGTGTACAAGCAGGTATCGACGCTATACCTGATCAATCCCAAGCAGTAGCCGAATGGGCAGTTCAAACAGTTCAAAGTGTAATAGGCTTGGTTGAACAAAGAAGGAGATGTTTGGAAATGACAAATGATAGATTACAACAAGCTTGTATGGCTACATGGACTGCTTCAGTTCTTTTCGAAGCTAACAGATTGAGAAACGATTTAGCGATTTTACCCGACGAATCCACTGCTGCCATTTTCGAAGAACATTTCCTTGGTTGCTTTGGAGTTAGTCCTGATGATGTTCCTGCTTAAGGAAAAATTTGTAAATAATAAAATGACAAAAGTATAAAAAACTGCTTGATATTTCTTTACCTTTTCTTTTGAAGATATTTTTAGAAAAAATGACCGATACTTAAGTGTTGGTTTGAGTTATCAATTGATAAGAAAATTGATAATTAGTTTAATGTATTAACTCATTTGCGCAAAAAGTTTAATCACAATACGTTTTATCAAAAAAGTATCAATCACACATTGCTTAAAATTCCATTGTTTCGTTTGCTTTTGACTCTTTTTTTATATTTTTAGAGCGCTTTTCCGTGCACATATATTTTTAAAATATGTAAGTAATGTTAGTGAGAGTTCACAACGATTTGTTTACATTTGATTTCTAGCATTATTCTCATGTAAATATTTACATTATTACCATCATATTCTATGAAAAAAAAGAAAAAAAAGAGAAATAAGAAAAATTAATGATTCTTCATTTAATTTATGATTTCTTTTTTCGAGTGGGAATTCCAGTTTGGAAATTTAATTTACATGGAAAACTTCAATGTATTCATTAAAAACGGAGTAAGTAATGTTTGAACTTTGACAAAAACTTCAATTTATTTATAATTATTATATAATTTGAAATTACTAAACATTCTTTTCAACAAAATCGCACAATGTTATTAAATTTCTATGTTAATTAAAATTTAATTATTCTTTTCTTTGGTCATTGAACCTTCAGAAACATTTGTGTGAGCTTCAATTAGGATATTTAATATGTTCACCGTAGTACGTATTTGCAATTGGTGGTGTCACTGTTGGTGGGTACGGATTTGAGTTTGCAATTGATGTTTTGCATTCATTTGACATTAATATGTGTGAAGGCGAACTTGATGTAACGTTCAAGGCTCCTTGTTGAGCGTGTGCCATTGGCATTTGGGTCATTTTGAGATCTAAAAAGATGTAGAAAGAAAGTTAGATAAAAATATTAAAACAGAAACGATGATTGGGTTTTTTTTTGTCAAATACATATCAGCATACTCTCATTAGTCAGATCATAAATTATTTGCCGTTTCAAGTGGTTCTTAACATGCTAACGTGAAGAAAAACACTTTTTTCTTTTTTCTCTTTACTGCGATCATTTTAAAACTGGAAAGAACAAACTGTTGATGGACGATAACGCACACACTTTTAAAATTTTCCAGAGATTTTTTCTCAAAAATATTTTAGGAAATTGTCAAATAGAAATTAGGGCAGTGGATCGTGACAATAGTTGGAGTTTCGTGATTCTTTCGCAGTTCTGTAATCATCAATCTACACCTTCACATAAATAACTTACTTGAATTATCGTAGGTGTGATAATTTTGATAATTTCCATTATATTCAAGTACACCGGGCTGAGATGGAACATTTTGAGGTGGTGATGGATTTCTCTGATAGTCTGGCTGATATTGCCATGGAACTTCAGAGAAGCTTGAAGGGGCTGTGGGCACTGGAGGTGCCGATCCATAACTTTCATAAGGATATGGAGTTGGATAACAACTTTGAATGTCAGAAACGTTTATTGCTGCGGCTTCATAATTTGCAGGTGGATAAAAAGGCGTACTATTCGAGTAAGCTTTTATCTGCTGTTTTCTTCTAAATCCTCTTGGTCGACGACGTAAACTTCCTTCATCTTCAAACATATATTCAGCACTCGAATCTATCGTCCAGTAATGACCTTTGCCAGGCTTTCCACACTCTTTTGGTAGCTTCTTGAAACATTCATTTAAACTTAAATTATGACGAACAGAATTCTTCCATCCATTATAATCTCCATTAAAAAACGAATATCTAAATTTTCACGAGAAGAATAATTAAGAAAATTAGCGAATGGCCGACGGTTAAGCGAAAAAAAATTGAAAAACATTTTCACTTACTTTGATTGTAGATATTTATAAATTTCACTAAGAGTACGACGTTTTTGAGGTGAGTCCTTAATCGCCATGACAATCATGTTAATATAACTCATTGCTGGTTTTTCAGGTTTCCTTCCACCAGTTTTCTTAACAGTATCAACTGTTGTGCTACTCAATTGCTGCTCTACGGTATTTGAAGTAACAGATGGAGTTGAATTATTTTTGCAAGGCTCACTTTCACCAGCATTGTTATTATAGGAAGTTGTTGAACCACCAGGGTTACCAATTTTCATGTCGCAATTTGTATTTGAAGTTGTAGTTATACATGATACAGCCGACGATGAAGGAAGACCGGCGATTGTAGAAGCCGGCGATGAAATGTTGCTATGATTCTCTCTCATCATCATGTTCTCACTTTCCACATAATCCATCATCGTTCCATTCGAACAGTATTTGATGTTGGGAGTAGAATTTATATTAAATCGATTAATTAAAGATCCTGACGATGGGGTTAATGATGGTGGAACTGGCGATGATAATTTCATAGCATTGATTGAAGTGTCTAAATGGTGGGTCAAGTAAGGTACATGATGATAAGGCACTGAAGAAGATGAAATGTTTTCAGTGCTTGAAACTGGAGCTGATGATGCTAAAACTCCAACTGAGTATGGATAGCGATAATGACTGTTCTGAAGTTTTTCTTCGATGGCATATTTATGGTGAGGTGCTGAGAAATAATATTGTGCTGACGGATGATGTGGGTAGTTTGGGGAATGTCGATCATCAATGGGGTGATGATGTGACGGATAATTCTGAATACGATCATCGATTTCTGTTATGTGATAAATTGCAGGCTTTTCTTCAACTTCCGATTTTGGTTCAACGGCGATCATTTCACTTGATCCTATTGTTGTGATAATTGTTCGATTATCCTCCGCCATGTTGATTGGTACTGATGACGACGATATTAGCGATGGATTTGAATGATTTAAACTTGTATAGATATGAGAAGTTGCCATGTAAATTGGCGATGACGCTGATGTTCGATTTTCCATTTAATAAATGAAAAATATTCACTTCCACTACAAAATTCAATTTGAGCTTGCAAATGTTTTATTATTTATTTATAAACAGCTCTTAGGTCACTTAAGCACCGATTATTGGGCTTTCTTTCATTTATTTATTTATTCACCAATGTAAACGTCTTCACAATTCACATGCGTACAAAAAAGAAATGGAGAGAAGAAAGAAAACTTCAATATTCTTTTTTCACTAAATTAAGTAGGTTATCCAAAGGATAGTTTCTACGTCCGAACGGATTCAAATGTATTTGAATACTAATTAGAGGATTTCATGCATGAGAAGAAAAGATTGAAAAATTGAAATGAAATGAACGATGAACCGTACAATTGCTTGAGAAGCTGTGCATGGATGTGTGATTGTGTGTGTGTGGAAGAGAATGAAGATTTTTGGGGCTTGGTTTTCATTTGATCTTCGAAGAAATAATGAAGGAGATGATCGAAGAGAAGGAAATTTGCTCGCGTATGAAATAAATTAATTACCTTACAGCACTCAGTCGACATTTTGTTTACATCATTAGGCTCTTCAACATTTTTCTTCTTTCTCGGCTGAAATTCTATGATGAAAAAAAAGATTTAAATTCGTTATTTTCTTCACACTTATGACGTCAATTCAAGCTACCGAATAGTCACTTAAAAAGCAAATTTAAAACAGATTCTTATAATGAAAATTCATTGAAATTAGATCAACGCAATACTTAATCAATTTTATTCGCCCATTAGAAACACTAAATTTGCCTTTAAGATTACTCATTGTGATAATTAAAATTATATTAAATGCGGAAAAATGCTATTAACACCCTTTGAGGCATTAAAAAGATCTAAGACCTAGAAAATTATTTCAAGCTACACTGAAATTTGTTAATGGACGAAAACCACAAATATTTCTCAGATTGATTTAAAGATTTCTCAAAGAGGAGGCGGAGTCAATGAATTTTACATCTAAAAATACAAAATTTACTTCAACGAGATATTTCAGGAAAAATACGAAAATATAACATTGCTAACAGATATTTTTTGATCATTTCTGATGTGCTTCCTGACTTTATCATTCTGATTCATTCTGATTCAAGTGGGAGGAAATTGAGGAATGCGGACGATTAATAAGAAAGAATCATTCATTTATCTAACATAAAAGAATATCTTCTTGGAATTCACAATAAACGAAATATGACCTCGTGAGATTTATGTCGTTAAGAACGAAATTCATTACATTCCTGTACGATTCACCTACAATCTTGTAAGAAAACTACGATGAAGTTTACAAACTGCAAAGATATATTCCGATAGCACCAAAATATTTACAGAAAGCCATTGGATTTTCTAAATATTATTGTTATTATCAAACATACGAAAAGCGAGTGAAATTTTAATCAAACATTCAAGTCTGAAACATGATCAGCTGAGCTTGGAAAGTGGCTGCTGATGGTAATGTTTAAAGTGAGTCTGGTCTGGTCTGGTCTCGTCTGGAGGATATTTTTTTAGTTGTGTATTAATGTTTACTGAATTGTAGGCAAATTTACATTAAAGGGGGATTCCGTAAACAAAAAACGATGAGATTTTCACGCAAACCATTGATGATGATGATCAACTTATAAATATTTAAATTTTATCGTAAGCTTAGTTCATGATCGACTGTATATGTTCATAAATTGATCAGCTGATGATTTTAACGCATTTCAAGTGCAACAAGGCTTGAATTTTCGCACGATCTCATAAGCATGCTTTTTTAACTTAATCCTTAGCTTTCATTTTATTTTTAAAACCACAAGAATGCCAATGTTTATTCATGGTCTTAATGGATTGATTGATCTTCACCGAAAAAGAAAAAATCAACTTTGCATCTGACAGCAAAACCTCATCAACAGTAACACTTGCCAACAGCATGGAACGCTCGCTTTCTGGATGATTTCTTTTTAACTTTTGAATCTTCTTTCTCAGATATTTCGATAATGTAAACACAATACTTTTCTCTGATATTTAAGTCATATTTCCATTATTCAGCATTTTAATTAAAGTTTTCGTCGAAGATTCTTATTGCTTCAACTTTATTTCCGTTTGAAGATGCTTCGAAATTTAATTAATTTTTATTTTTATTACAGATCTTGTTCTTCGTCATCATTATCATCGTCTGACTCTAAAGAATTCCTTTGAAAGCCGCTTCCAGCATCTTCATTGCTTTCATCCTGTTTTTCATCGGCTTCAGTTTGATCAACTTCGTTTTGATCTTCTGGGATTTGTAGATATGTTTCTGGTGTTGTGGTTTTATATTTGGGCAGCGCTAACTTTGACAGAAAAGATCTTATTCTTGCAGCAGATTGTGGATACCACATATTGATAATCCTAGAATGAAATAAACATTTTTCACGTCATTCACATAACCAAATTTCTATTAAACCTACTGGTCAACAGGGTAACTTTGATCAACATTATCAAACATCAATTGAAATCGACAATAGATTTCTTGAGCACCAACACACCAAAAGGTTTTATCAATAGTAAAACCTTCAATCGCTTGACTTGCGAAAAATAATATTTCCTTTGTTCTGTAATCGATTCGATCTGATGGCGATTAAACAAAACATTAAAGTTATAAACACAACGCAATGTTATTAATTTTACCATCAGCATCTAAGTTTCTAGAATCTTTTGTTGTTGACTCAGTCTCAGTATTATCTCTGAGTGTTGGAATGAAGAACAAAAGTCCAATAAGTGCGATGAATTTTATAATTTTTTTCAGTACTATAAGTTTCAACAGGACTTTTCCTGTTTTCAATAAAAAATTTTTATCACTATGTTTATCAAACACCCAAAACGATGGCTCTTCTTCCTTTTCTTCCTCTTCCTTATGCATATCTTCATGATGAGTTGTCATTGCAGTCATTGATGGCATGTGCATCATTCCTTCTTCCTTATTCCATTCTTCCAATGTTGGGAATTTGTCAATTGTATGAACACGCTGACTAAGTGAATTTCCATCGTAATAAATTCCATTGTAAGGTAATTCATCGAGTTTTGATGTTTTTTGATTTGGAGATTTTTGAAATGGATTAATATTTTGCAACACGTTGTATAAAAATTTAAAATAATCCATTGTTCTTGGTTCTGACAGTTCTTTAGTGACCTTTGCACTGTAGCATATCACGGACATTGGGCAAAAAAGAACGTGAATTAGTAAAAACTTCCACATACTAAAAATACTTCTTGACGATTCAAAATCTTGAATTAAACTATGACATTTTTGATGACTGCAGTCATAAGAAAGTTTTTTCTTTTCTAATGAAATTGGTAGATATAAAAGCAGCAAATAATTGAAATTTACAATAAAAAGTTATCAGATCGAAGCAAGATTGTTTCGCAAGAAAACAAAGGAAAGACACGAGATGAAAATTTGAAAGATTTATGAATCATTTAAGCTAAAACATTGCCGATATTTGTTTCTTTCAATCATCAAAAGGATTTCCTTTATTTCGGTTAAAAGTGAAAAATATCAATCAAAGATCACTTGTAAAATATTTTCTCTCACTTTGAAATTCCGCTAATATTTTCTTATGAAATTGAAAGGAAAAATTTTAGGCAATTTCCATATATCTTTTCATAATCAGTGTTGGTAGTTGAAAATGAAGACATAAATCATTTTGCAGAAATTGCGTAACACTATTTGAAAACTTACCCCACTTCTTCGTCATGACATTAAGAAAAATCTTTAAAATCTCTTTGTTTACATATTTATGTCTTTCGATTTTTTTTCTTTCCTTTCCTTCTCTTTTCGACACATAAACAATCTTATTTTCCAACATAAGATCGCACGCCAAGCGTTGAAATAGATCAAAGATTGAGACAGAGTAGGAATTTTCATTCATTCATTAATTTTTTGTTTTCTGTTGAAGATTAAAAACGCGCTTCTTCAATTAGATCTTTTGTAGTTGAAGTTTTTTCTCAATCATTGATGGAACATAACTTTCAAGCAATAATTCAACTCGCATGGATTTTATGATGAATGAAATGCTCGAGTTTTCAGCAAACGATGTTTCATGTCAATAAACTCGTGAAATTTTACATCGTGAATTGAGTTCATTTTATCAATTATATGAAGGAAACGATCTGCGTCCGTCGATGAAAGCTTCGAATTAAAATTTCCTTTCGGTAAGTCGTTGATGTTGGGAATTGAGATATAATCCAGACATAACTTGACTTTTGGATTTTCTGAAATTACTCCAAAACCAAATTACAAGTGTGGAGAAAAGATATAGAAACTGAACCTGAAACACCATGATCTCCATGTTCGTTAAGATAAACAAATGCCTCTGATGATCGTAAAATAAAAACGAACCGTATTACTTGATATGTAGCATAACAAAGTTTCGAAAGGAATAAAAGACTAGCATTTAAGATATAAAAAAGAAATAAAAGTTTGTGAAAAATCTTGATTTCTTATCTTGTGTAGAATTTGTTTTCTAACTAAGCTTAAATAATTTAAAGTTTATGATGATTTATTGACACTTTAGACGAATGTCGCCATTTTATTGCCTTTTAATCGCTCTGCATTTGAATTATATACAAACGTAAAACATTTCAAGATACATCTATTAAAGACTTCATCTATATTGAAAATATTTCTTTTTCAAATTCTCAATGAATCATCTCAAATGAACGCACAAAAACAGTCAGCAATTTGCTGACCTAATTTCCTTTAAAAACATTTCACCTACCACAGCGATCTTCTGTCAAATAATTAATTTATGGTTTAAAAACTCGTAAAAATATTGTGACATTTAACCAAAAGATACTCAAAAATTCTTCTTGTCTGGTGTTAGTTATCCATTCATCACAAAAATATGCAAATATGAGTTGAATGTACTTAATGCTTCAAATATTTTGGCGCCATAGAAGATCACTTAAGGGTAGAAGTGTCCACTGATTGAAAGAAAGAAGGAAATGTTTCTTCTGTCATCGAGTTTTGTATCTGTCCCGTAATTTGACCACCAAAGAAAAACTTCTTTTCTATGCCATAATAAATAAAAAAAGTCAAACTCTAAGGAGTAGCAACAAGCAAGTGCTGCTGATGTTATTATTGAAATCGATATTATTTCTCATAGAACGAAAACACACAAAATGAAGTTCAATAAAACGATGATCTCGTAGCCATTCAACAACACATGGCAAGTTGATGTTTCATGTGTTCTCCGATGATCATCGGCCGGCTCTGTTTGTAGTCACTTTGTAGTCTCAAACACTAATTTGTGATTGAAATGAAGAAAGGAAAAATGTTAAGAAAACATTGTCTCGAGCTTGTTTGGGTGGTCTTTTAGTTCATGTTGAACCTAGAAACGAATTCACCCTTACTCGCATTTAACAACCTTTTGCCCATCCACCACATGCAACAACATAGTTTCACTCTTTTAATTGTTTTTTGTTTTCATTCAGACGAAATCAGAGGCAACATGGAAGCAATAAAGAACTGTAAAAATGCTAGACAATTATTTATTTTTCGACAATAAAAAGTGAACTTTATCACCACATATTGCAGCACATGGAAAACCTCGAGATATTTGTTATATGTTAGAAAATGAAACTTCTTCGTTGTATTTATTTGTTCAAACAACACCCAGAATCACGCTAATGTGAAGCGATCTTTAACATTTTATTTTTTATGATGAATGCGAAGGAGATGAAAACTTTTTGTTTATTGTTTCACTCAGAATGGTAAAATATGAATAATAAATTGTTTTCAACAGACAAATGAATTTGATACCAAACATATGGGGTCAAAAGTAAAATTAAATCCCAACTATGCACTTGAATCTCTTCACAGTTGTAAAGACGATAACAACATTTGGTGAATGAAATTCGTTTACATCTTGACGAATGGTTTCAAGGAATTCAAAGTTATTCTCCAGGGAAGATCAAGTTTCTAATTCGTTGAAAGATTATACTTATTTAAACTTCTATAAATTCATCCAAACTCATTTTCTTATTTTAAATATTTTAAGTGACGAAAAGATTACGAAAAAGTGAACTTTTTAAATATTTATAAGTTGATCATCATCATCAATGGTTTGCGTGAAAATCTCATCGTTTTTTGTTTACGGAATCCCCCTTTAATGTAAATTTGCCTACAATTCAGTAAACATTAATACACAACTAAAAAAATATCCTCCAGACGAGACCAGACCAGACCAGACTCACTTTAAACATTACCATCAGCAGCCACTTTCCAAGCTCAGCTGATCATGTTTCAGACTTGAATGTTTGATTAAAATTTCACTCGCTTTTCGTATGTTTGATAATAACAATAATATTTAGAAAATCCAATGGCTTTCTGTAAATATTTTGGTGCTATCGGAATATATCTTTGCAGTTTGTAAACTTCATCGTAGGCCCGACTTCATTTCTATTGACTCAACGAAACATAACGTAAACTTTAACACTACAATACAACAGTAAAGTGCTGATGCTAAAAACCTAACATAAAGTTTGTCGCTAAGTGTGATTTTAACTCTCGTTGTTCTCATAATATTCATAGTTTCTGTTTCAAGATAAAATTAACGAAGCGCTGTCATAATAAAGTTTTAAATTTCATTCCATATAAATACGCAGAACTGATAACATTTTAAGAAGTCGACAAATATTGTTTCAAAGTAACATCATATTTCATTCCCGAAAACGAAAACCGTTCAATGTCCAAACTTGCTAAATAAAATCACGAAACTTTGAATATTTTAATCTGGGTGGAGCTTGTGATGAACTAATCGAGTGAAAATTATGAAAGTATTTTCCTTAAGCTCCACCTCCATCGAACTATGCGATGATACAATGAACCTAAAATAATTTGAATGAATAAATTTATGAAATCATTTTAAAGTTTAATTTATTATGTTAGCAAAAATGTTTTTATTTCCGAAACTTTTGTCACATTCTAAAAATCTATCTAAAATAATTTCAATAATATTGATAATACCCTCATTCGAATGCTCAAAAATAATTTACTTAAACTCTTTGAATAAACATTTCATCACAGATTTTAATTAGATTTATTTCATGTTCATTCAGTTTGAGTTTCGAACAATTTTAGGCATTTTTCCCCGTGATAGTAAAGGTGAAACTTCTTTCTTGAAATGCGTTTGGACATTTCTTTCGCCGAGATTTATTTCGGTTTCATCCTTATGCGACATTTTTCTTGCATTTACGCAGCACATGATGAATGAAATAATGCATAAAATAAGACCCAAGGCGAACAAAATTATTCCAATTATTCTGCCTATCCAAGGAATTGTCACAGCAAACTTTATCATTTTAGCCGTCTTTTCGTCCATTTGATATTTCTGCTCAAACCACATAACTGGCATGAATACTCGTCGAACTTCTTGAAACAATGAAATTTCTTCAATCGGTTGAACTAAAAGATTTGCTTGGAATCTTATCGTTACTTCCAATGGTGCTCCAGTCATCTTAAACTTAATAATTAAGAAACTTTTATTAATAGATTTGACATACTTACAGGTTCAATTGTAAAATACGATTCATGTTTATCTTTATTTGGCGCAAGACCTTCAACTGCATTCAAGTAAAATGGATCAGCTTTGAAATAATGAGGGAGAGACATAAATATTGGAGATCCATAACGACATGCTGATATATTCATGACGCCAGAATGAATAGTTTCACCACTATTTGAATAACATAAATTTTCTGGGAATTCACTTCCATTATTTAATGCCCTGGCGCCACAAGTGAAACGATAGCCATCCACTCCATGAATCTTCACATCAGTCTCGTAATCAAACGGTATCGATCGACACATGTCTGGCATAAACAAATTGATTGAGTCTTTCATTCGATTTGGAGGGAAAAGTTCGCCAGTTGATCCATGAAGTTTTGAACATTCACCAGAATAGAATTTGTTGTAATTCATGTGATTGTAATTTTGTATTGTTCCGAGTTTTGAGATATCATCTGAGCCGGTGTTCACATTGTAATCCCCACTAAGCTGATCCGTGTCATTTCTCTAAAAAAAGAATATTTAATAATAAACTTAGTAAAGAAATTTTCATGCTACCAAATAAAACCATCCAATTCTATCATAAGGAATGTCTTGAACATCGAATCCTTCAATTAAACCTTCACGACCCATCAACACCATGTTGTCTTCATAGCCTTCAAATAAAAGTTCTCTTGCTGTCTTCGAAATCGCAATTGTCTGTTCATAAACATTTAATCCTAAAGAAATGTGCTTCTTTTTGGTATATTCCATGTTGAGTGATTGTGCCGATGCACCAACAGCAACAATGTTGAGTTGTGTAATTACATCATCAAGTTTTCCTTTACTTCCATCGTCATCGAAATAGAAAGTGCTAAGAGTACGATAACTCACTGTTGCATTTGCATCGTTAAATTCGACGTTCGTCTTGTCACGTATCTCTCTAAACCGATACGGTCCAATTTCTTTCAATTTTGTTTTCTTCGTTTCATCATGAAATTCATCAGAATTAGTCCAATTAAAGAAATAAACATCTAAGTATAATGGCACGCTTGGCTTCTTCCATTCATCAAAAGCTTTTGCGGTTGGACTGAGCGGTAGTTTCTAAAAAAACCATGAATGGAATAATGTTAACAACAAATTCAATTTATTCATTCTTAAACCATGACCTACCTTAGTCAACATGTGATTGAATACAAAAGGCCAACAGATAGCTAAGGTTATGCCAATTAGAATCAGAATAATTCCAATGTATCGAATAACTAACTGAGATCTGCACTCGTTTGGTTTCATTTTTCAACTAAGCAAATCTCTTTTACTTGGAAGTATTAAGCAGCACTTTTGCTTTCAATCTGAAGAGAAAATCAAGCGAAAAGCTTATGAATAAGTGAGAAGAGGTATTGAGATAAAAAATAATGAGAAACAAGTTTCAAACGCTATGCTAATCTTTGACTAAGATGTGCTGCTCTTAAACAGAAGTCATTTAAAGTCGTAAAATATTTACCACATATCTATTTAAATATTATTCATCAATATAAAGCTAGAGTGAAAGACGAAATACGTCACATCATGACAATTGAATTTGGACATATTTCCAAGAATGATTTGTTGATAATTGTTTTAGAAGATATTTCACCTCACTGTATTTATTTTAAATATTTGATGATAATTATCATAAAATCGTTCATTTGTTCAATTTGAAAAGGAAAAAGATAATTTAACACATGGCATAGTTTATGTAGACATTTATTAACATGCATAAAAACATAATTTGCCGGTGTATCAAAATTACAATTCAAGTGGAAAATTACGTAAAGATTTAGATATGAGAAAATATTTGCATTTGCACATTTCAATTGAATTTAAGAGGGAAATTTTCTCTTACAAGTTATTGTTTCTATAATAAGTTTTTAAACGGAGAGTTCCGAAGTACTTATTTGATGAATCTTGTAAATAATCACATGAATTCTTTAATATCTCTATAATTGATTGTGTTGAGGTTTTGATTTGATCATTACGATTGCAGTTTGCAGGTAAATTTTTTTTATTGAAATCACTTCAGGGCACATAGTTGTTTAATTAATAGCATGGAGTTCAAGTTGTAACATTAATTTCTTGCCGAGGTTTGATCGATTAGATTTGAGATCAATTAATATGTTAAACCGCAATTCGCAATAAGTGAAGTTCTAAGAAAAGTTAAATTGAGAAAACTTCTTTTAAATAAAATAAATTTAGACATAAATCTATTTAATCACTCGTTAATAAGACATCTTAATAATACTTATGAATAAAAATCTGGGATAATCCATAGTTACGCATCGACACATTTAAACACTTTAAGAAATAAAAAAGTTTCAAGTCATATGAATAAAATTTTAATAATCAGCACAAAGCTCATATGTAAATATTTTGTTTGTTTTCAATTTAAAAGCTAAACACGAACTGGTTGAAAATTTTTCATGAAAGAAAAAAAACAATTCACAGTGAATATAAAAACCATCGTAAGACTTTACGAGTACAAAGCTTTGAAGTTTATTGAGTTAATTAAATTACCAGACAGTTCAAGAGATCAATGTGAAAATACTTGTTCAACTTCACTTTTGATGTCAATTTAACTTTCATGGAATCGTTACCTAATCTTTTGAATATTTACTTGTTTAATAAATCCAAACTATTTATCAATATTTAGCTATTTGTTTCGATCCCTTTATTGATTTTATATTCTGCTAGCTTTTATTGATGAGTCAATTGTCTGATATTTGATTTAATTCGAACAGAACTACTTTTATACTTGCATGGTTTTATTATTTTTGATTTGACTACTTAAGAGAGCGATCACATAAGCGATGTTTCTTGCCGCAAAGATAATTTCAAACTGAATGAGTCGAGTTGAATTGAGCGAAACTCTTGATAAGCTTTTTAAGGTATCGATTCTCATCTACTACTAGTAGTAGCACACTCTTGATGGCATAAATATGAATACTCATAGATTCATTATGACATTACAGTTTTCATTAAATGCAACATTGTGCACTTCTTAATAAGGTTAAATGATAAATGTAAGAAACAAAGTTCATGAAAAGTTTTTTTACGTAAAACTTTAATTGATCGATGAAAAAAAATAAGCTTGAACGTCAATTTGCTACATTTTTACATGTTAAAAATCTATTAGTTAATTAAATTTGTTGATTAGAAAAGTCAGAATAAAAGTTAATTTGACACTTCGTTGTATTTTTTGTTTTTTATTTTCATAGTCAAATTGAATTGAATGAATTGAAAATTAATGAAACGATTGACAGAGCTGTCAATATTAATGTTAATTATTTAAGTTGTGCAATAAATCTATCTTAAATTGTGAGGGAAATTAACTTAATGGATATGTTGGTCATTCTACTGTCATCACAAACTTAAAAATCTTTTCCCAAATCTACTCTTAAACAATGTAAAATGAATTAAACTTACACTTGACATACAAAAGTAATCGAGTTTAAACTCAAAGTAATCATTTTTTATCCTTCGATATGATCTTTATTTATGATTAAACATTTCCGATTCAAATCGCTAGATAATTAGAAGAAAAAAAGCAATTTAATATCTAATAAATCGATTCAATGTTATGGACAGTGAAAATCAATTAATTTTGTTAATTATCACGAATCGTTTGAAGACATCCAATTAATCATCGACCAACTTTTCAATGATTGATTGGAGTTTTCTTCTAGCTTAATTTACGTTATCAGTTATTCTCAAGGCTTTAATTAGTCTGTCACTGAAGCTTGTCGAGTAGTCAAGATGCTAGAAAAGTTAATTTTGATCATCACTAATTTGTTCGGAGTCAACTTTGGACAAAGAATTTTGTCCATCAAAATCACGTGCATTTTTCTAATCGTTCAATTGTCTGTTGATTCATACACAGCTTCATTATTTTGGGTGGAATCATTAAAATATTACAAAGATCAATATCTCTTTCTTGAAATTTATGAATACATGGTTCCAACTCTAACTCAAGTAATTTTTAACGTCTCGGGTTATTTCAAACGAAATGATATGAAAAGAATTTGGTATGGAATCAAAAAGCTTCAAGAACTTCAACAAGATTGTGAGTGCAATAAAAACGAAATGAAATTCTTCATGCGCATCATTTTTGTGCTCGCATCTCGATTCATAAGAATTTGTCTGACTGAAGGTAGTCGCTACTATCTTGCATTCGCTCTGAATGAAATTATTTTGTCTTGTAATGATTTCTTGTTCGCATATTTCATTGGAAAATTGAGTCATCATATTAGTCGCATAAGCAGCATGTCATCGAGTGTTGACTCTGAATACGTTGAAAATGAAGTTCGCAAAAACTTTTCACTGCTACTGGAAATTAAGAGCTTTTACTCAATGCCACTTTTCTTATCAATTTCATTACACTTTTTCCATTCGGTTAAGTCATTTTATTGGATAGTTATGAGGATAAAGTTTGGATATTTCTCATTCGAACACTTTGATATATCTCGTAAGAATATTCAAAACTTTCAGAGCTTTTAATTTTTAATTTTTTTTCAATTTCAGAGTACGTCACATTTTTCTTTCTCGTTCAACCGTTGGTCTGTTTATGGGTGATTTTCATTGGTTATCAGAATTATTTAAATATGATTCAGAAATTTCAATCTGTGAGAACTGAAGAAGAAGAATTGCTGCTTTATATTCAACAGTTTAATCTTGAATATCATGTGGGATCAATTATTGACATTAGAAATTCAACAATGACTGAAATGATATCATCAATAGTTAATTATTTCATAACAATGGTTCAAATTTTTTCTGTTGATCCTTTCAAAGAAGCTTCTTAAATATTTTAATTTTGATAAATTCTCAAAGGATTAAAAAAAAAATGTCGAAGCTTTAAAGCTTTGAAGGAATCATAATCTGTGTTGATAATTGAAATGAAATAAACTAAAACGCAGTTCATAATATCTGTGTTAATTTTCTCAATTATTTGTTGTTCCTACATCATAATAAGAAAAAAATAACAAACGCTCATGGATGCTTTCATAGTTTGAACAGTTTGTTTGAAATATTGGGTGATGATATCAACCAGTTTCACTGTATGTAGATAATAACAAAATTCATTAGTACGTTTTATCATAGATACCCTTGAACTGCGCCTTGAACCATCGTTGTCTTTTTACACGTTTGGGTTTTTCAAGGCGAAAATATTTGAAAATGATCTGGAGTAATTTACACACCTTATAAAAGTGATCTCGTTTCGTAAACTCATCAGTGTCTCAATACATTTTATTTAGATATGGTGAAACTTTTGATTATCTTAGCAGTTATCTGCCTCGTTGGCATTGGTAATTTGTTAAAAAATTGTTATAAAGTATAAATTAAGTTCTTTTTCTTAACGTCCATCAAATTTTAGCATTGGCTGAACCACATGGTAGACGAGGAGGTAAATAATCACAGATATTGTTTAAGATAAATTTAATTCCATTCAGATTTAGCACTCAGATGCATTATTTTATTGTTATATTATTTTTATTAAGGTTGGAGCCGTGGCGAAAGCTTCAATAACAATAACAATAATGGATTCGGTATTTTAAATAAAATTATAATATTAACAAAAATTAATTAATATTTTTATTCAGATCCAGCCAACATTATCCAACAAATCTTGACCTTGTTGAATAATCTGAGAACAGCACTTGGTCTGTAATTCATGACTGCACTGCACCGTGAATTGAGTTTTGAATGTCAATAATAAAAATTTTTATTCCAATGAAATAAAAGAATTTGATGATACCTATCTCAAAATGTTGCTATTTTTTATAACTTAAAGTACTCTAAATTTCTATAAAAATTATAAATTGGCAAGACTCACATCTTCATAACTTTCAATCGCTAACAGTTTTCTCTCGATTTGAGAGATATAACTGAAAACATCTGTTAACAAAACAATGTCTTATAAATGTGATCGAGTTTTCGCAATTTCTTCAGTGCACTGTTGTATTCCAATACATCTTATTAGATATGCTGAAACTTTTGATCATCTTAACAGCATTAATTTGCATTATTGGGATTGGTAATTATTTTAAAAAAATCTCAAGAAAAATAAACAAATTTCCTTTTCATGTATGGATTTTAAGTCTTTACTTATCCACAAGGGAACCGTAGAGGAAGAACAGGTGATGAATCAATTATTAAATTATTTACGAGATATTTACTGTTTAAAATTTTATTTTTCTTGAAAATTTTCCTTTTCAAATTGGATTAGAAATGCTGAGCCATTAAATATTAACAGTGCGATTGGTATTAAACATATTCGTTAAAGTTTTATGAAGAAATTCTAAACTTTTTTTTTGAAATAGTACCTCAACGAATCTTGGATTTGCTCTCAAATCGTGGAAGGCTCTTTGGCATATAGTTTTGGTTGTAATTTCAAATTATTTACAAATGTCAACAACAAGTTGTTAGATACAAGGAATAAAAACTTTATTAAATTCATTCGTATTTTTTTAAAGTTGTAACGATTTCAGTTAGAAATTTTAATTTTTTCAATTTCACGCTTTCAAGTTATGCAATTGTACAATCAAGATATGTATCTACGTTATTATTAAAATTAGATTCCTAATGCGATGAACAATTTGCAGCATTAATTTGAGGTTCACTTCTGTTTTTCAAGTTCTATAAGTAATGAAGCATTTTTGTTTATGAGTTGTGCTCTCTTGCATCTGTTTCAAAAATAGGTGTGAAAATGCAACACATTATATACTTGGTCACAACACTCCTTTACATGTGTTTACTCTTGTTGCTAACATGTCTGACTTAAAAATGATCTTATTATCGCAAATTCATTAATTTCTCAATATCCAGAGATGAAGATTTAAAAATTTATGAAAAAGAAGGATTGAGTTTCTTTTGTCTTAAGAACAGGGGTCGGAAGCCGAAGCGGAAGCTGGAAGCTTAGAGAAGCTCATCTTTTTGAGAAGCCGAAGTGGAAGCTTGGAAGCTTTTCCAGAATTTTGAGAAGCCGAAGCGGAAGCTTAGAAGCTTTTTCGGAAATTTGGGAAGCTTGGAAGTTTTTTGCGAAAAATCGTTAAGCTTCCGAACCCTGCTTAAGAATTTAAGTGTTTGTCAATCCTCGAGGTTATTAGAAGGATGAATTAATTTAATTATAGCGTTCAAAATACGGTAATATTATAATATATGTAATACCTACTAACAGACATTATTTGTTTTGATTACTTTGCATAATGAATAGAATCTAAAGAATATAGAAGATAAAACATTTATGATTATAATCAAAACATAACATTTTTAACTAAAAATTAAAAAAATAATTAAATTTTCTCCTGTATAAACTTTTTAAAGTCTTTGATTATTTTAAACAAATTTTTGTGTGGAGTTAAAAAAATAACGGACAAAAATATTTGAAATGAGAACAATAAACCGGTTTCGTATTTTGTTACAAGGCATAACCGTTTCTAACCGTTCCATGAGTCTTTAAGAACTTTGTGAAAACGTCGCTCGCGATTTTTTTAATAAAATAAATAGAAAATTAACACATTAAAAATTAAATATAGCAAAAAATGCAAAAGTTTACAGTTTATTATGTGTTTGCTATGAAAAAAATCCTGTAGTTTATGTAAAAGCACAAAAAAATAATAAAAACATAAATTCCGGAACAGTCGCGAAATTCGGAGGACTTAATTCATTTATTTTATATCAGTTTATCTACTTATATAGAAAAGAATACAAAAGAAAATACACATTCTGTAAAAGATCTAACTTTTTGAGTTAGTAGAGTTCCTAGATTAAGAAGAAAGTGTAAAAAAATTAATATAATCATGGGTTGCATCAATTCAAAAAATCAAAAGGAAGCAATCACAAGGAGTAAACAAATCGACAGAATTTTAAGAGCTGATGGCGAAAAATTAACATCAGAAGTAAAGCTCTTATTGCTAGGTGCGTGTTTTATCTTCTAATTTTCCAAATTCTTATGATTAAACGTCTTTCGGAACAAGATTGGGTGTCGCGTCTGGAGAAGTGTGTATGTGTTAGTGAGAGTGAGTGAGATGGGTGTCAGTCGTAAATGACATCACAGAACAACATGTTGAATGGTTAACGGTCTTATTGTCTCTTGCGAAATGCATGAGTGAGTTTAAAATAGGGGAAAGGACGAAATAGAAGTTGCATGTTGAGTTTTTGTGACATTCTTTTTGTATCTTCCAAAGTTGAAATTTGCATTTGAGTCATGATGCGATAATGATAGGAAGAGATTACAATTAAAAAGGAATTGTTCTTATTTCAATGTAGATACTAAATATGTACAACAACATTAATAAGAATAATTCTGAAAATGAGAAAATGAGTCTCATTGCACAAACACTGGCGTATTTCTATGACTTTAGGGTTGAACCATCATCCATAAATATATCGTAAGTTAAACAGAAATGGAAATCTGTTGATTCATGAATGCTTCAACTGGAAGTGTCGCGCGTTTCATATTACAAAATAACAAATTAAAAATTGATTCAACCGCTTATGCTTTACGTGATTCTTTATTTAGAAAACAAAATATTCACTGCAGTTCTAAGCAAGTACACGAAGAAATGTGACGCTTCATTGGAAGACAGTAATTTCACTTTAAGCAAGATTCGTATAATTACAATTTTCTTTCTTGAAACTTCTTCTCGTCCGTATTTAGACATTGGATCATGAGCATTTTCTGATATATTTTTCATTTACTTAAATACTCAGTTTTAGTAAAGGAATTATTTCCCAATGACGTCATATTAATCGCTGAGTTATCTTAATAGTATTCACCTGATAAAATGTTATAAAAATATATGCGTACATCAAGAAATATTTTATTTTCAAGTTCAACATCGTTGATATCATTTGTGAAGCATTCCCTGCATCCGATTTAACCATAACTTAATTTCGAATGTGGGAAAAATCTATTTTATTATTTTATTTTTATACTTTCAAACAACCATTTCTCTTTGGATCTGAAACAATCAAACTCCGTTTTCATATTATTCACATTCATTTGTTAGCTCATGAATCGTTTCGTTGTGTGTGCAAAAAATACTCATGCTACTAAGAATTTCTTCTGAGTAATGCGATTGTACTTGCCGGCATGAATACAAACGAAAACATTTCTTTCTCACCAACTTCATTTGGTGCTTCAAATTGTAAGTAAACGAATGTAGTACAAAATCTGACAACGCAATGTGTTATGAATTTCACGTTTGGCTCATTTCTCCACGGAAGGAAATTTAAATCATCTCAAGAACCAACAAATTCCATGATAAATTCAATGTTGGTTGTCATATTACATCAAATCGACACATTTGATGTCTTCTTTAATTTCCGCACGAGTAAAGAATTCAATGGAGTGTCACAGACGATGCTCTTCATCTTTTATATGATGATGGATTTATTATTTCAATGCGCCATACTTCCCGGAGATTCGCCACATTTCGTGAATCAAAAAAATGAAATGTATGAGGAGAGAAATGAAATGACGATGAAAAAAAGATGATTTGCGCTATAAGCGATGATAACGCACGTTGAGAGAATAAAAAGATCGTTCGTTTACCAAAAAATAAAAATAAAAGTATGTAAACAACGGATTCGCATTTCATGAAGAAAAGGCTTAAAGTAAACAAGCAATATAACTAATTGAAGTCAGTAAGAAAGGTCGAGGTGGGTCTTTAAGCATAACTTACACATGTTTACTTGTCGTTGTTAATTAATTTTTATAAAGATAATTGCAAAATGAAATGAGATAAGATGGAAGCTTGAGAGATTAAAATAACAAATTGAAGCTTAATTTTTATTTATATAACAAAAGTTTCAATTGACACTCAATGCACTCCAATAAATTCTTGATAAATTCTCATTATGTCAGCGATCAAATGTCTCTGATTATCACGAACTCTGCTGCATTTAACCCACATTTATTTCTTCCCCAATGTTCGACTGGTAGCAAGCATTTAATTGATGCTGCTTTTGATTCGTGAGTAGATTCCGTTTCGGTTTTTCTTTTTTCTTTTTAAATTTTTTTGTTGGTCAAATGGAGAGTTAATGTTGTTGAAATTGAAAATAATTTTAAATTGAATTTATAACGGAGAACCACAATTTGTTCTACTGACAGTCTAAAATTCCAGTTTCCAATTTTTGGTGTCGACCACAACAATAACACATTCATGTGATTTCAAATACATTCCACTCAGGTTGATTTAATGGTTAACTGGCAGTTGGATACCCAGACATATCTTATGTCGATAAAAATAAAACAGAATCGTGATAAATGCGAAGAACAAACAAACATACAATAAACGGCAACAAAATCGACGTTTGATTATTTATGATAATACCCGATAATGTTCCTCTATATCACGTTATAATTAGACGTTTAGCTCAAAACAACTCTACTGACTATCTTTCCCTTTCTCTTATTTTCAAACACGAGTGTATGCGTTTGTGTAGAAATTAATGTTCTGGTGATAAAAGTGGCAAGTGAATTTATTTATGTATGTTCACCAGATTTAGCGTTGTTCAAATAATCATTAAACATTGTCGCTTGGATGTGAGCCAAGAGGAAGTTTTAATACCATTTATGAGCTTCCCCTTGAGTAGTATAACTCTGTATCACCTTTTTTGATTACATGATGATGGGAACATATGTTTGAATCATCATATTTGTGCTTTGTGTAAGTCACTTATTGGATAAACATTAGGGATGCCTGTCTGTCGCCGTTTGTTATCAGAATTCAAGTATGCGATATTAATTGAATTCCCTTTCACTATTTTTTTCACTTTTTACTCACATAATTCGTGGAAAATGACGTTCAATTAGAAGAAAATGAATTCATTACTTAATGTGAATAAATGACATTGGAATGTGTCAAACAAAATTCCTTTCGTTTCGTTAGTTGAAGAGAGCAATAAAATGCATAGCAGTCTCAATTAAACAGAAACATGTGGCAATCACTTGTTTTTTAAGATTCTTGTTATGCAGAAAATCCCAAGCCTCGTTGAAACTGAAGCAAAAAGCATTAAAGCATTAAAAGAAATTTTAAATCGTCAATTAATTGACTAATTAAAGTGGAAAGAAGAATCTCGTCGTCAGTAATTATATGTAGAAGGAAGCGTTCTCTCTCGTGTGACGATGTCATGAAACATTTCAAATTATTTTCCTCGCTTTTGACATTCATAGTCTTTATCAGCAATTTTTTTGTTTTTATTTTGTGCAAATTTGACAAAATATGAATTAATATAAATAAAATGTAAATTGCTTTCATCACGCAACAAAAAAAGCAAAACAAGAACGAAAATATTTCATGAATGAACTCGTAACAATCGCGATAGATTTCTTTTGTGAATGAAATGAAATACGATGTGAATGTGTTGTATAAGATAGGCGCTTGACATGTTTTTTAAATGGCCTTTTGAAGCGATAACACATTTTGTAATGGGGTTCTATTAATTGACTTCAATTTGAGACGGATTTGATCTTTCACTCATCAACTGGTGGCGAGGTGGATTAATGATGAAACAGATGATGACGAAATATGTGATAAATGAAAAATCAACTCAACTTTTGATTTCATTCTAAATATTTTTTCATGGAAACAGGTGCTGGTGAATCGGGAAAGTCAACAATTGTGAAGCAAATGAAAATTATTCACGAGACGGGATATTCGTTGGAAGAATGTGAACAATATCGACCAGTCGTGTATAGCAACACAATTCAGAGCCTTATGGCGATCATTCGTGCAATGGGTCAGCTTCGAATTGACTTTGCTGATCCACAAAAGACGGATGTAGCTAGACAGTTTTTCACATACGCTTCAGCAGCCGAAGAAGGTGAACTTACACCCGAGCTTGTTAATTTGATGAAGAAACTTTGGGCGGATCCCGGTGTACAACAATGTTTCTCACGTTCACGAGAATATCAACTCAATGATTCAGCTGCTTATTATTTAAATTCTTTGGATCGCATTGCACAACCAAGTTACGTGCCAACACAACAAGATGTTTTAAGAACGCGAGTTAAAACAACTGGAATTGTTGAGACGCACTTCAGTTTCAAAGGATTGCACTTTAAGTAGGTTGCGTGTGACTAATTAAATTATCTAATTTATTTTAATTTAATTTAATTCTTTAGAATGTTTGATGTCGGAGGACAACGATCGGAACGTAAAAAATGGATTCATTGCTTTGAAGGTGTTACAGCAATAATTTTCTGTGTAGCTTTGTCAGGTAAATTAAAGAAAATTCTTTTAATGAAATTCTATTTCTAATTAACTTTTGCATTTTAAAGGCTACGATCTCGTGCTTGCTGAAGATGAAGAAATGAATCGAATGATTGAGTCAATGAAGCTTTTTGATTCAATTTGTAATTCGAAATGGTTTGTTGAAACATCAATCATTCTATTTCTGAATAAAAAGGATTTATTCGAAGAGAAAATTCAACGATCGCCATTAACTATTTGTTTTCCAGAGTACACAGGTTCGTCGAAAAATATTCATTTAAATGTTCGTTTTTAGTTAATTTAATCTTTTAATCCTTTTCATAGGTTCCAACACGTACGAGGAAGCTTCTAGCTATATAAGAATGAAATTTGAGAATCTCAATAAAAGGAAAGATCAAAAAGAGATTTACACGCACCTTACATGCGCCACCGATACGAACAACATTCAATTTGTCTTTGATGCCGTTACTGACGTAATCATAAAGAATAATCTAAAAGATTGTGGACTATTCTAAAGACCGAATGCACAATTTGATGATTCTTTTGGGAAAATTGTGCTTTTCTTTACTTTTCAATCATAAAAAGCGATTCATTCCCATCTCAGACGTTCACATTTTCTTTTCACAAAAATCCCATTTAAAGTAAAACAAGTTACAAGTTAAGTTTAAGGTCAAGTAGTTGATTCCATCGATATTCCTTTTTTCTCACTTCTTTTCATGCAAATGATGGACGACAAAGTAAAATGTAAGATGATTTACATAATAACAAATGAAATAATATTCTCAGAAAGCACGATTAAAATTTAGCTAGGAAAGATTTGTTGTAAGGGAAATGCTTTCATAAAAGATTCATATCAGTCAGTGTCAGCTTATCGTCGTTTGCACTTTAAATTATTATGTTTAAGATGTAAGGAGCATAATTCATTTCTATATACGTCTTTCCTACGTTTTTTCTATTTTTACGTACGAAATTGGGTAGAGTCGTACGTTGAAAATACGTACGTGACATTAATAATGCAACGTAAATCTTAACTTGAAAATAAATCTTTTCCAACAAGCATGTCACAAATGAACAAAAGAAAAGAAAATCTTCATGTGAAGAAATTCAATGACATCATATTGACATTTTCAGAAAAAAATTGATAAGCAAACAGTCTGAATCATAAAAAAGAATTTAATGAATCCCTTAAATGGATTGAAGAAATTAAATAAATTTCCCTAGATGATAAAACCAATTTCTAGGTAAGAAAATGATTAAATAGTTGATGAGTTGTGGGAGAAGATTGTCAATTCAACAAGTACGCCTTCTACTCTGTTCTATTTTAATTACTAATATTTACGATTTATTGTGATAAATTAGATTTATTTCTTCTTTTCCTACACTTATTCTGAGTGAAGCGAATTTTCATGAGCATAAAGTTTTTTTTCTTTCTAAAATGACAAAAACAAGTCAATTTAATTGAAGACCTTTAGAAAGGTCATCCAGACCAGTTATGAATGAAGTTTTGATCGGAATTGAGTCATCTCTATGTTACGCTTCCTACTCATGACAAAAAATATTGAAGAAAAGTTCAAAGCATCAAGCAAATTAAGAAATTTAATTGAGCGTATGAATGTCGGTGCGAGATCCAGAAAAAAACAATATCGGAAGAATTTTTTTTTCTTATTAAATATTGCGAGGAACTTCATATCATGAATGCCACCCACGCACAATCAGTAATAATATTCATCATGAAATTCTCATCGTCACACGTAAACGAAATTTCTTTAGTCATTATATCGGAAATCTATTCACGGGCTTAAGAAAAGATTTCCTTTTCAGTTGGTGAACCTGTTTACTTGAAAATGGAAAGGCACGGAAACATTTATTTTTCTTTCTGAAAGGAAACCAAATACGCAACATATTTCTTCAACCGCAGATATAACAAAGAAACGAATGAAAACATTTTTCCAAGAAGACTGACGAGATTTTCATTTTTTGCGAGCAAAACACATTAATAAAATAATGAAAAAAACAAAATTTTGGAGACAACAGCAATGTGTCTGCTCTTTTTGATATTGAATTTCAGATTTCAGACAAGAAATGTCATGAGAAAAAAAGTAAAAGTATTAAATTATCATTTCCATTTACACTCAACATTCAAAACAATAAAAGAAGGTGAAAAGAATAGTGAAGAAATCTGCCAATATCATTGTAAATCTGTGTCAAAAGCTTTTAGAAATAAGCTTTCATAACATAAAATGAATAAATATGTTGATAGACATTAAAGACATGTTAATTATGAGATTTCGTTTCATGTTTGTAAATTGTAAGATGAACTTTTGGATGAAATGAAAGGAAAAAGAAAACATTTTTCAAGAGAGAATTTATAAATTAATGTTCATGAAATGCAAACGATATAAATGTTGAGAAATTATTCCACGTTTACAATAAGACTATCATCATGTATTTTTATCAACATTTGTTTCGCCTATCAACGTTTTATGCTGATTGTGACATTGAAAGGTTTTTTAAATTGATGAAACTTGAAACTAAAATTCTCATCAAGTAAATAAATAATTAATAATAATAACGAAACGCTGCAAAATGACAACAGCATTAATAAATCAACATTACTCATCGAAATATGCTAAAGTTGAGAATAAAACAAACGAGCATTTTTTCGATGTTTGTTTTTAAGCTGAAAGTTCAAGTTTTTTGCGATAAGAAACAAGAAAAAGAAAATATTTTGATACATGTTGATTTTACACACAGAAAAAAAGAGGAGATACAGAATTTTTATTATCGACAATGATTGTAAGGATATGACGATTTTATGAAGATGATGATAACATAGAAATGGAAATTTTAAATATATATAGATGTATTGCAGCTAATTATTATTGAGAACGCTCTTAGAATATTGAATAAAATAATTATTTTATGTACAATTAAATGCTCTATTCTTATAATTATTTATTTCTTTCTTTCAATGAACATATTTACAGATCTTGTTCTGAAACATTCAACCTCAATAAATAGTATTATCTAAAATACTTTAATCAGGCCTCGTAATCAAAATTTCGAATGACTTCATGCTTTCAAATCGAAATTCAAAATCTTTTTGAGAAAATAACTTCAATCACATTCTGGATATTTCAATTAATATTTTATCCTTTGTAAATTTCGCTTTCAGCATCGAAAATGATGCTTTTGATGTCAGCCCAAGACATTTTATATAAAATGACGAAGGTAATCGAAATAAGCATGACTTCTACCAAATTGTTCGAATTAAACTGCAAATGAATTATCTAATTAATTTTTTTTAATGACTTTTCGATTGCTTACTTCAAAAGAACAGAAACTGAAAAAGGATTTTGTGTTGTACTGATTTTGTTGTAAAAATTGATGCATGTAAGTACATATATAGCTGAACCCTTAAAGGCCTTGCACTGGGTTCACCATTTATTATTTTGTTCTTTAAATTTTAATGTGTTATCTTTTAATTGATGTTGTAATTTTATGTATTTAAAGAAAAGATTGGGGTTTTTACGCCAGTTGCATTACACCATATACATGTCTTGCAATTGGCTTTTTATCCCAACACACAGGAAATGAAACAAATAAAATAATAATAATAATAATATTCAGAACTTTATTTCCGTGCTTAAGAATCATTTACTAAGAAACTTAAAATATTCAAATCGATTATTAATCTTATATAAAATTCATATAAAAAATCTATAAATTTATTTCTTCTGTCGCCAAATTTTGACTCAAAAGAATAAACCACGCAAACAATGAACAAAACGCTACCGACCCAAAAGTGGTAAAGATCGTTTGATTCTTTATGATTAAAAGCTATTGTCATGATCTTCACTATATAGTAATAGAACAAATGAAAGAGAAAACATATTCAGAACTTATTCCTATTGCTCACAATATTTCATTTGAGTTGTTAATAAAATATTAAAGTAAAATTTTTATTGTGTAGCCTGGGAGCCAGAAAATTATAAAACATAATTTTATCGTCAGTGGCAACAGTTTGTTCAAGAAAATATAATCAACATTATTCTGAATGTCATTGCGAGAGATTTATATCAAAGAATTGAATAAATATTTTAGTCATGCTTGAATGTGACATTTCACATTGACCAACAGAACCCTCTGTCTAACTGACTAACAATTCGCCATCTTTAACACAACATTTACGAACTTAAACGACTGAAAGTCAAAATCATCAATCGCGAACTTTGGCAACTCTTTTCCATTAATTTAACTGAAGCGATTAAATATTTTCTCAGAAAAATATTTGGAGGATCAGAGAGTTGAAAAAGAAGAAACAGGAAACATTTAAAACATTTGTTTTTCATTCAATACAAAACATTTTTAATAAATAATTTAAAGATTTTTGTATTTGCTCATCATAGAATCAAATTTTCTCTTAGCTTCAACAAGATCTTTTACAACTTCCGGTTGATTCATCAATTCGTCTTTCAATGGTTTATCAAACATTGAATGAATGACTTCAAATGCTGAAGTTTTCATCCCATGGCAATTGAATAGACAAGCAAGTTCGAATATTTCAATGGCGTTGTCAGCGTTTAGTTCATCTGTGATCATTTCTTCAACCATTGTCATCAAGTTCTCGACATTGAACTTTGCTGCGAGAGAGAAAAGTTCCAGCAGATTTGAACCTTCTTCTCTTTCGATCTCATCTGTGTAGAGAAATTTCAAGAACATTTTCACGGTATTTGCATTTATAATATAAATGGATTACATCAGATGGTCGATCTTTCATCTTATCTTCGAAAATTGAAGTAAAAACTGAACTCTGAATAGCTAAAAGAATTTTATGTGCTTCGAATTGCTCTGTGTCAGTGACAATCGTGATGTCTGACAACTGACCAGTCGTCCAAAGCTCTTTGAATCCATCATTTTTCATTTTCTTCAATTTTTTTCTTGAAAATGTCTGCCTCCTTCATTGGTTTATCACATTTCTGGTCAATCATGGCCATCAACTGGTATATAGAATCAACTTTATTTTCATCCAGTATTTGCATATAACATGAGTAACAATAAACAGCATCAATGGAACGATTCTCACGAAAGTCTACGATTTTTAAATCATTTTTCAATATTGGCATGGAAACTTTTGAAGACATGCAATGCAAATCGTTGTAGCGGAATGAAATGACTCTAAGTTTGTGCATACTTCTGAACAGATTGTATGGAAGTGAACTGATATTGTTGTGTTTACACCGTAGTATCTCAATATTTTCTAATCCAACCAAATCTCTTTGCGTTATTGATTTCAATCCACATTCACTAATTATAACAGCTAACAAATTAGGAAATATTTTGTCCAATCCTTGAGGGAAGTAGATGACTGTTGTATTCCTAAAGTAAATCGCTTCGACATCTTTGTCAGTTTTGCCATCCAAATGATTTCCATTGATTGTTTGAATGATCGTTTTTGGCGTCGTAATTGAAGATGAAGAAATAATACTCGTGTATTTAATCTCACATTCATTCCAAATAAAATATTTGAATTTACAATCTAGATTCCATAATGACAAAAACTAGACAAATGAAAATTATTTTGAATTGTTCGATGTCTGGGAACAAACTAAACAAGAATTAACAAGTTTTATTTCATGAAGGTGTTATCATCAACTGATAAGATATCGAAATTCTATAAAGATAAGAGGAATGACGAAATATTTCCGCAAATCGCTCTATAAACTTTCTTTGAAAACATTTTCTAATACATTAACAAAAATCGGACAATTGACGGGCTACTAGAATTGCTTATCACAACCATTCTGCTCGTTCAATAAACAGGCATTATAAATCCAAATAAATTTTAAACACGATATTCCTGTTGATAATAAATACATTTATTGACAATTTCTTTTCATTCTTTTTCTTACGTGATAAAAATCGTATTTCATTTTAAACTCTTCTATACGATCACGTTTGAAATGAAGATGGAATTTCCTTTTAAATAAAATTTTCCTTTCAAGATTCTGTACGTAAAATGCAACATCAAATAAAGAATGATTTGGGGGAAATTTAAAATTTATTTGTTTTTGGTAGCAATCGTCAAAGACTGGTTAGAAACTTAAATCAAAATTTACCTATTTAAAGTTCAAGAAGGAAATTAAAAGAAAAGTTTTATAATTGTCAAAGTTGTTGACAGTCCATGACTTATGATATGACTTTTATAATCGACGAATAAATATTGCACGATCAAGAATTTTTAACAAAGTCATAGCAGCTCAACAAAAATTTAAATTTGTCAACGAAACGATGAATAAAAGTTTTAAATAAATGGCACTTTCTTAATAAGAACCGAAAACATTTATTCAAGGCTTGAATATCATAAAAATTAATATTTTAAATAAAGATTCCATCACACGGCGTGTTTGACCTGAAAAATGGAGACATGCTGCATGCAAAAAATGTGTAAACAACATTTTCACAAAGAAGTTAAAATAACGGCGAAATTGAAATTGAAATTTATTCATTTTCCAGTCGTTTCTTAAGTCTGTTCCATATGAATTTCTCTAAACTTATTTTCCCCCTCACTTTTTAAATCAAAATCAGTTTGGCTAATAAACGAAGAATACCTGATTTGATTGAAAAAAAATCAAGAATAGGATAATGAATGATCGCACGAATTCAGATTTAGCAATAATCGTAGGATAAACTAACAAAATTTATAAATTTTAATTTCAATCACACTTTTATATCATGCAGGTTAAACTGAGGTTTCCATCATCATGGGAACATCAGTCGGGTGGTGTGGTACGAGTTTACTTCTCGCACTATTTCCATTTTGGAGATAAGTGTCGAGAAGAAAATAAAAACTCATCACGGGCAAGTTTGAAACTTGCTGAGAACAGTTCGTTCTACCCATTACTGATGATACTGATGATGAAAGCATGATTTGGGGGAAAATTACCTAAAAGATGAATATTTTAAGTAATTAAAGATTCCATAACACCCGAAAAAAAGGAGACAAGCATATAAATGTAAAATGGGAAACTAAAGGAAGTGAAAATAAGATTCATTCTCTTCAAAAATATCTTCTGAAAAATCTTTTAAATTAGGTATACCTACTTCTACATATGACAATTTGACAAAAATTTATAAAATAATTCCTTCTTTTTTTAATTATCTGAAGTGTCGTATACACATACAGTAGAAGCTCTATAAGCGGAAACTGAAGGGGGTGGTCGTGTGAGGAGATTTTCCGCTTTTAGAATGGCTTTTCAATATGAATGAAGTTGAAGGGGGTGGTCATGTTTGAAGCTTTTGCTCTCATAGAGCTTCCGCTTATAGCGCGTCGACTGTAACTATGTATTAAAGACAATCCAACTCATTTACTCCACTTGTATTTAATTTGTAATCTTTATGAAGTGACTAATAAAAAAAATTCATTAAAGGTGTTAGTCGTTGATCTTCATTAACTTGCGAATGATGATATTTAATTGTTTTCAATTGATTGAATTCATGTTTCCAATTGATTTTTCTCATACATAATCATTTAATAATGATAAAGGAAGCAAAGTAACTTCAACTCACCTTGTGAATGAAAAATTTATTAAATTCAGAAAAGATTTTATCTCGCATAATTTTGAAAAAATAAAACTTCGAGTTTGACACTTATTGCACAACAAAAAAATATTAAACCGGTCGGAGAGAAGAAACTGTGAGTTGACAACAATGAACTGTAATAAACAGTTGAATTTTGGCTTCGAATATGAAGCGCCAGAAAGTTTTGTTACATCCGAAGTAAGTGAAAGCAATAAACATTATTTATTAACTTAAACCTAAATATTTTGTTTAAATTTTCAGTGGCAAAATGAGCGACGACCCTCAGTGAAATATTTAATTTATCGATGGATTCTATCAATTTATTTCAATTTTGTTTTGGTATTTTCGATCTACACAGCCGCAGAGTGCAAACAGTTGGAATTTTATCTAATATATTTGACGAACTGGAACGTGATGCTGAATGCAATAACTTCGCTATTTGGTGCTATTCTCGTTACATTTTATTACAAAGGAAAGATAAGCTTTGAAAATGAAGAAAATCGTATGCCAATGTCATTCAAAATTTATTGGCTTTTGACGACATTATCAGCAGTTGTAAGCATATTGTTTTCATGTGTTTATTGGCCTTTAATTTACACTGAAAGAGACAAAGGCTTGAACGATGCATTGACTCATGTTGGAAATGGAATTGTCTTTCTTATTGACATTCTTGCGAACGCTCATCCACCTCGTTACGGACATTTCGTTTACCCATTAAGCTTTGGAGTGTTTTATTGCTATTTCTTCAGCTTACCATACACACTTCTTGGTGGAGTTAACAGAGACTACAACAACTACATTTATTCCGTTCTTGATTGGAAAAACGATACGCAAAATGCAATAATATTTGCACTTTCAACTGTCGCCTTTCTCGTATTTATGCATTTTGTGCTGACATTTTTAACTGGAACCAAAAAATTTGTTCATAAAAAAATTAAATCGCGAAGAAGTGAGACGAATGAAACGATGTCAGACAATCAATATGACAATCCATCATTCAAAGTGTGATTTATTAATGCTACGATTTTGTATTTAATTAGTGAGTGAAATGAATAAACATATTTTTATGTTTAATAGATTGATTTTTTTGTAGATATGTAAAAGAAAGAAAAAATTCATCATAAAAATAAGTAAAAGTTAGGAATCGCAGTTAGGTCCTTCATATTGACAAAAAAATTTAAGATAAATCTAACATTTTCTGTAATAAAAACTTGTCGTGATTGTTAATAAATGTTGCATCTTTATTTTATTTTCTCATCTACTCAATTAGGTAATTCTGAAGAACATGCACGTAAAAAAATGTTAAAGTTGGAATATCTAACAATTGAAGATAATCATTCAAACTTTACACACTTCAGTTGTGTCGAAATGAAGCATTGAAACATTCATTGACTGAAAGCTATTTTATTTTCCTTCAAGATCACAACACCAGTCATAACTTCACATGTAATAAAATAGTTATTACAATGTGATCACAAATTATCATTAATTTCGATGCTTTTATTATGTGAAGAAGATCAACGAAAATTATTCTTTAACAAAGCTTTGGGGGTAAATTGAATTTTTTTTTATTTTTTTGATAGCAAATTGTCGTGAAAATATTCAGTCGAGGCTTGAATGTCGTCAAAATAATTATTTTATTTAAATATTCTATAATATGGCGTGTTTGACCCGGAAAAAGGGGACGAGTATAGAAATGCAAAAGATTCTAAACATTTTCATGAAGAACTGCAAAAACTCAAATTTATTCACTTTCCAGTCGTTTCATCTTTCTTCAGTCTGTTCCATATGAATTTCTTTAAAGTTGCATTCCCCCTCATTTTGTAAATAAAAGATCAGATTGGCTTACAAACGAAGAATAATTTATTTAGAATAGAAGGAAGAATAGGATAATGAACGATCGAACGAGTTCAGAATTAGCAATAGTTGTAGGATTGTGGAATACTCTCGATGATCTACAATTAATTAAAGATGTAGTGATGAAAGGAAAGTTCATTTCCAATGCGGTAAAATTTATCTCAGATCGAAATCGAGTTTCTATTGAGGAAGCAAAAGATTCGTTCTTCAAGGGAGCTAGTTTGTTTGTCAATAGTCTGATAAAGAACAAACAGATTCATAGAGCAGTTCATGTTTTAAAAAATGTCCAACTCAATGAGTTTTATTATTTTTTCGACTACTATCAGGTTTGTGTTTGTTTTTATTTATTTTATGATTGTTGATTACAATTTTTCTTTTGTCATTTTAATAAATGAAGGAAGAAAAAGATGAAACAATCAAAGATCTTGTTTACGAACATTTACTTCAACTTAAACCAGATCTTAAGGAGATTGAGAGGACTCTGAAAATTGAACACAATTGTTATAAGCTACTTGTCAGGAACTTCCACAGACATTTAAAATATTTGGATCTTGTGATTCGATCGACAAAATCGAAAGCAATAACATCTGAAAATATTCATAAAATAATTTTTGGGACTTTCATGAAGCAATCACAACAATGGAAGAATGTAAGTTGATGAAAGAAACAAGTTAAATAATTTCATGAATTCTTTTATTTTAACAGGAAATGGCTGTCGATGTTTTCTTCAAATCAAAGAATATTGAAATGCGTCACATTATTGATAAGAATTGCTTCTTTGAATATCTTCTTCGAATTCAACTTTATGGCGTACTCAAGCAATGGTTGCAAGAAAGTTATCTTTGTAAAGCTGGGAAAATGATTCAATCGACAGTAACCGAGCCTGAAACATTCGAAGGTGCTTTGCTTTGTCTCTTCCGTGAATGGAAATTTGAAGAGTACATGATGGAAATGATCTCAAGACGAGAGAAAGATGTGATCAAGAATGAGTTTGCCAAACTTGGATTGTTTGAAAGTCGAGAGCGAAAAGTTGTTTCTCGAATGTTGAATCGCTTCTTCAGCACAAACACATTTCGTGAAAATTATTCGTTATTGAAGACTGAAGAAATCACAAAGTTCATCATAGAAAACAATTTCATGGATCTTCTTTCTGAAGCATTCATTGACTTTCGTTACATTCGACTTCTGCTTGAGAATCTTGATGTTATTTATATGAGAGATGAACTTGTGCTGATTGAATCGATGAGAAATCTTTTATCGCCGACAACAAATCTTGAAGAATTTCGTTGCATCATGAACACAACAACTGATTATATTTATGAATTCAACAAAGATTTTGATCGCGACAATCCAAAACTAAATTTCATCAATGAAACATTAAACGGATTGCCAGCGGAAAATTTCAAAAAAATCTCACACACAAATAATTTCACCAAGAAATTAATGGAAAAGTTAAATAACGAAGATGAGAAACTACCTGAAATTGAAGATCTTCTTGAACATTATCACAGCATCAGTCTCGATATTATTCGTGAAGATTTTAAGAGAAATGATGACGGTGAAGTTCACATAAGTTTCGATGATCCAAATATGTCGGCTGCTTACGCTGATAACTTGAAACTTACTTTCATAAATTATGTTGTGCAACATCAAGGATCTTATGCATCATATTTACTTATCAAAGACATCGTCAAGAACTTCATGACATTTTCAACATCGCAAATCATAATCGGATGTGAAGAAATTGCAAAGTTGGCTTTAGATCATCAAGACGATCGTGAATTGATCAGTCACGCTGTTGCCTTTCTTGAAATCTTATCAATTGATTCGAGATATCTTCGATGTTTGTTAAAACTCACAAGATTAACTCACGGATCGTTAACGAATGATGAAAGTGACGGTGAAAGTTTTGAAATGAATTCAGACAATTTAATTACATTGTCGAGTTCTTCTGAAGAAAATTTAAGAAATGTTGAAGCACTTGAAGTGTTTTGGAAAGTAAGAAAATCACAAAATCCATTTCGATCTTATCTCAAACCTTTCATTGAATCAAATGATTGGTTTCGAATTGTTTTACTTGCTCAGTATTTGAATTATTCATTGGAATCTTTCACATCAATTTGTGATCAAAAAATTCGTGATAAATCTTTAAAAGACAATTTAATGCGTGCTGTGATGTTTGATTCGTCGACTGATTTTATAAAAACTGGCAGTTTCAATAAGAAACGACGAGTCAGATCAACAACCGAAGTTTCTCACATATTTGCCAATGGAAAGTTTCTTGAAATGAAACGAGATCTCTTCGGAATTATTCTTAAATGTGATGAGACAACAAAACGCCATGAAATGACATTCGAAGTCTTCCAAAAAATGATTCTGAAAATGGAGGAATCAAACGATCTTCTCTTTCATGCTTTTAAGAATGACTGGCCTTTGATTGCTGTCATTGCAGCAACAACGAAACTTTATCGATTCAAGTTCTGTTGGATTTCCTGGTTGATCTTAAGAAGCGACTTTACTTGGAATGAGAAATACAAAACTATTGAAGATCTAGCACAGAAAGTCGTTTATCATTGTCTCGAGAAAGGATTCGTTCGAACATTAAATGAAAGTGTGAAGATCTTTTACCCACAATCAGCTTTGAAAGTCTTTACAAAGTTCCTTTGGTTCAGCAATAATGGAAGTTTCGAAAGAATTGATTCGATTTTAAAACATTTCATAGTGAAATTGAGAACTTCTGATTACAATTTAGTTGCTGCAAAAGGACAAACAGATTCGATTAACTTTGCAATGTGTTGCATCATTAAACATCTTCAATTGAATTTGAAATCGATTTTGCACCAGGAAAAGTATTTGGAAGCTTTATGTCGATTAGAACTCGCTCAGTTCAGTGAGAAAGTCGATTTTGTGTTTCTTAAGAAGCTCAACAAGATTCTTGAACGAACAAACATTCAAGTGAACTTCCAAGAATTGTTCGAAATGGATCAGAAATCGTTAAAAGGAAATATTGAAACGATTTGTGAGTCGTTGATTGAGAGTCATCAATTTGAAGTGGCTATTGAAGTTGCTGATTTGCTGGATCTGCCGAAAGCTGACTTCGTCTTCAAGTGGTGGATTCATATGTGGAGTTGTGAAGATCAAAACGACCAAAACTTTGATGCCATGAAGTACATGAAATATGTCACAAAATTTAATCTGAATGTTGAAGTTGTGATAAAATTTCTTAAAACTGTCATCGTTGAGATGGAAGATTGCGAAAAGAAATTCAACATGATGAAGTTTATATTGAGAAACAATCCAGAAGATGATTCACAAGAGATGGATGCTTTGGAGTATGAAATTATATTGGTTTATTTAAGATTGAAGACTCGTGGAGTTGTGCAAGTGAAGCCATTAATGTCAGAATATTATGATGAAGTCATTTCTAAAGAGAAATCAATCATTCACAACTCACTTTACGAATTGAAATCAATTGCAAAAATAGAAGAATTGACAATCAGCTTCAAGACACTTGACGATGTCAATCAATTGAATCATCTCGATGAATTAATTTTTAATCTTCTCGATGTTGGTGATGTGATTCAAGTAATGAGAATTCAGGAAATGTTTGGAAGAGCGCCGGAAGATTTGAAGTTGCTTGTTTACATGATGTCGATAGCTGAAGGCATAAATTCCATTTACGATATAACAAAGGAAGAAAGGAAAACCATCAGCAGTTATGGATTGTTGTCAAAGAAATTCAATCGATTAACTTTGAGATCAATTCGAACGAGCAGCGTTTCAAGTAAGTTTAAGAAAGTTTCTTAAATACAAAATCAAACTAAAAAATTTCTCTAATTTTCTCAGCTTCATTGTCATCATCACCAGAACATCTTTCGGCATCGGCAAACGTGGACGAGTCCAAAAGTCGAAGTTATCGAGAGAATAAAGAATCATTTGAAGCACTTCAAGGACTTGTCTGTAAAATGAAACATGGCGTTGATCAAGCACAAAGAATTGCTTTGATTTATCGAGTTTCACTGTTTCTTAACCAAAACTACGTCGAACTTCTAAGCATGAAAAATTCTTTTGAGTTTCTTGAGTTGGCAGCATCAATAGATTGCGAAAATAAACTTCTTGTCATGAACGACATCATGGTTGCACTTCAAATGACAGATGAAGAGATGGCTGAGTTTATTGGGAAGGAAATTGCTGGCTGCATCATTCGAACGAGGTTTGTGGAGTTCAACAAAGAACTTGAAAGCATGAATCAGTCGACAATCTCTTCAATAAGTTTTAATAAAAATCGTGCAATTGATGACATTTGGGGATTAAGTTTATCAAAAGATCTTCACTTAATTCTTGAACTGTCCACAAATACTTTTCTCCTCGGCATGGAATTGTTGAAATATTACAAAATTCTTTCACGAGACTCTGTCGACATTCCATTCAAGTCAGAAAATCCTGAACAAGAAATAATCTGTCAACATCTGAATCGAATGTTAGCGCCACAAATGATGTCATTAAAGAAACAAAACATCATTCGAGTCGAGCTTTTAACAACAGCTCACGAATGTTTCTGTCATGAATGTTCAACTGAAGGAATTGGTGCAGTCTTGAACCTTGCGAAGAATTTATGTAATCATTTAACGGTGAAGAAAAATTTCAATTTGATTGTTAAATTAATGTGCGGCATTGGAAGATTTCGTGAGATGTCTTATTGCTTCGAAATTCTCATCCGAAACGATCAGTTTGAAGCACTTCTCGGTCAGTTTACTGACAAACAAACTGATGGCTTGAAAGTCGCAATTCTCAATTATCTCAACGAATATCATCCGACAAACAAAGAATATTATAAAATGGCTGCAAGTCATTTCATGATGTACACAGAGTTGGCGATTATTTGGAAACAAGAATCTCTTGATAAGATACAAAACTTGTTGGATGTTTGTGAAGTGAAGATCACGAAAATCGGAAAAATTTTAACAAATCAACCTGAATCGATTGAACTTCCATATTTGAAATGTGACAAGACAATCATTACAAGTTTGAATGAAATATTGGTTGGAATGATTCATGCAACTGAACTCATCACAATGGCAAATAAAATTGATATGTCGCTTAAGTTTGCATCATTTTGTGAGTTGATCGCTGTGCAAATTCATTTGATTAAAGTTGGAATGGAGAAGGAAGAGAAACTTTGCCCTTCTCTCGTCAATCCTGAACAGAGCCTTGAAAAGTTTCAATATTTTGCTAATTACGAGTTGATAGTTCCTCAAACGATGATATTGATGAAAAATACTGAAACAAACATCGATTTCGCCAAAGCAATTTCTGTTCATTTGATGCTTGAAGATGAAAGTTTTCTTAATGAATTCATGGCAAGAAATGACTTAACAGATGAGATCATCGAGAATGTCGTTAAGATGACACAACTTACAAGAATAACTCCAAAGCAGGAAAAGATTTTTAATGATCTTGTTCGAATGGTGGCAGATTGTGGCTTAAAATATCGACTCGCTTCACTTCTCGGACTCAAATCTCAACTTCAACAAATGCTAAACGATCAGGGCACTTATTGTTATTTACTCGACACCAAATACGGAACTGTCGATATTTTATGAGTCAAAAACTAATAAAACAGTTAAATATTATATGTGTAACAATGATAAAATTTATTTCAATTCTTTTATATCTTCATATTTATTTTGAATAAAACATTTTCTATCTTCAAGTTACAATATTTGATTTATTTTCTTTCTCTTCATGAAGTGAATTGTGGGAGGAAAGACTTGGACTTTTAATGTGAAGCAAGGAATAAGTTTCGTTTATTTGTTCATGTACTTTAATGTGTTTGACAAGACAAAAGTGCAGTAAATAGAATTATCACAATACAACATAAAATCAGAAAATTGTGAGTGAATGTGGTGGAGAATTTTTGTATAATTCAACAATTCATTCAATTAATAGAAACAAGCAAGAAAATTTTTGATAGCCTTTACCATGCACATTACAGAAGATACAAATAACACAAATTGAAACTAGAAGGCTTCAAATTTATTTTATTATTTAATAATTTATATCGCAGCATAAAATTTATTTGAAATATTCCAAAAAACGCAACGTAAGGATCATTGCATACGTTAACATTACGCAATGAAAGCTTTTTACGGTTTGGGTTACGTTTTTATTTATTCATTATTCGAAACAAAAAATAAGCGACTGAGATTAGAATAATGCAGCCCCAGGCATAAGGAAGAAATAAATTAAAAACCAATCAAAAAGAAAATATTTTGTTTGACAAAATTTTTTTGTCGTCGCCAAAAGCTCAAAGAAATCACAACATTCTTTTCTAAATCAAAAAAATTTTCAAACAATAAAGTTTTTACTGGTTCAAAGCCATTCAATTTAGCACTAAAGAATAACAAAGCAAAAGTTTGTTTATGTCATCAATTAAAAAGCAGAAGAATGAAGGAAAGAATAGGAACATAGAAAATAGAGAATTAGAATAACTAATAACAATAATTTTCTTTAACTTATATTCCAACCCAGGAAGACAAAAACAATTATTAAGATGACATTTAATTTTGATTTTAAACCGAACTCTTCAAAGCCTCCAAGTGCAATTGAGCATGAGCTGAAAGAATATATTTTTCACATGATACATTAAATTAAATTTAATTTGTGCTTGAATAAAAGCACCGTGTAATAATTCAAACTAATTAATGGAAAATCATGTGATCATGTTTAAAAAACTGTTGGTTAATGTTTCGTTTCATAAATAGAGAGACACAAAATAGATAATTTCCAATTAACAGTAAAACAGCAAAAGGATTTTAGCATAGCATTTCAAGATGAAAAGGATCTTTAATGAAGCTAAATTTAATTAATTTTTTCTGTTACTTTTGGAACAAACTAAAAAATTATTTCACGCCAATTATTTGTTTGTCTCATTTGCAGTTTCTTTTTAAGCTTTTTTGTGTCACACTTCCATGTAGTTATTGACCAACATTAATAATTTGGAAGGGAAAATGGTTTTCAATCAATCAAAACTTAAAGTTCCTTCAAAGCCTGTAAGTTTGTAACTGCATCTGAAAATATGGTCCACAAGAAAATCATTTTATTTCTTGCTGTTCATTTTGTGTTCAATGATAACTAATTAATGTTGTGATGGATAATGGAAATACTTAAGTGTTCTCATTTCACGAAGCGTATCCAACTTATATTGTGATCAAAAGTTCTCGAAACTTTATATTTTTGTCATGAATGTTCGGATACGCATCAGTAAATGTTGTCATGATGATAATGAGGATTGGAATCATATTCGACTGTTGATATTGAGGTCAGTTGTCACTCAGTGATTCTACAATTTTTAATCCATCTACTAAATGAATATCATCGAGAAATAGGGAAGTGATGAATCTACACTCATTTTCAAATCTCTTTCTCATGAAAAATAATAATGATTGACATTAAAATCAGAATCAAAATAAAAAGTTTTCATCCTTTGCATTGCAATGTATTATGTAAGTTTCCTTTTACTTAAAATTTTGATTCGATACATGATAAAATAATAATTTAAATAAAAATGATATCAAATAAAAAAATATTTGTGTGCGTTTCATTCATAATGCTTAGAAACTTTTCAACTACTAAAACTTTTCTTTTTCATTCTTCATAACTTTTCTCTACTTAAGAACATCACTGTCATTCATTCCTGTATTGATTTTATAATAAATAAAAAAATAAATGATTTTTTCTCTCTATTTATCTACAAACTAATGAAGTAAAAATAATAATAAGCAACAACAAACTTCATGATTTATGTTCGTAATTTTTGTCTTGTAATGTTTTGAACTTAAGATATAATGAGGACACAAAGAAAAATAATTTTTTTAGTGCGGATTTATGTTTCAAACATTTTTTTTCTTCTCTCTATTAAGATGATGAGAGAGCGAGCGCTTTAAACAACAGCAGCATCGTTTGCACATTCTTCTTCAACCGTTATGTACATACCTTCTTCCTCCTATTGTTCAATTAATATATGGGAGAATTAAAATTAAATATAATTAATAATTTAAAGAAAGAAGCATTTTTATGAAACTCACGTAGGTTGAGTCGTGCTTTGCAAGGATACGCAACAAAGGCCGTAACTTAAGCCACCATTGCGACTTAGGAATACGTTGACTGAAATTATACGTTCGCGTAAAATTAATGAACTTTATTTTTATTTATTTGTACTCACTCAAAGTTGGTATCAGAAATAAGTTCTTTCAAAGGAGTGAACTTATATTGGCGTCTTACAAGGCCCAACAAACATGCTGAGTCAAGAGTTTTCGCATTAATTGTTCCGTCTGGTTGTGTGTTCTTCTTCAATTGATCAACAAGCCATTCAACAGCTTTAGCTGCCATTTTCGTTCCCATATTACGATCAAATGGTGATGGAGATCCACCTTGTTGCATATGGCCAAGGATATTAGAACGACATGAGAATAATCCTTTACCTTCTTCTGAATACAAACGATGAATAAAATCTGTATTGTAATTTTCATTTGCTTTTTCATTTCGCAAAATTAATCCACGTTGAACGCCATCAGCCATCTTTGATGCCATGTGATAAACGTCTTGTTGTAAGTCTTTAATTGAGAATTTCTCTTCAAAGATATAAGCAGCATCAGCACCGCCAGCAAGACCTGCAACTGTTGCCAAATATCCGCAATAACCGCCCATTGTTTCAATTACAAACACACGACGTTTTGTTCCCTGAGCTGATTGACGAATACGATCGCAAATTTCGGTAATTTCATTTAAACCCGTATCGCATCCAAGTGAGAATTCAGTGCCAGGAACATTATTCGAGATTGTTGATGGGATGATGACCATTGGGATGCAAAATTCAGAGTAGTTGTCGCGTTGATCAACCAATTGACCCAATGAATGATAAGCTTCAAAGCCACCAATAACAAGCAAAGCCTGAATCTTAAATTCACGCAAACGACTGGCAATTTCCTTGAATTTCCCTTCTGGTAATGTTCGCTTGGTGCCCAAGAAAGCTCCACCTTGCCCGCCCCATCCAGTGACGTCACCCCAATCCATTCTTGTTATATGGCCAGACACTAAACCTTCAATACCATCGTGAATTCCATAAACAGTGTCACCACGATAAATCGAATTTCGCACGAATGAACGAACTGCTGCATTCATTCCGCAAGCTGGAGCTCCAATGTGCATAACACCAAGTGTATAGCCTTCTTTGCCCTTTCCTTGAGCATCGAAAGCATCTTTTGGTGGCTTCAAACGTGTCAACATTTTATAAGTTTCCAAATTTCTTGTGAATGAACGCCCACGCAATTCAACAGCAAGATCAAACTTCTTTTCCGACATTGCCTTTGCAACTGCTTGTGTACGTTCAACACATTCCATTAATGGAACACGAACAGCCTGATTTCCATCCAAGGAAACGACACAAGGTTCAGTGTCGTCAGTTGCTTCCATTAATGCCATTACAGCTTCAGCTCCCATACGACAACCCTTTAAGATGAAACTTTTAAGAATTTTGAAAGAATTTCTTTTTAAGAAGATCTTACCAAGACACGATCGAAAGCTGATGGATTTCCACCACGTTGAACGTGACCTAACACAGTAATTCTTGTGTCTTGTGCCAATTCATCAACAACGACTTTTTTCACCATTTCAGCAGTAATTGGATTTCCTTCGCGATCTGTTGCACCTTCGGCAACGATGATAATGTTCAAACGTTGACCAGATGAACGCTCCTGTATTAAAGATTTTAAAATGTTAGAGATTGAACAGAATAAATTCGAATAAGAATTGAAATTTTCAATGATGATGAAAATAAATTTAAAATTTTAATGAGAGTCGCAAAATGGTTGATCAAACAAATGTTTGTTAAAAAGAATAAAACAGAATTGAATGATGAATGGAGTTAAAAAAGAAAGAGTTGTAAGTTTCAACTATTTAATAAGACAGAAGACGATTAAGTTAGTCAAGAATTAGGAGAAACATCAAAAAAATTTTGATTGGGATGCAATTGTCAGCTGCTCAGAAGTTACCTCATCAGTCAGTTTAATTGTTTATCCAATTGCTTAACAGTTCCTATGTTATTTTAGACTAGAGTGCACTTAATAATTAGTAGATAAATAAATATAAAATTATTTCCGTCTTAAACTCAAGAGAGAACAACTATCAAGCATTAAAGGAATAATTGTTGGAAGTTTCATCAACCACTTGATAACAATTTAGAATTAAAATTGGAAAATAAAATAATTGACACTCATTGCATCAAAAATTATCCAGTGGACTGGATTATATCTCTCATAGCTTTATACCTGAAGTAATTTTTTGCAGAGATGATCCTTCCAGTCGGTTTTAACCGGGTCTTCTGGTATGAAAACATAATCAGCTTCGCTAGCTAAAGCAGCGACTACAGCTAAATAACTGTAACATTAATCAATCATTATTAACTAACAGCAAATCATGAACTACATTTTCAGAAAAATTAGAAAGGTGCAAGCTTAACTTTATCCACATTTATTGGAATTTCTTGAATTATTCGAGCATTCGTTACATTTATCATTAACATCATTCGCAAACTATAACGATTTCTAAATTAATAATAACAAAGTGGATGAAAATCATACCATGATTTCATGATTAGAAAGAAATATTTCAACTAAACTAAAATAAAGTGTTCATAAAGAAGAAAAATAGATTTTCTTTGATAATCTGATGAAAAGTTCTCGAAAGTTTAAAATTTCAAAAAAATCATCAAATTGAGCTTTATACGTGCGTAAACTGGTCTCTTTACGTTTATGTTTTCAATTTAGGCTACGTTGACGCGCAACCGTAAAGACAAAATTTTCAATAATTTTGAAAAATTTCATCAGTCAAATGAAATCAAAGAAAATCGCTAAATCAATTTTGAATTTATGATTAAAAAATGAAATCTGTTCTAATATGATTTTTTCTTCAAGAACATCGTCTTGCCTGCTTCAATTGAGCGCAGATACGTTTCGGCCAATCAATCTTTGCGGGGTCTTCCGGAATAAAAATGTAATCGGCTTCGGAGCACAATCCCGCGACAACAGCTAAATAACTGTGCAATGATTTATTTAATAACATGAAATATGATTTATTGGGAAGGGGAACGCTTTATTTAGTGTTTCATTTCGTCTCTATAAATATGAGAGAAATGCGAGATTTGTTTATTGAAACACAACCGCTGGATGGTGGAAAAAATCACAAATTTCGTCAAAACATCACCAAAGGCTTCTTTATATACAAACAATATTAACATCAGATTTCAAATGATTAAAGACAGATTAAAGCAACAGCAAAAATCGACATTAATTTTGTATGTGAATGGGCGATAAGAGAAGAATTCTCACGACAGTTGAACTGTTTCAACATTTACACAGTTGATTTATGATAAAAGAGATAATATTTCCGAATTATTTCATATGAAAAAGACAAAAGAGCGTTGCGAGTGAAATTGTGACCTTGCCTGCATCAATTTATCGCATAATTTTCTTGCCCAATCAGTGGGTGGTGGCGATTCTGGAATGAAAACATAATCGGCTTCCGTGACGACACCGGAAATCAAAGCCAAGTAACTGAGAGATGTTAATAAAATTTTAGTTTGCCATTTGGATTTATTAAAGGGTCGAGGGAGAAAAAAAAGTTAAATTATTTTAAAAATTTTAATTTTCTGGGAATTTTTACGCTTTGCTAAAAGTTGAAGATAAAAGGAATTTAAGATCATTAAACTCACCCGCAATGTCTTCCCATGACCTCCATGATGAATGTTCTTTGATGCGAGTATGCAGTCGATACAATGGCATCAATAGCTTCAATGATGCGATGCAAAGCTGAGTCAGTGCCAATGGTCATGTCGGTTCCACAGAAATCGTTGTCAATGGATCCAACCATACCAGCGATGTGGAGTGATTTGTTCTTCTGTCGCTCTTCATTTGTGATCTTACCAGTCTGAAGAAGTTCGTCTAAGAGACTCGACCACTCAACACGGAATAAGTTGGCTCCGGTTAAAGAACCGTCACCACCAATGACGACTAAATTAGTAATTCCACGTTTAACGAGATTCTCAGCAGCCTTCAAGCGACCCCAGCGCTCTTTGAAGTCCATGCAACGGGCTGATCCAATGACAGTTCCACCACGATGGATAATACTTGAAACTGCTGCCCAATTGGCTTCAGCAATGTTTTCACCACCATCGACCATTCCTTGATAGCCTTCTTTGATGAAATAAACCTAAAAATGTGTGACAATGGATGAAGAAGAAGAAATTTTGAGTTCATTGAACTAAAAAAATTGTTAAATGTCAATGATCATAAAATTTATGACTCAACATTTCATTTTATTGGTTTTACAATTTGTCAATCATGTTATGAAAAAGAAGATTTTCCTAAAAACATTTGACAATTTGACCTTCATCTGCTTTAAATCTTTTCTTTATTATCAGATAAATTACAGGAGCTACTAAAAATTCTTATTTATTGAAATTTTCAATGTAAATTTTTCCATGAACTTAAAGATCGCGTTCTTATTTTAATACTTATCATAGCACTTTGTGTCGTTGACGACACATGAACTTGAGACAGAAATTTAGCTATTTAAATTAGATGCGAATTGAGTTCAAGAGTAAACAATTTACAGATGCGAGAAGTTGCATAAATAAATTCAGGAGACGAACAAATCGATTTTTTATATTGTGAAATTGATTTAATAACCACTCGATTAAGGAGAAAAATATAATTGAATCAACAATGAATGAAGAAGAAGAAAAATGCCGGCTCTTAATAAATTAAAATAAAATTTTCTTCTCTTTTAAATTCTTTTTCATTTTCACTCATCATTCAGTGAAAATTGAGTAAAAATACGTTTTTTCACTTATTTAATTACATCACAGTACAAAACGATTTTCATTACCTTGCATCCTAAGTAAATTCCCATACGAACAACTGCACGAACAGCAGCGTTCATTCCTTGGGAGTCACCACCACTGGTGAAGACGGCAATGCCATGTCCTTTGCGACTGCCACGCGTGATGAATTTCTGGACTTCGTCGGTCATGTTGATGTTAAATACACTGATGTTATCCAATGAGAAGCATTTTATCGGGAAGGAAGCATAAGATTTATTTTAATCCCCAATATGAAAACATTCTAATCAATAATTTTTTTAATTTCATTCTAATTTAATCAAAAATATTTCAATAGTATTTGGGTGGGCACTGATAACAGTCTGGAGATGACAGAACACTTGTCCTATTATATTTTCTAATCGAAAGCTTTTTATAAGCATAACATTTCTTTATTTTCTTAGATTTTTTTCACTTTTTCTCAAAAAATAAATGAAAATATTATTCACCTGGAATTTTGATAGATTGAATTGAACTTTAACACTTTCTACAATTTAGATGCTTTCTGATGCAAGATCCTCCAAACTAAGAGACGGATGGATCTTTTTACTTCAACAGAAAAATACGAATTGAGTGAAAAAGCTGAAGATTCTTAATTCAGTGTCTTTCAGCTGACCTTCTGACTTGTTGGTGTTAGTAAATATCCAATAAGACAAATTATTATAAATCAATGAATGTTTTTATAAACATGTCATGTTTTTATGTTATGATGTGAAGTAATTATGTAAATGAATCATGAAACGAGATAAGAATATGTGACATTTTAAATTGTATTTCAATTAAAATATTTTGTCTTATTTAAAGTAATCTGAACAGCAGATGTTTCACTTTCCATCGTTCCATTGTTGTTTCATTTTTAAATTAACCGTTGAAAATGCAACACGTGCGTTGAAGCACTTATGCAATGGAATGACGAACAGCTTCCAAAGAAGAAAGAAGGGAAACGTGAATACGAAAAGGTTTCTACGTGAATAATCCCTCGTAACTGCTATGGTGATTTTTTTCTACAGATTACACAGAAATTCCATGCATTGCGTCAGAATTGGAGAAATTAATTTTGTAAACTCTCTTCATGATTTTGTTTGACGTATGAATGAAAATTTCGTTAGAAAAACTCTTGACTACACATCACCTACGCCAAGAATTCTAATTAATTTCTTTATGAATGAATACTTTGCCTTAAGTTAAATCCGTCTTTGAAGAGGTAAATTGAAATTGTCTTGAGTAAAATGAGAAAATGAAAATATCTAATATGAAGATGGAGTCAAATATCTTGACTGATTAAAACTTCAAGTTTCAATTAATTAACAATATATATAATTAATTATAATATTGAAGCTTAATTTTCTCAAAACTAATTAGAACTTTTATACAAAATATTAAATAAAGGAATAAGAATTTTCATAACTAATCTGTGGTTGCGAATTTTTTTTTAAATACCTGAAAGCGAAAAGGATGGAAAATAAGCGTAAAAGGGAACTTCATGAATGATTATGATTTCAAAGAAATTATTTAAAGTGTGGGTATATAAAAACAAAATTATTCCTTTTATTGAAACCATCCATTGAACCATCTCAGTCGCCATGAAGCTTTCTTATTGCTAAGCTACAAATACGTTTCCAGATTTCGACTCATGAGATTTAAAAAGTTTTCAAAGACAGAAATGGGCGTGGGTGTATGTAAAAAGATTCCTTAACACTTTTTTATGTTGAACCTGGAAATTCGAAGGCTAAAAATTGTGAAAAGTCAACAAAAATAAATCATAAAGAAGAAAAGCTTTTGAGGAAAAAAAAATTCAAACCGTAACAACCGTTCAAACGAATTCACAGTAAAAATTGGAAATTTTCTTTTTTTTACTTGTTTTCTTTAATGGCATTTTTTCACTTTTCATCCAAAATACACAAAAATTGTTTACTTTCCGATTTTTTCTTTTTAATATCGTCAAAAAACAAATAAAGTGAGATGTTTTTAAGCTTTTTTAAACTTCTGAATAATTTTTGAATCGAAGTCTGCAAATGTCTAATCTTTTTCTCTGCATGTGACTTTGTGTTTGCTGATGTCATGTGGAAAGCTTTCTTCTTCAATTTCAATAAAAACTTTTTGCAGCTCTCACAAAGTTAAACTTATAATTATTTCCATATCGACATTGACCATCATGGGCATTATTTTTTCATCATCTTTTACATATTTAAGGAGAGTCTTGTGACGAAATATATTTTTTAATAATTTCGAGAGAAAAAGGAACACAATGTATGTGAGTACAATAATGACTTTGCAACAAATAGATTCCAATATAATCCAATTCCGTACTATTAAACATTATTCCTGTTCTTCATTTATAATGATTTCATCCAATAATCCATCTATTGAGATGAGGGAACGTAAACATTTTGCTGATTCAACATCAACCACTCTTATTTATGTTGATCGGAATAATATTCACGGTGGCATGTTTACACATTAATTTGGTTCTCCATGAAGGTTCTTCACATCCATTAATACAAGTTTTATTTCTTTTATTTATCATCGTCATAATCGTGATAAAAGATGAAAAAGGTTTCTTTTTATTTTGACGTCATCTGCTTTGATTAATACGAGGATTGACTAAATTTTTGCTTGAGAGAGAATAAAGGTAAATAGAATAAATCAGAATATTGTTTTCTTGCATAATATTTTACTAAATCCATCATACATGCAGTAAGTAATCTTGTTTACATAAACAATTCACCACCGCCAAGCATTAGCTTTATCTTCAAAATGTTTTAATCTGAAAACTGAAATGAGAGATGACGATGGATTAATTATTTTGTTTTTCGACTGCTATTAAGCGGGAGTGAGAAAAAAGATTTTCTTTTAATACTTTCAACCATTAATTCGGATATTTAGATTCATATTTAAATATCAATAAGTAGTAAAGGAATTTATAAAAAAAGAAATCATGGAATCTCGATTATCGTTTAACAAGAAAAATTTTAGAGTGTTTTTCTTGTTAATGACGAACCATAAATATGACAACGTATTACAAGGTAATAAGAAATATAAATAATTTTCCTCTTAATTCTGCGTCAGTTGCAAAATGTTTAATTATTTTAAATCTTTTATGCGATATCTTCCTTTTCATGAAAAAGAGTAATATTTTTTTTCCATATGATGTTCGTCTTGATTTGTTTTAATCATTTTTTGCGTTCATTGAATATTTGAGTTTTGAAGCAATTTTTTTTTTGGTTTAATTTCCTGCATGAGAAATCTCGATGTGGGAACGAGTATAAGAATAAGAAAATTTTTATTTCTTACATTTAATTCGATTTTTTTCCTCGTTCCCGCTATCTAAGAGAAAGAGAGAGAGAAAAGCACAAAAGAAAGCAATTCGACAGACGACGAAAATTTTCTTTAGATAAATAATTCCATTTTTTGAATAACTGTTAAAGCTGCGCATAAAAATTTATAAGAAGAAAAGCAAAAATATAGGAAATAACGAAATCAAATTTAATTGAGTACCATGCGGCTTCACATCTTCCCAAAAACTGTTCACTTGCTACAAGGAAAAACCACACGAACTCAATTATTGTGTTTGTGTAATGTGTGTAGCTTTTATTTTTTCAAAATGACAAATAAAAAAAATCCAAAAGCAAAAAAAAAATAAATTGTTCAACAAAATATACAAATGACTATCATTCGGATGCTAAAAAAGAAAAGGTTGAATAAAAGTTTGCTGAAATTTCTTGAAAGTCATCTTTTTTTCTTTCCTTGAAAACAATGAAATGAAACTTTTTTTCTTTAAAGAATTATCGACATCGTTTCAAGATGCGCCAATGAAGCAGAAACAACTGTTCGGAATAATTATAAGAAAAAAAACTTAAAAATTTGTTTATAGTTATTTAAGATTACATTTTGTCGTTTTGTTTTTTGGGAGATGACAAGAACAAATAATAATAAATTAATTATTATGAAATGAACCGTTCATTATAAATAAATGAACATGTAAGGAAAAAAAGAGAAAAAATACAATTTTATGTAAAAAAGACTCCGGCGCGCATTATTTAAAAGAATTAAAACATTGTTATCCGATGAAACTGTTTTGAGTTTTCTCTCTCAAAAAAGATTTTTTTTTGGTTTTTCCCGTTACTACAAATTAGTTTTTTTTTTTCATTCTCTGCGCAAATTTTTTAATTTTTTGTTTTGTTTAGTTGATGGTTCATCTCGAAAAAGTTTTTAAGCTTTTAGTTTGGTTAATTCTCGTCGCCGACTGGTGCTTCGTCGCCATCACCCTGCGTGTCTGACGTCCATAACGTAAGGTTGTCTCTCAACAGCTGCATGATGAGTGTTGAGTCTTTGTATGAGTCCTCGTTCAGTGTGTCGAGTTCTGCGATGGCGTCATCGAAAGCCTGAAACATTTAAAAGGAAAATTGAAAAGAGAAAGAGAAAAAACATTAATAAACAATAATATTCTCCATTATTAGTTATCTAATTAGAAAAAAGTTCACATTCTATTAGTGCTGCTTTAAAGTTTAAATTAACGCCAACACTTCGTTTGCTGATGATACGTTTAAAAAGGTAAAAAAAAAGAACTTTCATGTGACTAAGATTCGTAATGGTTGTCACATTATCTAGTGCGAAATGCGCTTCACACGAACAAAAACAAAACCAAAATACATCCAGAGCATAACAAAAAGTTTAAATACAAATAATTATTTTTACACAACTTTTCGCGTGTCTCTATGCTCGATTTGTTAGTATTTTTTCCGTAACATTTAAATACCAGGATGAGAAGGATGCTCAACTAAGTAAAACAATATGTTAGTGTCTCGGGCACATTAACTTCTTTGGCACATTTACGAGTTTAATGTAAAACAATACAAAATAAATAAAAAAAATATATGAAAAGAAATCTATTGTGTTATTGCATCATTTGTATCGGTCATTACCAACACCGACCTGTTTGGCTAAATGACATGCCCGCGCTGGTGAATTGATTATTTCATAGTAAAATACTGAAAAATTGAGCGCGAGACCTAATCGAATCGGATGCGTGGGCTGCATTTTGGTTTTGGCAATGTCGAACGCTTCTTGATAAGACTTTTGTGAGTCTTCAACAACAGCTATGAAATAAAAGGGAATACAGAGAATAAAAATCATAGAAAACAATCCAATAATAAAAAAAGAGGATTTTATAAATTCAATGAAAATAAAGAAGAGAAATCTTGGAATTGATAAATGGACAAGCTGAAGACGAAGATTGCATTACGTCTATAAAACGTACGTAAATTACGGAAAACGTAAATCACAAAGATAACGTCAACCGTAAGGAATGTAACGTAAGCGAAGTTAATCAAAATAGCATTCCTGTGAGTGAGTAAATCATGAAATTCCTCAGCTTTTTACACTTTTTTTTCTCAGACATGAAAGAAAAGGTCGAGTGAGTAAGTGACAACGAAGAATCATCAGACAACGAAGAAGTAGCAAACAACAGAAGAAGCAGTCGACAATGAAGTGTGAAATTCTTTCTTCGTTTTCGCTCCATTTCTACCTGCTTCGCCAATTGACAAGCTTTGTCGGGTGAATTCAGTATCTCATAGTAGAAGACTGAGAAGTTCAGTGCCAAACCCAATCGAATAGGATGTGTGGGCTGCATTTTGCCTTTACTAATTTCAAAGGCATCTTGGTATGCGGCTTGGGAGTCATCTACTACGGCTGGAAATTTATTAAATTATCATTTAAATAAAATTAAAGAAATTCTTTCAAATCTCCAAAAGGAAAAGAGGATTTTGTCATAAAATAAATCTTATTAAAGTAGATACTTACTGTTGCGAGTTTCGCCGGTTGCAACCTCAGCCAAATATCTGTAATAATCGCCCTTCATTTTCAAGTAGAAGACTTTGCTTTCTGGATTACTGGCTTTGGGAATAAGGAATTTGTCCAAGAGTCCCTGAAAGAGTATTAATCAATTTAGTTATTTATCTTCATGAACATGAAAACGTGAAAAAATAAAAACTCACCAGCACTTCGTAACAAATTTCCCTAAGCTCCTTTTCGACGCGCTCTCTGTATTCACGTGCCAACTGTTGTTTTCGAGCTGAGGATTCCGTTTTTTGTTCAATTGATGAAATTACACGCCATGATGATCTGAATGAAATGATGAAAGATCATGAATTGCTGTCACATTTAAAATTTATTGACTTACCTTCGGGCACCGACTACATTTTTGTAAGCAACTGACAGTAAATTTCGTTCTTCATTTGACAGTTCAACGCCTGTTTCTGTGACAGACTTCATGGCTTGAGCCATATCATCGTATCTGTAATAATTAATAAACAAAGTTAATATTAAATTGATATTTTGTACTAATTAAATTAAAAGTGATATGAGAATTATTCATTAACTTACCTCTCAGACTGTTCGGCGAGTTTTGCCTTTTGAACGAGCTCTTCTTTGTCGACGGTTGACATGTTTGTTGCTTGGCTTTTACTTTTTGTTTTTCTTAACTTTGTTTCTTGACGATTCGAGAATTATTGACTTAGGGGCGGGAAAATCTTGCTTTCAAATGTTTCTCGTGAAAGTGTGTCTGTGTGTAAAATTTTCTGTCGTTCACCTGCACGTGGACTTTTGAAAGTCTCTAATCTTGAACCCTAGAAAGAAGAAAGTAAAAGAAAATGTTCCATTAAGTTCATCATGTGTTGTTGCCTTCATTTTGAAAATAATTCGATTGGAAGTGATTCGGTGAAAGGAAAACTTAATTAAGAATTTTCTTGATGTTTACGAGCATAGGAAACTCTTTCAAGTTTAATCATCATAGTTATTGTTGTCATAACAACAATTCCATTAAACTGGTACACAAAGTTCAATCCGTTGTTTTATTGAAAGCTCTTAAGCTCTTCTGTTATCTTAAAGTTATAGTTATGTGTACGAATAATTATTAATTTACGAAAACAATTCAATTAGTGGAAGTCTCGTTTTCAACTAAGGTGATTTAATTAACTATTGACGATGTGAGACTATGGAAATTAATTTTCTTATTCCATATAATCAAGAGACGTAAACGGAAATCATTACCGTAACTAAGAATGAAGACGAATAAAGGAAACCAAAGAAATTCGCAATCAAATCCAATGGAATTTATGATGAAATGTTTTTATAATTCAACTTGTTCTGAATACCGTTATACAAATTTTTCTTTAAATAATTCACTCAAGGTTCTACTGATTACTACATAGCTATGCATAGGCATGATGATTATTATCCTGGGATTGTTACATTGAGCCAAATGACAGAGCGAATAAAAACCCCATGGTAAAGAAATATAAAATTTGCTTTAAAAGCGTTTCTTGAAGTTACTTCAAGTACAAAATTTTATCCAATGTAACAACATTGCTCAACAATTCAGAGAAAAAATAACAAGGAGAAAACATTTTTCCATAACTTTCCTTTGTGCTGCTTGAATTTTCATTATTTTATAATATTTATAAAGCAAACGCTTATTAAATATCCTCTCGCTAATTAAAAACTTTTAATTAAGTTTCATTTAAAAAAGGAGCAAAGATTTTGTTTCTCTTTTCCAATTATCAATTATGAAATATTCTTTCTATATAGATATTAAAAATGTATGATTATATGATACAATCTGCAAGTTCATAAAAGTTCAAAGCAGATAAGGATGCTTCGAAAAACTAAGGCGCCAAAGTCATTGATTTTTTGCCATTATACTACTTATTTGACTAAAGCTTCTCATGTTTCCTAAAAGTAATGTGGACTCTTAGGTAAACTGGGAAAGCTCGTATTCACTTGTCGGCGACATAAAGCTTGAATTTCAATACGATCACGATGCAAATATATGAAAAAGTGATGAAGATGAAACTCTTGCTTATTTCTATCAACATATTAAAATTTCATTAATCAGAGAAAAGCATTTTAAGCGAATTGAGAGAATTATGTCGAACGTTCACTTCTTTCCATGAAGCCTCTCAATAATAAGAAAAACAAAATATAATTTTCCAATACATGTATAAGTAAAGCTAGAGCAACGAACGTTAACACAAACTCTTCTTGCTTCTTCTCCCGATCTATTAAAAGAATTTTTCTTTCGCTTTTTCTTTTTATTTTCTTCATAGCACGAAAACTGTTCTTCTGATGAAATGAAAAAATCTTCCAACATATTTATTTCTTCCTAACATCATCTTCATCATCATCATCTTACTTAACTCATACTTTTATCTTCGCTGAAATCGGAGGAAGAAAATAAAGCGAAAACAAATGTTATTACACCGAATCATTCATTCACATGGCAACCGTAAGTAAAAAAGATGGAAATTTTTGATTGAATTTTCATTAGAAAATTATTTTTCTTCTCTTCAATCGAATTATTTAGCTCGTTTTTCATTCCTCTCTCTCCTCTTTTTTATCTCGTCATGAACATGCTTGCTGTCTATCTCATTGAATCGTGCGCGATGATAGAAAAAAGAAAAAAAGTTACAGTGCCAGACTTCTTCTTTTTTTGCAGTCTTTTTATGTGTTCGGAGTGAATTAAAAACTGAGCAGAGAAGCGCACACTTTCATCTCGTATTTCGGACAATTTTCATGTTACTAACGGGCGATATGATTCACTCCAAGCAACACCACAAGTGAACAAGGAGAGAAGAAGGAAAAAACCTTCTCCGATGAAGACGAAAAATCGATATTTGCTTGAAACATTCGAAAGTGGAATAAAAAAATGATGAAAATTCATGTTGGCCTTTCGTCTGCAGTTTTCTTTCAAACACATTGGAAACTATCTGCTTGTTCTGCAGTTAAAAGCACTCACATACACACCTACATTCATACGGGATGAGAATTTATCAGTATTACCTGATGCGCTTTTTCAGTTGCAAAAAATATCCAATTCTCGGTTAAATATCCTTTCACAGCTTCTTTATTCTTTTCTTCTTAAAAAACTTATCACTTTTCTCTACTGAGAATACCTTAATGGACCAGATGTTATTATAAAACACGCTAATTTTGATTAAATGGCACACAGCATTACGTGCTGCTAAATCAGACGCTCAATAAGTTGAGCAAGAATTCCGAAAATTCACGGAGAAAATAGAAGCGGTAAGAATAGAAGAAAAATCAATTTTTCTTTATCTAAACTTTACAAAAACTTCGTCGCGTTTCCATCCAAAATTAATTTCGTTTAATTTTCACGAACGTTCTCGTTTGTTTCGGTGACAATATAATTTTCATCCGGTGGACCGCCGCGCTCAATTTTCTTTTCTCTTCTTTTCGTGACAAATTCTTTTTCCTATTTTCCGATTAAATAAAAGTATTTTTTCCAGAATGCCTTCTTTTCGCTTTTTTAAAACCAATTTGCAACCGAACGAATCAACAGTGAAAATTATACTAAAGAAAAGCTCAGGGATTTTCCTCAACATGCTTTATCACTCTCACAATCAGATTCTCTCTTGAACATTTTCATTTGTATTTCACAATGACTATGGTAGTATATGAAAATGTGTGTGTACATATTTGAGTTGGTAGCCTCAGAACACGAGGAGATGATGCGGTAAAAGCACAAACATACATTAAATTCTCTATGTACATGTTCATAAAAAGTATAAAGCGCATTAGGTGTGCCCTAGACAATTTTCCATTAACAAAGACAAACAGAACATCAATTCAACCACCCACACAATTCCGTTTCATTTACTTCTTCCTTTTGATATCAGAGAAATATCTTTTGTTAGTAACAACGCTTTCGATGAAGACTCAACTAAGAGAGTTAAGTCGAATTTTGTTCTTAATATACAACAAGAAAATTAGTTTACGAAAAATATTACAAAGATAATTTTTCAAGTGAAATCTACGCAAGTTCATTACACAAGACACTGATCGGATAAGAACTGAAACTTCGCATTGCTTTTATCAAAAGGAAAAAGAAGCGATTTATTGTGATAAATAAAATATTCAACAATTGGTTTCTCCGCTCTAATCTCATCTCACAATACCGGCAAAAGTTTGCGAAGGAGAATCATAGGCAAACAAGAAAGACGTTAAGATCTTATCAGACGACGAAAAAAAGCGAGAAACTTCTTAAGGTGTTTAGGGAAAATTTAATGAAATGAAATTCAATATTGTTGGAAATATAATTTTTTTTCTCTTCCTTTCTTCCAGCTATATTGTGTTTGTGCTTTTCCATTGTTCAACACCGATTTGCATCTGAATATAAATGCTACGTGATTTTTTCAACTCAACTCATATAAAAATTAGAAGTTGAACAAAAAGCTTTAATAAAATAAAAACAATCCAGATAAATGCATTGTTAAATTTTCTTTCATAAATGCCATGTTTTAAATTGAATTCAATTTATAACAAGCCACAAGTACTTAAACTTAAGAAACAAGAACTTTTCAAGCGACTATAATTAGAAACGAAGAAGTGTATAAATCAACAATAAAAAAACCAGGAAGGTTTACATAAACACTGCAAATGTCCTTGAAATTATTGAGCTTACTTCGCATGCAAAAGCACGTTTAAAAGCTTAATTGTGGAACAGAAAAATTAATGCGTCGCATGTTCTAGCAGGAAAAAAAATCTCAATTTTTTTCGAGCCTGTTTGTGTCTGTCACATCATAAAATAAAGTGAAACAAATACGATAACAGCAAATCTTTCATTTATATTATTCGCTCCGCAATTTTCCCGGATAAAACACTCTTACTATCTTTGCCTCATAGCGTATTTGCGTCTTTATAAAAATAATCTGTTGCGTAACTTTTGATATCAAGTACGACGAAAAAAAGAAAAAAAAAATATTTCTCGCAGTTTTTTCAAGTCTATAAGAATTTTTTTCGTTAAAAATTTTCTTCTTTCTGGCAGTTTACGGTTCACAGCGTGAAGGAAATAGAAAAAAGAAATAAACACATTTAGCCATTGACGTTATGACATGAAAAATTAAGAAGAAAAGCAATGAACTCAAAAATATTTTCTCCTATCGATACAAATAAAAGCATCAGTCAAATATTCCGCTTAATATGAGTGGGCACACAAGTGAAGTCAAAGGTAAATAAGTCGGCAATATTTCCCTAACCAAATTGCTTAGCAAAACTGAAACATAATAATTATGGTAATGACGTCAGACGCACACCAACATTTACTCCAACTCAAAACAGAAAATATTTATGTCAGCAACATTTCTTTTAACATTTCAAATTAAGGAAAAATAAAATTAATGAGCTTTTGGTTGGTGCTTTCAAGCTCAACTCAAAAAAACGAGAAAATATATGTCTAAGTCATAAAAGAAAAGTTTGATTAAGTTTCTCAGGTAGCAGCTGTAAAGGTAAACGTTGTGGCCAGTGAGTCGCGTGTCGTCAACAAACATAAGTTTCTCTTTTCTTCCCTTGAGAACTTTTACTATTCGTGTAACAGGAGTATAACTCCCAATTTTGAGTTATTATAAAATAAACACGAGAGCTAAATGATGAAATAATTGTACAAGGAAATTATCACCAACAGGTTAACATTCGCTTCATCTTGAAATTCCGTGACTCGGTCATTACATCAAATATTCATAGAACTGTTCCAAAACACAACACATTACGTTGTAAAAAGAGAGAAATACGTTTAAAAAGCTCATATCGTCATTTCACATAATCAGCTTATACTTTTGTGTTATGCGAACACATGATATGTCCTCAAAAAGCCCTTTCAGATGATAAATCATTTAACTGTGCCCACAACTTTTTTTTACACATTCAACCGAAGTCAACAGTCATAAAGATTTATTGTTCTCCTTTTTACCACCCCTACTTTCCGTCATCTATTCATAAGCGTAATCTTCATTCATTATTGATCATTTCGTATTTCAATTAGACCTGAATTAGTGAATGAAATACAAAGCAAATTATGTACATATTGTTCTTATTTCAATCGACAATTAGGTATTTTGATGCGTATGATTTCAAACGTTAAATTGTTTTTCTATGTCAAATGAATGTAAACAACAATAAATTAACATAAAACAAATTGTTATAATTGCACCAAAGTTAAATACATAAAGATCAACAAATGCATACACTCGCAGAATTAGCTTAACAATCAACATTCAATGTCTCGTGATGTCATTAATGAGGTGAAACGTATTATCCATTTCTATTACTAAATTTATTATTATTTTTTTGAATGTATCAAAAGCATTTGGTCAGTCCGAAAAAAAAGAAGAAAACAGAATAAAAGTTATGCAAATAAATAAACGTTCGATATTAGCAGAATTATAATCAGCAATACAAGGCTGGTAAACAAGGTTTCACGTTACTATACTGTCGGAAGTGAACGAAAGCAACCCTCAAAATGATTCCATAGAAGTTTCATTTCCTTTACTGTTGAAATTTTCAGCTGCACGTATAAGCATTTTTACCAAATATAAAAGGCTTTAAACATTCCATAAATATTCGTTTTGAGCCATTTCTATGGAATTGATTTTGAAGTTAATCGCTTTGCACAATAGAAAAGACATGAAACTCTTCATAAAGCTGTCTAAATATTTATGATAATTTGCATGAAAAAAAGAATTGAATTCTTCATCGGTGACAATTGGTGTTCTTGTAAAAAAAATATCGATAATGGCCAGGGTTTGTCACATTTTTTACTGCTTTATTTACGCCCAATAAATGAATGATTCATAATACTATCAAGCGAAAAATGTTTTCGTTTGTTCTCAAAGCCCTGAACAAAAAATAAAATCTCAGAGCGATTTCTCGGGTTCGATTACGTCATCATGTGATACTTTTTTTTGAAGACTTTCCTCGTCTATTTATTAGGAAGTATTTCTGTTAATGTGTGAGTGCATTTTAAGCCTAAAATTGTGTATCTTTACTGAGGGATTAGTTAATTTGAAATTGAAGTTTCTACCCTGAATAACAAAACTCGAAATGAACAAATTAGTTCCCTTAACAAATGACTTTAATTTGAAATTCTTTAAATGTATGTTAAAAAAGAATTTAATTAGCATTCAGTCAACGGAAAATTTTCTTTTAAGATATCATTTTTGGAACCTTATCAGTTCACTCAGTAAACGCGTCATATTATCCAACCATGCTTAAGATCATTTCACAATCATTACATTTGGAGCTTTTTTCATTTTTTTCCAATTCAATAAGTTTTTCAGGAAGCTGATGTTCGATGTTCGTCAGCAAGTTAAAAAGAGAGGTAGTGATTAATTCAAGACGAATGAACCCGGCAAGAGAAGAGTATGACTCAGAACGTCTTCAATGACTCGAAACTATAATAATTTGGTACCAGAATAGAAATGATGCTTCTAATAATCATTTGCAATAAACAACAATTACGTTTATTTCGTTTGTCACACTTCAGAACGAGCACATTTGAACAGATTGGAAACTACACGGGAGTGGCCATTTGCTTTTGAGGGTATAATTCATCAGTAATGTTATGTGATTACTTTCTCATGATTGAAATTACGTAGAAGCTTATCTCTTTCATCTTCATAGAAAACTGATTAAATTACGACATTCATTTTTCACTTCAATTATCTTTGCAACGTCACTTTTGTATAATCCCCTATTGTGCGCAATTTTTATCAGAAAGGATTATTGCTTAAATTTAACTCATCACAGTTTTTCATTATTTTATTCAGTTGCACGGAAACTTTATCTAGATAATTTACTTACTTTTGACTTTTTGAAAGGCGTATTACTCTTAAATAATGGCACTGAAAAATATGATGGTATTATCCGAACAATTTTTAATCCGACAGTTAAGTTTTTTCGTCCACTCGAACTTCGTTAAATTTTGAACGATAAGAAATCTGAGTGAAACAATATCGAAGTTTGGGTGTTCTCAAAACAACGAATATTTCCTAATAAACTTGAAATAACATTTATCTAAAGAGTTTAATTAGATCGAATCTTGTTTGATAAAAGCTAGAAATATGGATGAAGACGATCCAATAATTGAAGAGGTTTGTTGAATTGAAATAAATAAAATTTTAATTAAATTATCCATTTCATTTTTAGATTCCGGTTTATCTGTCAAAAAGTCTTGCTAAAAATCTATTTGTTATTCAGTTTCCTATTAAGAATAAAATATACAATATCGACAAATCCTCAGTGTCAAATTGTTGTGTTAAGCCAGTAAGCCAACAGGTAAAATTTCTCTTTAAATTTCATGATTTTCATCTTAACACATGTCACATTTTAGATAAAAATCGATTTTAAAGTCGATACAGCATCAAAGAATTATGACGCTTTTAAAGGAAAAATGTTGGCTGAAGTTGCTGATGGAAATCGTGCCACAAACAGTAACAATAAAAATGAACATCCTTCCTTTGAGTCAGGCAGAATGGACAAAGTGAGTTTTGTGAGTTCTGTCTCAGTTCAAAATCCTCGCTATGCTTTAGGAATGATGATGGATAAAGAACTTCATTTAGTACCAGTTAAAAGTAATTATGACTTTAATTAGGAAAATTGAGGAGTTGAAATTAACAACATTTCTTCATCTTTTTCAGCATTTTATCAAATGAGACAAAATTATTTGTACTTCGACAAAGGTGATAAACGTACAAAAGCAGAACAGAAAGCAGAAAATGGCTCAGATGATGAAACTGAAGATTTAAAGCAAGTCACAGTGAAGTTTGCTCGTTCTGGTGATGCAGAAAAAATTAAAAAGGCACGAGAGAGATCATATCACTACATTTCTCATATTGGTGCTGATGAACCTTGGTGCGAAGCTCTAATTTACTCAAACAAGTCTTCACAAGCAGAGATTGAACGTCAGAAAATTCCACTGTCACATAATGCAATTGATGGACATTTCACCAGCATCAAACCAAATGAATATTTTGCAGATTTAATTAGCGATCATGTCACTTTAAATGCAACGAATCTTGCAGCTTCTGCTTTGGACACAAATGAAGAGCAAAGTGAAAGTAAATGTCAGACAATACACGTTCCCATCAGTAAGAAGCAAATTAAGAAACTTCCTTTACTTGATCAAATCAAAATATTTCTCAAAGATGGTAAGAAATGGGCTGAAACATCATGAAATTGTGAGAATAATTTTAAATCTTTTTGCAGCAAAACTTCTTCCTTTCAATCAACTTATGGAGATGCTTTCCAATCCTAACATTTCAATCGATAAGACTCTTCGTAGTCTCGCATTATGCGGTGTTATGATTCGTGGGAATTGGACACTTCAATCTGAAATTCTCTACCCTGAAGGCTTTGTGTCTTTAATTAATGGCGTGTCATCAGAGCTGATGTGTCGTGGTCGTGATTATATTATTTATAAACTTTTGAAAAATGAAATGACAACATTAAATCGACAAAAAATTTCGATAGTAACGCAACTTCCACAAGAAGAGACAAAAGAAATTCTTGAATCACTGGCATGTGTCAAATTTACAGATAAAGGAAAAGTGTGGGATTTACTTAAGCAACCAGATTATGACTTTGAAAAACGACATCCAGAAATCGTTCAAAGACAAGATGCGTTCTGGAAAGCGCAAGAAGAAAAATTCCTCGAAATGGAAGCTGAAAAAAATGAAAAACGAACCCGAAAAAAGTCTGTACGTGAAACAAAAGCGTAAATTTTGTAATAAAAAAAAATTTTATGAAAATTTATTGAAATAAAAAGAAAATTTTATTTAATTTACAAGAGATTTTGTCGATTGAAAAATGTCATCGTAAACTGTCTCTCGATTTGATTTTGTAATGTGAAAAGTTCGAGACTTTGGATGTTGCTTGAGTTTGTCGATAAGTTTTAATGGAGTTTTTAGTGGGACAGTTGCAATAACTCGGAAATTACTATTTGAGCATATAAGATTATTTATAAATATTTCAAACTTTCTACTCAGTAATTCCATCTTGCCAATCTCATCGATAACCAGCAATGACGTATGATCAGATTGTTTCACTTCTCTGAAGATGAAATCTTCAAACTCTTGAACGTAAACGATGTATTTTCCGACTTTGTAATTCATTCCCGCTCTTGGTTGATTATTTTTTGATATTTCTGAACTACAAGTTAGTAAGAATTTGTATTGAACTTGAAAATTAATGATAAGTTAATCATTTACCTACTTAGTTCTTGATAATATTCCTCGATTTCCTTCTAAAGAAACCACATCAAATCCTATTCTTTCACCTTTCTCATCTCTTACTTCTTCCGTGTAGAAACCTTGAAGACTCAACGACTGCACTTTTGTTCTGAGATCTTTGATGATCTTTTGAACGATCGTTGTTTTGCCGACACCTGGCAATCCTGTTATCAATAAAAATGACATTTCTCTGAATGTAAACAAACAAAATTTTATGTTGTATTGCTGGGGTTTATTCATCGTTAATGTCAGAAATGCCAATTTTCTTCTGATCATTGAAGTTAAGCAACATCAGAAATAATAAGAAAACAAATTGTTGACTGTTTGAGAGAAAAAAGACGATAAGTTGTCGATGTTATTTTTAATTCAAGAAAACCTGAAACAAAATTTTCATCTTTTTGTGCAACTCTGAAAGTAATTAAACAAAAACATGATTTTTTTTCATTTCTTTTTATTATAAATCTGATTGTGTGTAACTAGCATTTTTTTCATCTTCTGATAAAACTTTTACTTTTTTTTGAATCCATTTACAGATAAACATATTTTTTTGTGTATGTCTCTAAATGATGATTCTCACTTATTAAGTACTGAAACTTGAAGGCGATTTTCGTTTTCTTCTTTTTTTTTGTCCTTAATCATTCTTTATTCAACAATAAAAACTGTGATGATTGAAAAGAAAAGCTGACAATTCCTTAAAAAAATCTCTTTTGTGAATTTTTCTTTCTTCTCCTTTTAATGTAATGAATTATTTAAAAATTTAATTTTGTTAATAAGTTTTGTCGTTTAGAAATAAAAAAAAGATTTTGATGGATCATTTAAATTATTGAATAAAATTGCAAAATATTAAACTAACTTTTTTATTATTCTTAAAGCCTAGATAACTTTAAACCTTATTCGCTATAAAAACGTTTATCATCAAAGAAAACTTACCACCACTATTTCGGCATAAACGCTTGATTTCCACTCATGCCCATTTGATTTCTTTGATTGTTGTTGTTAGTGGCGTATAGCTGTTGCTGGAAATTATGATACTGTTGGGCGTAGTTCGGATCGGCAGTGCTGGGAAAGTGAGATTGCTGCTGTTGTTGTTGTTGCTGCTGCTGTTGCTGCTTAAAATGTACTGGCGGTCCACCACCGGGACCACCCATCATTTGCATTTGTTCAGCATTCGGTGGACCACCCATTGGACTACCTTTAGGACCAGCGACAAACATTTGCGGATTTTGCTGTGGACCACCTGGACCGCCAAACATCATTTGATGATCACCGCCCATATTCGGATTGTTTGAACTATTTACGAATGAATTATTTCCCATCATACACGGATTTCCAACTCCAGGCCCTGATGGCCCAGGAAATCTCATCATATTTCCACCAGCGTTCCCTCTCATACCTCTCATCATCATGGGATTCTGATTCATCATTCCAACAGGCGGACCATTGCCAGGTCCCATTTGATTTCCACCACCTTCAGCTGGATCCATTCCTGGTCCCATTCCACATGCACCGGGATTATTTTGATTAGGAAAGTATGGCATATTTTGTTGATTTCCACCAGGACCACCTCCCACCTTGTTCATCTCATCCATGCCCATAGGATTTGTGAATCTTTGAAGAAAATCTAGACTCGGTGGACCACGAGGTGGATTTGCATTATTCATTTGTGGACGGGCAGGCAAGTATTGTATGGTATTCGGTGCATTGGGCTTCACTTGAATATTTGTACCGTTGTAACCCATTGGACGACCCATTCTCATGTTAGGTGGCATAGGACCTCCTGGAACACCAGGAAATCCCATTTGTGGGCCTCCAATTTTCGGCGACATCGATCTTGGACCGCCAAATTGGTTTGGGCCCATACCAGGTCCCATTCCAGGAAAGTCCATTTGTCCACCAGGACCACCTCCCATTTGACCTTCTGGTCCCATCACCATCGGTCCCATATCATTCATCATTCCATTGTTATTGAATCCACCCATCATCGGTTGACCGTTCATTGATCCTGGTACGCCTGATGTCGTTAGTTGTTGTGACATTTGTGCTAATGATGAAATTGGATCAAAATGTGATGGTTTTGTGTTAGTCATAGTTGCGTTACTGTTTGGATTCAATGGCAAATCGGGTCGTCCACTACATGGTGCAAATTGAGGTGGAACATTATTTCCCATCTTAAATTGAAATAAAAATAAAATATTAATTATGTTTTAATGTGATCATAATGAAGTTAAAATTACATCGCCAGATTTCTGATCCATAAAATTTCCCATTTTATTCTGCTGTTGTTGTTGCTGTTGATGTTGTTGGGAATTCGGTCCAAAAGGCATGTTTGGTGTATCTGATGGAAATTGCATATTGCTTTCATTCGATTGCTGCTGATTATTTGGATGTTGGTGAGGTGGAAACTGGGATAAGTCGTTGCCCATCATAGAGTTGGAACGTTGAAGATTATTTTGTGGACTTGGTCCAGCTGGATGTATTCGATTTTTGTCGCCTACTAAATAATTGAATAAAATTAATTTTGAAATGGTGTTAATGATGATTAAATGAATTTACTTGACAACGATGATCCACCTGGCGTGTGGGGACTTGATGGAATGGGAAAACTATTCATGTGAGGATTTGATGATGATGTTGGCGTCTTTTGACCAGGAAGTCGATTATCGAGATTTAAATTTCCTTGATTTGGTCCACCACTAATAGAAAACATTTAAAATTTGATTAACAATGAAGAAATGGAATTTCGAAAACTTTCTAACTTTCGATATCGAAAATGAAATATTTTCGAAAATCGACAGCTTACACACATGACGTTAAGGGACATTTCACTTACATATTTGATCCATCTTTGATGTTTGTATTCGGTTGTTTTTGTATCGTGAGCTCTTGACTTTCAAAAGTGTTCAGATAGGAGATTTGTTGAGGTGATGGCACGGGCATTAAGTTAGGTTCTTTGTCTGAAACAAAATCTATTTAAATGATTTTCAAAAACGAGAAAAAATGATAACTTACTAGGATTGCTGTTCATTTCGAGATCCTTGAGACTTGCACTTGGCGATAAATGCGATGAAATTGGTGTACTGGGATTACTATGATTTATTTGACGTCCCAAAGCTCCAGCAGGTGAGTCTTGTGATGAAATCGTTGGACTTTGACGCGGATTCATATGTTTCATGTTTATATGTTGTGAATTTAAAGAACGTGTCGGATCACCAGCAGCTGGTGAATTGAGCGTTGAATTGCAACCACCTCTTGGTGATGGTAATGAAAGATTAGATGTTGGATTATTGGGACTGTTGGGATTAGGACTTTGTGTTGCAATAGGCACAGATGCTGAACGTGGTGTTTGATGGTACGGCGGTGGTGGGCCTTGTCCTGGACCAGGCCCTGGACCTCGCATATTAGACATATTTCTCATTGCACCGGGAGGCATTTGTCGTCCCATTGGACCCATAACTGGCCCCATTGAAGGATCATTCATATCCATAGGTCCACACATTTGCGGTGGTCCTTTTCGTTTACCTTCATCGTAATACTGTTGTTGCAATTTATTCCACTCCATGTGTGCTTGCATGTTTCCTGGACCTTGTGGGCCGCCCATCATATTCGGTGGCATTCCCTTCTGTCCCATCATTCCCATGTTTCCTGGTCCACCACTACAAATATTATTCATGTTGTTCATGTTACAATTTCCCTGTCCCATGTTATTCATTCCCATGTTATTTCCTTGCATGTGTGGTGGAAGATTCATGTTGCCCATCATCGCTCCACCAGGACCACCCATTTGCATGTTGCCAGAATTCATTGGCCCTCCTGGTCCGCTTCCCATTACACCACCACCCATACTCGACATCATTTCGTCGTTTAATGAGTTTGGATTGATTCCGACAGGTCCTGGTCCTGGACCCATGGGACGACACATTTGACCTCGAGGTCCCATTCCCATTTGAGGGAAGTTGGGACGCATTGGTCCATTCATTGGATTCATCGGACCATGAGGATGATTTCCGCCTTGCTGCATCATTGGATTCATCGAGTTCGGTCCCATTGGTCCAATTTTCGAGCATGGTCCGGGTCCGCCTTGTTGATCTTGTTCATTAATTTGACATTCGTTGGGTGGCTCTTGCTTAAACATTTGTTTGAGCTCTTGAAGTTGTGCAAGTTTAAGTGCACGTTGATGTCGTTGTTGTGGCGTAAGATCTTCATCGGGAACTTTAACACCTTGCAATGACGGTATGTTTGGACTCGTTGGATCCATGCAAATGTTACCTCCCATTGGACTTTGATGTGAGTTATTAATTTGATTTGATTGAGAATTTGGGCCGAGTGGGTCATTTACAAGACTCTCAATACTGGGATCGTTAAGTAGTGGATCTAATGACGGTCCATTATTCCCTAATGGATCCATATTCATTTGATGTTGATTACCTTGACCCCACATCATATTTCCATCGGGATTATTCATATCACAACTTGGAGGAAAGCCTCCTTGCATTCCCATTTGATTATTAATTGGACCACTTCCAGATTGTTGAGCGTTCATCGGATTGTTCTTCATGAAATTAAAATTTTGTTGATTTAACGGCATCATTCGTGACTTCTTGTTACTATTGACATTTGCTTGCATGTTGGGAAACCAACCACTTCGATTAAATTGATTTACTTTTAATGGAAATTTCTAAAAAGGAATTCAATAAGAAACTTTCGTTTTATATTTCAAATGAGAATGTCAAATGTTTACCTGTAAAAACTTTTTCGTTTCCGGTTGTGCACAATGATAAGCAATAATCGTTTGAAATTGTCCACTTCGGACAGCTTCAGCACCTTTATTCGCAAGTGCTGTTGAGAAGACAAAGATTTGACTTTGCTGTTGCATATACTGAAAAGAAATCATGATAAGAAATCGTTTTTATGATAAGAAATATAAGACGACTTACATCCATGCTGTTTGATTGTTTGTTAACAACATTCGATGGTAATGGTTGAATTCTTTCTGGCGAATTTTGTGATGTTGCTGGACGATTAGGTCCTGATGGATTATTTATGTTTCCAAAATTGCTATTTGTTAAATTATTTCCATCCACGCCACCTAAGGGATCTGTTGCAGGATCTTCATTTTTGATATGCATTCCAAGTTTATTTGATGAATTATTTCCACTACCTGATGCGTGCAGGTCGTCATTATTAAGTACTTAATGATGAAACAGAATGTTAAATCAAAATACATTCTAATTAAATTAATTAACTTATTCACTTACACTCATCTGAAATATTACTATCATGTGTTGGATCTTTATCATCCGACATTAGAGGATTACTTGAGGAATTACTGTTCTTGTTATCATTCGTATCGTTATTATTATTGCTATCATTGCTATTCACATTACTGGATGTAGAAGCACCAGAGTTTGTCGATGATGAAGCTGCTGTTGATTCTTTCTTGATTATATTTGTCGGTGGTGATCCGTCTTCATGTTTAATAGACGTGACTATTAATTGTTCCGTTGAATCTAAAATTTTGACTGCATTAATTGATGTGATGTCAGATTGTTTATAATGTTCGTTATCAAAAATCTTACTTTGCTCAATAATCTCTTCTTTTATTCCAAGTATATTCTTATTTGAACTATTATTGTTGGAGCTACTTGAACTGTTACTGTTCTTGCTCGAATTTGATGCTTTCGATGAGCTCGGTGACGACGTTGATGATGAATTTACAGAGTTTGCACTTGATGCATTACTATTATTATTATTTGCATTGTTATTGTTGCTTTTTGAATTATTTCCACCGGAGTTTGAGGATCCAGACGATCCCCCTGAAGATTGCTTTTCTTTTTTATCTTTGATCATTATTTACACACTTGCTGACCATTTACTCATTAGATTCTATTAATTCACACGCGAAATTGAGAGCTTCCTTTTCTGTACATTAATTTCACTTTTACATTATCATAAACTTCTTTGAACCAGATTTATATTTAATATTGTATCAATTAATGTTTTTTAAATTTTATTATTAAGCTTGATTAAGCAAGATGTACTGGAATTTTGTTTGTTCTCACTCTTTTTCACTTTAAAAATCACACTGATAGATGCGCGCAAAGTGCTTCTGGAAGGAGAAGATAAAAAAATAATAATAATACCAAATTTAATTATAAATATCAATTCACGAGGCATGAAAATACGCGGCCAGCAATTTTTTTCTTTCGTGTATTTCTCTCTTCATTTGGAAAGATAAAAATAGAAGAGGAAAAAAATATTTATTTTCACATATATTTTTGATTACTTTTCCTTGATTTTACTTGCAATTTTAATAAGTCTTAATGGCTTCAAAAGTTGTAATATGATGTTTTTTTATAGATTTGCATAGAAATTTCATTGAAATTATGCTGTATTCTCATTGCTTTCGGTAAATGTTTGGAAAAAATTGTTTTCATTTAATCTTACCCACTTTTATAGCTGGTTTGTGTCCATATTCTTTTATTTTTATTCCAGATACTCTGCTTTTCATTAACAAATTTTACAACTTTTCTGTGATTATGAAACCAAATCATAAGTTGTAAACAATAAAATAACACTTATTTAAACTAGATAAACTTTTTAAAGCGAGTTTTGTATGCTCCGATTCTGTTTAATTTGTTTAAAATGTTAATATCGAGATATTCACTGTGTATAAGCGATACTTCTGGGGTTATCCTACAACTTTGTCACCTTCTCTTATTCCAATGAATTTTATTGGAATTTCTAAAAACTTTTTATTGCTCTCGTTACATATAATTATTGATAATTATATGAAATTGAACAATATTTTCTTAACAATACTTTGAAAGTCTTAATTGACGAAATATCCCAGCGTCAAGATGTTGTTTAGTTAGGATTTTTTACAGTAGAGAGCGCTCATTATTATTTTTTGAACTTTGAATTCAAAGATGCTTTTTGAACTTGAAACGTGTTTTTGAATTTTACCCAACCGTTATTATTTAATACACCAGATTAAAAAACTTGTGTGTTGAGTCTTTAAACTTTGAACAAAATTTCTATTTTTTATAAAATTCATTAGATAGGTATCATAGATTTATTTACTAGACGCAAAAGCAGCTTTTTTTTCTTTAAATATCTTGCAACTTCTTCAATGCTCATTTGAAATTATGTTAATTTTTAAACCAGGATGTGATGTGAAATTTAATTTAAAACTATTCTATAGAATGAGTTTATAAAAAAATATGTTTTTCAAGTTGCCTACCAAACACCGTCATATACATATTTCTAAACATTTAATGTTAGCATAGAAAACATTGAAAACATAAAAAGGAGGCGGAGTTATGTTGCTTCCAATGTTTTATAATGGCAGGAAATTTTCACAATCATGCTCAGATGAAAATAATTTTCATTTTGTGTTGAAAATTCATCGAAAGCGGAAGTGAAATTTAATTATAAAAGTTGAAGGAAAATTCAGATTGATGGAGAAGTTAAATCGTTGTCAACTTCCAGATTCTTCTTCTTCGCCACCATTAAGTGGAATTTTTCATAACTTCGATGACGAGGCAATGTCAGATTTACCTTCTTGTGTATACGCAAATGTTCATCATCACCATCATCATCAATTAAGCTCAGCTCAGATCCCCTTAAATAATTTAGGATTATCTTCAAATACTAATCAATCACCAACCGGTGGCAACAACTTAAGAATTAATCACAATAATTTTAAAATTCATCAACATTTTCTTCAGCATTCTGCTGATGTTTCTGACGTACCAGCAACATCGACTTCGACAGCTTCTATGAGTAATTTTGGTGGACCAATTAAAAACAATAGACAACATGGAAATGTTCGAGAACGTAAAAGGACTATTAGGTCGGCACCAAATGGGTATACTTATTTAATTTATTAAATAATTTTTTATTATTAACATTCTCAAATTGTTATTAATTTTTTAAAGTTCCATCAATTCCGCATTTGACGAGCTACGTGTTCATGTTCCAACATTTCCATATGAGAAACGTTTAAGCAAAATCGATACTTTAAGATTAGCGATTGCATATATCGCTCTTTTACGTGAAGTTTTAGAAGCTGATTATGATCCCTTAACTTATGTTGAAAAATGTCTACGAGGTGAAATCAAAGCAGATCGCGCAAGTTGGAATACAAGTGGTAAGAATTTAGATAAACTTTAATGGAAATAATTTATTTAAATATTTCAACTTGAAAAAAGATCTGACAGCTCGTTTATCTTGGATCAATTGGGAAAATCTTGGAGTTCATCCTGGAAGACGAACACTTTTAACAACACTCGCACTTGGTGCTGATACTACTCATCTTATGGGACCTCACATTTAAAAATTTGATAAAACATTTTCCACTTTTTAAAATGTATTCTTCATAACTCATAATAAATGTGCAATATAATTGAAGAAGTTATAACTTTTTTTTCTGCGTTTAATTTAGCAAATATTATTATAGACTAAAAGAATATATTTCATAGTGATTTTTTAATTTCATTTCAATCCTTGAGTGAAGTAGTCAACTTTGTGTTCACCAAACGAATCGCTTCAACCTATTTGTAAAATGTGAAAAAGAATTTCAATCAATTATAAAAAAAGCGAAATTATGTTGATGATAAACTTACATTGATATGAAGATGAAAAAGGAAACATTATTGTTTGCTGAACATATTCAGCATAGAGTCGAAATTTTTCTTAATGTCAATAAGTTTTTTTATATTTTCTGGTTGGTTTAGCAATTCGTCTTTCAATGGCTTATCAAACATTGATCGAATGACTTCAAATGCTGAAGTTTTCATTTTATCACAATTGAAGAGACAAGCAAGCTCGAAAACATCCATTGCATTGTTAACGTTTAGATTATCAATGATCATCTCCTCAGTAATTGTCATTAAATTCTGCACTTTAAACTTCGCTGCGAGAGCAAAAAGTTCCAAAAAAAGTGAAACTTCAATTCCTTTCTTTTCTTTTTGTTTTTCTTCTTGCTCTTGTTCTTCTATTTCATTCGTGTAGAGAAATTTCAGGAAAATCTTCACAACTGCGGGATTTATGTTTTTCATTTGAATTTCATCAGATGGTCGATCTTTCATCTCATTTTCGAAAATTGAAGTAAACACTGAACTCTGAACAGATAAAATAGCTTTATGTGCTTTGAATTTCTCCGTATCAGTAACAATCGTTATGTCCGAGAAACGGCCAGTCGTCCAAAGCTCATTGAATCCTTCAGTTTTTATATCCTGCAATTTTTTGTTTGATAACGTCTGCTCGTCTTTCTTATTTGGTTTATCACATTTCTCAAAAATCATGGCCATCAACTGGACTAGAGAATCAACTTTATTTCCATTAATTTTTTGCGTATAAGATGAGTCACAATAAACAGCATCAATGGAACGATTTCTGCGAAAGTCTACAAGTTTTAAACCATTTTTCAATATTGGCATGAGAACTTCTGAAGACATGAATTGCAAATCATTGTCGCGGAATGAAATGGCATTAAGTTTGTTCATATTTCTAAACAGATTATCTGGAAGTGAAGCGATTTTGTTTTTACTGCACCATAGTATCTGAATATTTTCTAGTCCGTCCAAATCTCTTCGTGTTATTGATTTCAATCCACAATTATGAATTCCAACAGCTTTCAAATTAGGAAAAATTTTGTTCAATCCTTGAGGGAAGTAGTTGACCGTTGTATTACTAAACCAAATAGATTCGACATCTTTGTCACTTTTTCCATCCAAATGTTTGCCATTAATTTTTTGAATGATCGTGTTTGGTTCTTGTATTGAAGAAGAAGAAATAGTACTCGTGTATTCACTCCCAATTTCAAGCCAATTCCAATATCTAAATTCACAAACTAAATCCATATTGATAAAATTTAGCCTAATGAAAACGATTTTAAATTGTTCGGTGTCTGGAAATGAACGTAACAAGAAATAACACATTGTGCATCATGAAGTTACAATCATCAACAGTTACATCATCAACTTCCTTTGAATTTTTCCGTAAATCTCTCTTAATAATTCTTTGAACAAATTTCCTGATGAATTAATAAGAATCGGACAGTTGATGGGTTAGTACTTACTTATCTTGTCGAAGCTATTAAATCCCCTAGATCAGCAGACATTCAAATCATTAAGCCTTTTTAATTTCAATGTTTTTGTTAACAATATAGAAATAGATACCTAATTATAAAAAGAATATTAAAGTGAATCGTTTAGCGTTTAATATTGAAACTTTTTCAAAATTGCTAATTTCAGATTGCGAAGTTGTTATCAGTATTGTTGGGCGTTATTTAAGGGATGCTAAACTGTGATCATCGTTACATGATCGTTAAATTTGGGTCAAATCACAACAAATGTTAAAGTTTATCAATCTGGATTTGTAAAGCTGTGATGATTTTTTGAAATAAATCTGAATATTTCTCTACCTAATTCTTTCTGTAATAAATGATGACATTTTTACAGGTAAAATTAATTAAGAACACTAAAAAAACGAGGGAAAATTCAAAATGTGTCTATAACCACCCTCGAATTTTTAATTAATTTTTTTTCTTCATTTTAATGGCATTCATTAACAAGTTGATGAAGTTCAAATGGAATTCTTAATTTTTTAACAGTATTAAAAGCATTTTCATACTCTGAATGATGAATTATTGTAACATGATCTCTATTGTAGAAATTTGAGAAAATTTTGAATGTAAACGAATATAATGACCACGATTTCAACTGTAATTAACAACTTCTTAATGTCAATAGTTATAAAACTCGACCTTTTGTTGGTGATAAATTAACAATGCAACATTCAAATCTAAATATTAATTTTTCTTGTATTTATTCATCATAGAATCGAAATTCCTTTTAGCTTCAATAAGTTCTTTGACAACTTCTGGTTGGTTCATCAATTCATCTTTCAATGGTTCAACAAATATTGATTGAATGAATTCAAATGCTGAAGTTTTCATCTTATCACAATCATAGCGACATGCAAGTTCAAATATTTCAATGGCGTTGTCAACGTATAGATCATCAATGATCATCCCTTCAACAATTCTCATTAAATTTTCTACTTTATATTTTGCTGCGAGGGAGAAAAGTTCAAGCAGATTTGAAACTTCAACTTTTTCTTCTATCTCATCTGTGTAGAGAAATTTCAGGAAAATCTTAACGACTGCGGAATTTATGTTTGTCATTTGAATTTCATCAGATGGTCGATCTTTCATTTTATCTTCAAAAATTGAAGTGAAAACAGAACTTTGAATAGCTAAAACAGTTTTGTGTAGTTTTAATTTCTCTGTGTCAGTGACAATCGTGATGTCCGACAAACGGCCAGTTGCCCAAAGTTCCTTGAATCCTTCTGAAGCGATGTTTTTGATTCTGTTGCAGTTATCGTTTATTGGCTTATCACATTTCTGATCAATTATGGCCACCAACTGGGCTAAAGAATCAACTTTCTTTTCACTCAATATTTGCATATAAGATGAGTCACAATAAACAGCGTCAATGGATTGATTCTCACGAAAATCTACGAGTTTTATATTATTTATCAATGTTGGCATGAGAAGTTCTGAGGACATGCAATGCAAATCATTGTCGCGGAATGAAATGTCAATAAGTTTCTTCATATTTCTAAACAGATTATCTGGAAGTGAACTGATATTGTTGTTACCACAACTTAATCTCTGAACATTTTCTAGTCCAATCAAATCTCTTCGTGTTATTGATTTCAATCCACATTTATAAATTTCAACTGATTTCAAATTAGGAAAAATTTTGTTCAATGCGTTAGGGAAGTAGTTGACTGTTGTATCACTAAAACGAATCGCTTCGACATCTCTGTCATTTTTTCCATTCAAATGTTGTCCATCTATTTTTTGAATAATCGTGTTTGGCTCTGTTATTGAAGATGAAGAAATAGTACTCGTGTATTTGTTTCCAATTGCAAGCCAATTAATGTAATTAAATTCACAAACTAATTTCATAATAAGAAAACTTAAACAAATTAAAAGTATTGTGAATTGTCCAATGTTCACAGTGGAAATAAAAGAGAATGAACAAACTTTATGTTACGAATATCTTATCATTAACTGATAAGATATCAATAGATAAAGATATAAAGATATGACAAACTCTCTCTCTGTGTATGAAAACTTTGAAGGAGCTGATATCACACTGTGATAGGAAAAACTTCTTAGAAGAATTCTCGTTTCACACAAATATTTTCAAAATCATTGAAGAAATTAAATGAAATTTGAAGTTGAATTCTCTTAATTGAAAGAAATTCATTAATAACGTTCATGTTATTTTGATCTGAAATTTTAAAAAGGTGTTAAAAATATTTCCACACAACATATTCAAGTAATTTTTTGTTGATATTAATTTTCTCAGCAACATACATTTCCCTGTTACAATTCCAATGCCAATCCAGTTTAGTCAGTCGTTGGATGTTAAGCACCAGCCTTAAAAGCTTTAATCTTAATTTTTTCTGTAATAGAAATTTAATTTTTAAAGATTATTCAGAGAAAAATAATTTTTAAAGAATCTGATAATCATTTTGGAATTAGAAATATCAGAAGACTTATGTTCTCTGACTTGTGTGAATGTTATTTCAAAAACACCTACATAATTGTATGTAATCATGAACCTTCAAATATGCTTACTTAAATATATTTAATGAATAGTTGCAACATAAACAAGCCACTTCACCCTCTGATATAATAAAATTTGAATGTTACAGCATCAACGACACGTGATTGAATTTCTCAGCGTTATTATTTTTTATTTTGTTTCATTGTTACCTACTGTAGGTATTTATTAAATATTTATATCTTAGATTAAATACTTGGGAAAATTAAAATGAGACTCTTAATAAAAGTTTAAAGATTTGAAATCTCTCAGTAAAGTTTGTGATTTCATGGAGTTCAAGGAAATTATTTTGAAGTATAAATTTATGTTTAAAATTTCTATCACATTAACGCCACGCGACTTTTGACATATTGCAAGCTTGTTGAAATTCTTCAAGCACACTCTTGCCTAATCAATTGTCGACGATTAAAATGGAAATTTTATTTGTTTTGATACACAATTTCACAAATCATTTTATCATCGCCTTTCTATACTGCAACCCTCCTATTAACCCGCAAGGTCAATCGGATGTGAATTGCATACGCGATTGTTTGTTCTTGTGGCTTATTTCGAGTGTCATAGAACATGAGGGATAAAATAAGGGTTTAAATACTTTTTCCTTCCGATGCACATACATGCCAATAGGTTTAGACTTGTTTCTCTTCTCGAGGGTAGATTTCCATAGAAAATTGTGAAATTATTAATTGAGCATGAGAATGAGACTGCAAATCTTAATCTCATTTAAGTTGTGGGAAAAAACAACATTGATTAAATTTCAATACTTGTTTGTGGTGATTCGGAAGAGATTAGTGTCACTCTCTTAATATTTTGTAATGTTTAAATTTCCTGTAGTCGCGTGTTTTAATTTTTATGTGGTTGATTTTTAAATTCATTGAAATGAAAAGTTTTTTAAAGAATTTCTGTGAGATAATTGAATGAAAAATAAAATCGCAAATGTCTTTAATGTTTGAGACTTCAATTTCTTCCATTTCTCTTCTTATTCATTTCAAACATAAAGAGCCATCATAAACAGATTCTATTTCAAGTGCGCTTTAAAAGGGGAAACAACCATCATAAACAGATCAACGAATCTGTGCATTTTAGCTAGTGAAATCAGAAAGTCAAATTATTGATTTCACATCAAAAACAGGTAAAGTACTCGACAATGGTGCGCAGAATGAATTGCGAACATTTTGTGAGTTATGTAAGAAGATTTTTTGGTTTTATGAGATATTTCGTACGATTATATTCTGTTTTTCATCCTAAAGATGAAATATAAATTATTTGTACATTTTATCCCATCTCGATGCATCTGAAAAGAAAATTAGCCTGTCCCAGTGTCATTAACAATTCTTACATTTCTGCTACATAATAATTTGTTTATTCATAATAAGTGGTTGCAATAAAATTTTACAAACAGCTTCACCCTCAATTGATTTCAATTTTCCGCTTTGAAGCATCGACACGTGATTGGCGTAAGTTCTGATCGGCCTATTCTTTGATTTATTTCACCACGTGCAATAAGTTTTTATTTTTTCTGAAAATGATGTGTCAAATACAAGAAAATGTTTTCTTCTCGTTAAAAGAAATTTCTTGAAAAAATGTTCTTAAAAATGAGGTCCCATAAAAGGAGAAGAATCTGCACCAAGTGCTAAAGTTGCCAACAGAGTCCGTCCTGGAACAACTCCCAACTTTTGCCAGTTTATCCATGACAGTCGTGCAATTAAGTCTGTAAAATTTGAATTGATTTTCATAAATTTAAATAAATTTTACTTTGATGTTTACCACTAGTATTCCAACTCGACTGGTCAGCGTTGATTTCACCCCGTAAACATTTTTCAACGTAAGTTAAAGGATCATAATCAGCAACTAATACTTCTCTGAGCAGTGAAATATATGCAATCGCTAATTGCAATGTGTCTGTTTTACTCAAACGCTTCTCGTATGGAAAAGTTGGAACATGAACTCGGAGTTCGTCAAATGCAGAATTTATAGAACTTTAAAAAACATGAATTGAAAATTTAATAATTTAATTAGATTTGAATTTCCACAAAGATATTTACCCATTTGGAACAGTTCTGGAAGTCCGTTTCCGATCACGATTTGTATTTTGTTGTCTACTATTTTTAATCGGGCCTCCAAAAATACTTTGAGATGATTGTGAAGTGGAACTTGCAGGTGCATAATCTAAAAGTTCAGGTTGAGTGATGTACTGCATTGGAATTTTAAAGTCGAGTTCATCTATTTGATTTTCGGCAAATTGAGTATGTGATGTAATTTGATCACAATAAATTTGTTGATTTTGTTGTATTGATCCATAAATACAAGATGGCAATTTGGACGCAACATCTGTATTGAAATCTTGATACATTCCATTTGAAGGAGGCGATGATGACGAGTCTGGTGTTTGAATTCGATTAATTCTTTCCATATCGAAGTTGAAATTTTTAAACTAATAAACTTTAAAAGTTCAAAAAATCTATTATAAATGTGCTTCCGTATTTGAGTGAATTTCCAAACGAAATGAAAAGGATTCATTGCAAAATATGGAAAAGGGAAAATTATTGTTGCGTCGTCATTGAAAGCATTGCAGCAATGAACATAACTCCGCCCACTAATGATTTTTGGTGAAAAAATTTTGTGAAAACAACGTCAAGTTAATTGCGTTTCTATTACATTTTCGATGATGGAAATTATATAAATTTTCATATTTATTTTTAGATTGTAAAATATGCAAGCAATCAAAATGAAACCTGTAAAGATTGTCAAGGTTTGGGTTAGACATTCAAGATTCGTCACAAAAGACGACGTCATAATAGAGAGTGAAGAAATAAATCCACTTGTTCAGCAAGTTAAAATACATATTTCCTTGAAAGTCTCGTCGTGTTTTATCACATTTATGAAGATGATTCAAAAATCGCTGATTGAAAATTCAGTTTAAACAAAAAAAGGCAGAAATGATATCAGGTTTTGTTTGAATGGATTCCAAAGATTGCATCAAAATCAATACATAAAAAAAAATCACAATCATTTGCTTTAAGAGAGTTGAACTGTGAAGTTGTGATATTGAAGATTATCAAAAACAGTTGTTTTGAAATATATATCAAAGCTTTTATTTAATATTGTTTTATTTGCTTAAGAGTTGTATGAAAATGATCTGGTTGATAATATTAAGCGCATGGTTCATCGGCTACATTTTAATCGGATTTCTAGTTCGATGTTGGACGAAATTTACAAATAGACATTTTGAGTCAAATGTAAGTTGTAATAAACATTTCAGAAATTATATTTTCTATCACTTTGTTGCTTTTGAAGAACATTAATTTAAAAGGTAAAACAGTTTTGATAACTGGTGCGAACAATGGCCTTGGAAAGGGAGTAGCAAGGTTTATGGCAAACAAAGGGGCTCGAGTCATCATGGCTTGCAGAAACATGAAAACTGGAAAAGCTGTTCAAGGTACATCATCAATAGATATTAGAAAATATTTTATGAACAAAAAGTTTCTTTAATTTAAGACGAAATTATCAGAGAAAGTGGTAATGATCAGATAATATTACTTAATGTCGACTTGTCATCATTTAGATCAATACACGAATTCTGCTCAAAAGTTATTGCAACAGAAACAAAGATTGATATATTAATTCACAATGCAGCTTATGCTGGATTTATTAAAAAAGCTGTAAGTGCTGACGGAATCGAACTTACGATGGCGACAAATCATTATGGACCGTTTCTCATGACAACGCTTCTGATGGATCTTTTGAAGAAGTCAGCACCACGTAGAATAGTTGTTGTAACTTCCAAATGCCATTCAGTCTCATATTTTACACCTCAAAATGAAAAACATTTGAATCCTATCGATTGTTGGCTGCCATTGTATCAATATAGCAATTCAAAGCTTGCCAATTTGTTGTTTACATTTGAGTTAGCTCGTCGACTGGAAGGAACTGGAATCACAGTGAACGCGCTTCATCCTGGAACCGCAAATAGCGAGATTTGGCAGACTGAATCACGAATAATGAATTTAAGTCTTTACATTTTTCGAAAGTTTTTAAGATCTGTAAATGAAAGTATTCAGACTACACTCTATGTGTCTTTATCAAAGGAGTTGGAAAATGTCACAGGAAAATATTTCCGTAATTGCAAGCTTGGAAAGACCCACAAAATCGCTCAAAATACATCATCGCAGAAGATTTTGTGGAAAGAGTCTGAAAAGATTGTGAATCAAATAAATCTAGGTTTGACACTTTGAAGGCAATCTTCATCATCCATACAACCGAGGCGTGAGTTATTAATGTAATTTATCAATGTTCATCTTTCATTAATTAAGGCACAAACCTGAATATTCAGATACCATCAAAATTTTTGTTGCAATAAAAAAATAGATATTAAGAAAATGACGTTATTCATTTATAACAGCAATATTTTTTATGTAAAGATTTTGCAGCATATCTACATAGGTATCTATATGTAAAGTCCTTAAACTTCCAATAAAGCATTCATAAAATTTTCAAGCAATTGTTTCCTTTATTTTAATAAGCAGAATCAGAATGTCGATATGAAATCGTGTAGCACGTTATCTACAACCACCCACGCATTACACAACCAGTGAATATTTACTGTTATGATTTGTCCACATTCAAAACTTCAACTTTATTAGTTTGTGTGTGACAATTTTCAGAATTTTCATCGTATTGTTTTCATCAATGCCAAAACTTTCTGAAACATAAATATTTTTAAAACGTGTTTCGTGATACCTACTTCGTCGGTAAATATCGTGAAACATTTTGCCGGCTTGAATTAGAAAATCTTTTTTAAACGTATTTTTCAAAATCCTCACTGAAATTCAAACGAACTTTTGAATATTTTCTGAACAACACCATCTAAATAAAACTTTTGTAGAGTTCGGAGAAATTTTGTTAAAGTGTTTATTATCAAAAATCATTGTATTTGGAATTTTATCAAAGATAGATAAATTTGTAGCAAGAAATTGTTAGCGAATGTGAAGATAAGACTTTCGAGAATTGTAAATAAATCAATAAAACCATTCGCAACTGTGAAAATTCTGAATTTTATGATTTTTTTTAAACTCTTGTATTGTTGACCTAACTGTAATTAAAATAACTCAATCGCATCATCGTTCAAGGTCTGTCCAGCGTCATCAATGGATATAGTTTGTGTTGTGACATTTTTAAAGAATTTAATGCATTTAGTGTAGTTGCTAATTTTTAAAGTTGAATTGCAAAAATAAATCAATAGAAAAAATCCGCCCCAAAAATGTTCAATTTTATGGGCAAAAAGGAAAAGAAGTCCCGTAAGGGTACTTCAAGTACTGGTGGTGAAGAACTTGAGACCATAGATAAATTGGAGGAGGTTCGAAGAAGTTTAAAGATTCGTTCTGGTAGAAGAAAGGAGAAAGTAAAACTCCCGTCTGGAATTACTGCTGATTATAGTTCAGCATTTTTCGCTCAGCTTGATGTAGATCGTGGAAGCGAATTAGATCGTGGGAATGATGAAGTTATAACAAGTAATACAACAACAATTATTGACCTCAACAATGGTGACGTTTATGAACGTCAACACCAGCATATTAACACCAGCTCTATGGTCTCAGCGACATTTATTTCACATTCCGATAACAGTTCTGAAAATTCTATAAATCTACCACCATCTTCTCGACCACCTAATCTTCCACCAGTTCCTCCTCGCATACCAAAACGAGGAATATTAAAAGGTTCCAAAACAAGTTTACTTAACATCAATGATTCTGATTCACGAGCTGTGCTTATGCGAAACACATTGCAAAACGAACGGATGGGTGATGAGGTAAAAAAAATAAAAATAAACTTAGAAAAACATGAAAGCGAATCGTTTCGATGACAATTGATTTTTTCTTGATTTTAGGTGACCATCAACAATCAATTATCGCCCAACCATAATATGGGTCAGCAATATCTAAATATAATGACAACACCATCACCATCTGCTGAAAGTCTTACCGATACAACAAATTCATCATTTGCCACACCACCATTCTCGTTGAGTCCCGTTGGTGAAGCGCAAGGTCTTTACAGTTGGTCGAGAATTCAAAAATTTGACGATGTCAGTCTTCCGTTGCCGGCGATTAAGTTAGTGCAACTTCCACCACCAAGGGAATTGATTATAACACGCCGTAAAACGCCGACTCATGATTTTGGATTTAGCCTGAGAAAAGCAATTGTACTCGATCGTTCTGAATCGTTGTTTATTCCAATTTCCCGTCCAGTGATTTTTGCTGAACCAGGAACAAATGCAGGTAATAGTACTGGACTTTTACCAGGTGATCGACTTATGAAAGTGAATAGACAACCAGTTGAAGAACTCGCACGTGAATCAATCATTGAAATGATTAGAAATAGTGGTGACAGTGTTATTGTTGAAGTTCAACCTGTCGCTGAATTAGTGGAATTGTCACGTCGCTGCATGCCAAAGGAAGACACAAATCAAGACGAAATGGATCGATCAACTCAGGTTTCAGATTGTAATACACTCCGAAGAAGTGCTAGTAAACGATTTAAGTCGCATGTAAGTAGAAATATTTTTCTTTCATCATATTCAATCGCACAAAAATCCGCATCGTAAAAACTTTTACCGTCTGACGTTTATTTTATTTTTAAACGACAAGCAATAATTTGCAGTATTGAATTGCAAACAGATAAGAACGTGAATGTAAAAAACAGATAATGAGAAGCCATAAAAGTCAACAATCGCAGTAGAGAATTTTTTTATTTTCGTGGTACTGTAAAATAGAGCATAAAAAAGTTAAAAAAGAAGAGCATAAAAGTTAACGGTACCGTGCGATTAACAATTGATATTTGGCAGTGAGAAGTAACAAACATTAGAGAGGGGCTAGAAATAGTCAAGAATATCTTTTATTGCGAGATTTTAAATGTCTTGCTAGCAAGCCTTTGATATTTCATTCACAACTTAGAATAAATCTATTCTATGACTTAAAACCAGATATTATTATGCGTCCCTCGTTTTATGATGACCAAAATAGAAGAGAAAAGTATGACGCTTCAAGGTCCGCTTTATTTTATTTTATTTTCGTACAATCGCTTGAGAATGAAAATAAACTTTAATGAAATTCTCTTTTTGTTTTGTTGAATGAATTTATTATACATTCATTAACGATTGTTGTGGTTGTGACCAATATAAAATCTTTTAAAATTTTACATAAAAATAAAATAAATAAATTTTCAATAACATTGTGTGTGTGATGAACCGTTGACATTTTTTTCCTTTCAAGTTTAAGGTGAATTGCAAATCGATTAAATGAAAAAAGTCGTTTAAAAATTATTGACATGTTTAAACAAATATTCAATTGAATTTTATTGGGTTTTAAGTCGTTTAAATGAGAAATAAATGTACATTTAAACATTCGTCGGATTTAGCTTTGAAATGGAAACCAATCCACGAATGACCTTGAAATTGCATCATCCATCATATGAAGTATTTAATTTCTGCTTAGCTAAATAACGTAGTCATATAATTTTAACTGGCTGTATAAAAACCATTTCTTGCATTGCTTATGGTAACTATTTTGTTAAGTATTTTCAATTTAATATTAGCAGTGAGCGTGGCTCGACAAAATAATTAAAACCATCAATCTCTATGTAAATTGGATTAAAAATTTAATTTTCGTTCACTGTCATGCGTTGAGATCTTTCTGTTCTCATTCCCATAAATGATTCTTTGACCAAATTTAAAGGTAATTGCGGGGGTAGTGTCAATTAAATATTCTACAATCCAATTGATGCTGATTACTTTTATCCATACTAAAACTTAATGAAATTTATGTCTGCGAAAAGAAACGCTTGTGCAATTCCTTTCTCGTTGTAAACTTTGTAATAATTGTGTAGGTGTAAAAAATGTTGCAATTTCCTGAAGATCATTCCGACGAGTACCAATATGATAACTTAACAACCTTCAGAATGTAACAATAACAATCAATTTGCATAAATTGCACGATTAGTCAGATCATGAAAGATTTGAAATATCAATAGCCGACGCATTAGAATAGGCCACAAATTTTTGTGTCATTGAATTATTATTTTCAATTTGCGTTACAATCAAACGATTTAATAAAATTCCATTCAATTGTTGCAAAAATGCATGAATTATGATGTTCATGAGTCATGTTTCGATTGAAACAACTTTGGTTGACAGCTTAGCAAGATTTTCTTACTTGTTGTGTTATGAAATTGTGCAAATTGTAAGAAGGAGAAAGATTGAATTAAAATGTCTGTCAGAAGGAACAAAAGCACATTCCAAACAACCATTAAAACCTTTTCTACGAGTAAATTGTACGCTGACTTGCTTTTAACAACATACATGAAACTGACGATAAAATTCCATAGAAACTTGAGTTCCATGAAAAGTTTTGCGTAATCTTTAAAGGCATATCTAACAATTCAGTTCGGCAGGTCAAGAAGTGCACAGAAGTTCATCTGATTAACACCGAAAATAAAAGAAATAAAAACACGTTGAAAGTTGCACAATGTCTGTTCGTTTTTTCGTTCATTGAGCTTCCATGATTCATTATGTTCCGATTATGTTCATGCTTTCCTGTTGTCTTTGCCTGTGCTTAAATCTTTATCCAAACAAGTCAATAAATCAACATGATCGACATTCTCAGTTTCTTCTCAGTTTATCAATCGATCTTGCTTGTTTTTCGCACTTTTTTGCGTTCGTATAGACAGATCATTGTCATTCATGAAATTTAAAAGCAACGGAGCTTATTGTAACGAAACGTGGGAGATTTTTGCATGCTGTTCGCCTTTTTCGGAGAAAGTTAATTAATTTTATGATGAACAAGACTCAATTCTTTCTTCTTTTTAAATATCAGCTGACATCATTAAAAAATTTACTATTTTATTGTAGCGTGAGCTTTACGAGCTTTCAAAAGTGAAAACTGTTGTTCGAAGCAAAACATTTATGATTTAAAGCGATATTATTATGCAGCTCATAATTCACCAAAAGTATCAGCTCGTTAAACTATCAAAATTTATATTTTTAAACAACGTTTCCTCATTTTCCATCACCGTTAACTAACCGTGATCGAACATGAAACTAAACAACACTCAACAGTAAACATTTGTGTGCACTTTTTGTTTAACAATTGATTGAAACGAATTATCTAAGACGTGTGGGCTTCTTTTTTTGTAATTGAAGCGATGAGATTATTCACAGCATCTAATAAACAATTTGCGACATGTAAATTATTAGCATTTGAGATTTAATAGAAAGCTTACAACAACTCATATTAATTAACGTCATCAATTATTGGGATTTTGTACAGCATCAAGCAACAGCAGCGAATGGATGGGATTGTGAATCTTACTGGTTTTATCGTGTTATTTTTGATTGGACATGGATGCAACAAAATGCAATTTGTTGGTTTATGACGTATTTAGTTATTGATTGAGAAAATGGATAATCTTTATTTAATAATAGTCAATGAGACCACACCAAAGAAGTGAGATTAATTACTGCTTTCTCGTGATTTTAATTAAATTTTATAGTGATTCAAAAAATAAATGAATCATTTTCCTCTCAGGTCTATTGTTTTTAAATCTTTTATATTTTGTACAACAAATACGTGAGTTGCAGTGAGAGAAATGTTTTCTATATGGCTTTTATGGATCAACTTTCAGTTTTTTTCTTCGAAAAAGTTTTGCGGCAACTTTACAGACGAGAACTACCTAATTGAATTGTTTAATTTATAGAGTACGAGAGAGAAAATGTTAGCTATTAACGTAACATGAATAAGATAAATTGGTACTTTATTTGAACATAATATGACGGCATTGCCGAGTGTTCTTGAAACCTGCAAGTGAAGAGAAAGAGAAACTTTCATTAAGCAAACAAATCAAACAAACCTTTAAGTCGTTTTTTAAGATGTTCCATTTACGATTGTGAAGACCGCCCACAAAATTGAATATCACAATGATTTTAATTGATTAAACGTGAATATTGGATTAACGATGATGATTCAACTGAATTCCATATTAGGAAAGTGATTTGAATGAATGTTCACTTGCTGCTGGCCATTGAATATTTTAAAGTTAAATCCAACATTTCGCGTTCATACAGTTGGGTTGAACATATTTTTTTCCCTCCATTTGATTGCATAAGAACACATCGTAGATATTTCAAATATCTTTTACATTTTATAGAGATTGAAAGTTTCCAATCCTAACAAAGTTCGAAGTTGATCCTCTGGGCGATCACAGAAAGTTTCAGAAATTATCATCATACTATGTCAGTTGCTTTCTCTTCAATATCTACATAATTGAGATGAATTCATTTTGTGTCGATTCATGCTGGGAAACATCATGAAATCCACACTATCATTCGATTGTCATTATCATTTGTCAAGAAGGCCAGTGAGGGTCTGATGTGTTGTTAGAGTGCTCACCATTGAAGATCGCAAACAAGGAAACGTGATTGTTGAGAATGGTCATGTTTTGAGTAGCTCGAAAAGTCAATAAAGAAAAAATAACAAAAGACTCAAGTCAATTCCTTACATCTTTTGCCCCTCTTATCGCGATTCATTCACAAATGAATGAAATAAATTATGTAAACATGAATCTACAATGCAATTGTATTCCTTCCATGCATCCATTGATATGGAAATTGTGTTGATTCAAAAATAATAAAAACACTGAGATCGTAGTAAATTAAATGAAGAAAACTCTATTAAATGGAAACAATATTGTGCATTTCTTTTTTGTTTGATGGAAAATGAAAGTTTTGTCTTCCACGTTGAAAATTAATTGAAGTAAAAGAACTTTTGTGATTATTCGATGCATGCACGAAGCAGTTGATTGAAACATTGAAGCATCGATCATGTTGATCTTGTTGTTTCGCTTGCATTAAAACATTGAAACATTAAAACAACGTTTACTTCTATGCTATGAATGAAAAAAAAAACGTCTTTTCAGTTTCTTACTGCTCACAATCGAATGCGGATCTATTAAAGTTTTCCTCGTGCTCATAATGCGTGATATGAAACAAAGAAAATAACATATTGAGATATCGGAAATCATCATAAAATTAAAATAAAAGTGGTAAAGTGTGAAATTGAGGTGTTTCGCTTGATAATGAAGTAATGTGGTGTCTTGCTAATGGAATTGCATAATTCATAGTGCTTGGATAATTTAAAATGTTTGAATGATAAATATCAAAATATACACGAATCCAAAATTAGAGAAAATTTGTTTGTTCGTTTTTGAAATCTCGGGAAAGAAAATGCATTCATTTCATAGAAATGATGCAGCGTGGGTGTTGCAATTTATGCTGCTGAATGCTTATTTGACTTTTTAGAGCTTTTAAATTGAACAAATAAAGAATTGGATAATTTATTGCCTTCAATGAAAAGAAAGAAGGAAAAAAAAGTCAAGCAATTGATTCGATGCCAGAAAACATAAATCACACATGTGCACACATCTGTGAGCATTTGTTGCACAATTTTAACGTCGCACTTTCGCTTTTTTTTCGTGCTTTCCGGGTTCATTAGAACTTCTCGCTTTGATGTGAATCATACATCCAGCCACTGTTTTTTGTCAACTTCACAAATTAAGTTTACTCCACCTTGAAATTAACTACAGAGAGGGAATTAACATCTCATTAAAAAGAAGTTATTCACCCACATGACTTGAATCAACTGAAATTCTTGATGAATCTTGAATGGGTGTCGAAACATGACAACATTAAGATTTAATTAAACAAGATGTCTATGCAAAAATAGTGAACAATTCATTTTTCTCATTGCATTTGAATTAAGTGAGAGATAAATCGTGCTACAGAATTTACAAGGGGCAGATCATGGTAGTGCTTCTGCCCGCTGCCTCCAAGTGATGCTTCGAAAATCACTAGTGCTTTTCAAGAAAAATGGCCTTTTTCCAAGAATTTGTTTACTTTTTCTTGGAATTTGTCTAGTGCTTCAATGCAGCAATAGTGCTTTTGCCCTCCAATTTTTTCCGATGATCTGCCCCTTGAGAATTTAGCGCAATTGAGGTGCAATTTTTCAATCAAAGAGTTTAACGCTGACGATGTTGATGGGAAGCTCACGATTTGTGTCAAATTTTTACTTCTCCGGATGATGTCTATTGACCTTCATCGAAAAAAATGCTTCTGTTTTGTGAATTTTCAGAGAATTCATGAATACAAATTATTGATTCCAATCTTCTATCGTAAATGGAAGTTTCGTTTTTGAATTTTAGAATAGGATTTTGTAAAGCGATCATTGCACCATCTTCGTCTCTCATGAATAAATTTGGAAATATTTATTTTTCAATTTTCCATTTTGACGCTTTTTTTGTGGGTATGATCAATAACGGATAAGAATAAAAGGTTTTAATTTAACTTAAAAGGTTTTCGCGTACATTTAGATTAAGCAGTCGGTGGTCGGTGATTTGATTAATCCATCAAGAAGTTCTTTGGTTCCTTTTATAGCTGATAATTAATAAAGATAATCCTTTATCAAAGAATTGTTATTATCTGCCTCCGAAAAAATACTTCGCAATTTGTTCCAACAAAGTTTAATTCCAGTTTCAATTTCAAACATCTTTTTATTTACTTTAATTCCACATTTTTATGTCGGATTATTTTTTTTTCATGTAAATTGAAAAATGAAAGAAAAAAATTCACCATTTAAGGTGAACTCCGATAAATATTATTCAATTAATTCATGTTAATTGATCGCCATTACGTCATTATTGTTCAACTATTTGCTCTGTCTAAGCATTCGAAGAATGCGTCAGGAATATTTTGTTTAAATATATCGCGATTCAGTATGGAGCGAGTTTGTATGTTACGAATTTCACAAATGTGGCTATTCATGGACACAATAAAAGTTGATGAATTTAACGCGGCGCCTAACTGTAATCATGTTAGCGAAAAAACCTGTCTCACTTTTAATATATTCTTGTTTGAATTTATTGTGCAGATTGGAGTATTCATCTTCACTAAAACTGTGAGGCATAAATAGATTCTGGGAACTGCTCAATCCTAACAAACAAGTTTCATGCTATAACTATAACCGGTCTCGTTTCTCAGTCACACCGAACTCGCTCTCATCAATTGAGTAATTAACTTCAGCTTCCATTTTTGGTATCAATAGGCACTTGCTTCGGCAAATATGTGCGAAAGGTTGGAATGTTTTCTCATGTAATTTTAATGAAAGAAACATTTCAAGCTTGTGGTAATTTCACGATCATGAAGAAAATTGTTAAAATGTTTTAATTTTACTTTCATTAGCTTTTATTTCTCATCATTCGGTGGTAATCTTTAATTATACTCTCATTTCAACAAAAAAAGAAAAAAAAATCGTGAAATTCACATTTCCCCTGTAGTTTTTTTGGATCAACGTGCACGTTTTATATTTTAATGGCTTCGAATCAATTGCATAATCGTCGTGATCATTGCTTAAATTTAATGTCTTTTCCATCATAAAACATCGATCGTCTAGTCGATAAATATTGCAGAAATATGTGCGAAACAAATTGACTAAGCAAAAGAAGTTTATGAAAAATCATTTCGGCAAATGCCGAATAGTAAAATGTCAATGTTTAGTTTTCAAAAGTCATTTGAAAAATCGTTACGATCGTCAACAAGCTCATATCAAGTGCCGATCATTACACCACTAAAGACTGAAATACATAAAGGTTGCACGGGCAAAGCCCACGCATGTGGATCCATCAAAAGCACCAACACAGTGTTGGTAAATAAATCGTCAACAGTGACACCGAAGCCCAAGGTGAAGAGTGATGGCAAGACGTTAAGAAAAAATAGTTTGAGTTCAGAGACCGTGAGTGATAGCGGATCGGAAATTTCGTCATGGAACTCAAATAAAGATTCTTCAACATCAGCATCAATCTCGGCGCCGCTCCCTTCTCTTCCCAAGCCTTTAAATAGAACAAAATCAGTGAATTATGGGACAACAAATGGATCACCAGCACTAACAAGAAGGAGAATCTCAGACAGTGTGATTTCCACTGATGTAACTGACAAAGCTAAAAACGGAAACGGCTTTCGTCGTGGTCGTTTGATGAGCGATGATGGTGATGGAAAAAAGGCAGAAGATGAAAATTCAAGATTAAGAAGATCATCAAGCTTCCGATCTAAAAATATTCCACCAATGATTCCATTAAAGCCGAAAATTGTGCAAACAACATCAACGAACTCAATCAAACGAAATGGAAGCTTCAACAATCGATTAAGAAATTCTTTTCGCAATAAAACTCAAGCAACTAATTGGAATACGATTTGGGAATCATCATTTGCTTCTAAGCTTGGCGGTGGAAGTTTGAAAGTTCTCGAAAAGAAATTACTAGAGAATATTGATAAGGTAACACCAACAAGTTTATGATGGATTACAGAATGTTTTATTAGATAAATATTTTATTGATACTTTCAACTTTTTTATTTACTTCAATTTGGGAGAATGAAAAATAAGGAAGTTAGAGTTATGGCTTGAGATTCGTCATCAGTCATGTTTCTGTCTTCTTAAATGAAGTTGATCGATTGATTTATTCCATTCTTAACTAATTACATGCGCTCACTTCTTAAATGTTTTTGCTTTTCTCATGCGTAGAAAAGAAACTCGAGAGTTGTGCAAGAGACAGCCATAAAGTAAATCTAAGTTTAGCATTTTGAAAATGTTCTTCTTTTTTCGAATGGAAAGCAGATGAAATTGCATAAAAAGTCCAAGCATAATGACTTGATTGATGTGATGGATGTGAAGTTAAAAGGGAAATTGAAATAATTCAAAGTGTTACTGAATCTCGAAAGCGTTAAAATGGGTCGCGCTTGCGACTTCATTTCATCTCATCTTTTTGATCTAACGACAAAAATCAATTCTCAAAACTGTCAATCCTCAGTTGTTATTTAAATCTTTCCCATTTCTTTGTTTAATTTGATACTCGTCAACACACAATCACGATCTGATTGTGCCAATTAATTAAACAACGTGTCACACCTACAACATGTCATTCAAAACTTATATTAGAATTTGAAACTAATATTTTTGATCTCGTTATTTATTTTTTCTCGGAAATACATGTGTTGACAACATTTTAACAACACAAAACTTTTTCCACATTTTTGTCCAAAACATAAAAAAAAAACTTCAATTTCCATTGGTTTGTTTACTAACAACGACCTTGAATTTTTTGAATTGTTAGTTGTTTGACATCTTGGTGTAGTATTCAACTTATGAGCCATTTGTTATCTCATGGAGATTGCAAAAAAACTTTGTCGGTGAAAAAAAAATGTTAAATCTCTGAAAGTGTTTGAACAGCATGAGATGAATTATAATTCAATACGTCTTCCCTTGTTCTTGCTCGCTTGTTAATTCAATAAATCATCGAAACGAACATCTCATTTTCCAACCGTCTGGAACTATAACTTTAATTGTTGCGGTAAGAAGCAAACGTTTGAGAGTCCAAAAGTCCATCGAGACAGCGATCCCACGATCTTAACCGACTTCACCCACATAAACAAGTTCTTTTCAAAAAGATCTGAGACAAGTGCTCTTGAAAGTTTGACGACTTTAATACTTTTTTTGCACAGCAAAACGAGAATTAACTGAACTCTTTTAAGCGACATAATTTAATAATCGTATCATTATTGACAATTATGAACAATTTCCATCATCTTTTTACTGCCATGCGAGATGCACTTAACTAAATGTTCTTAAGAAACACGCAAATGTCGCCCCATCTTTACACTTCTTTTTAATCTTCATACCTACTTCATTGACGAAGATCAAACCTTCGGTTTTGCTTCATTTTACCAAACTTTGTATATCTTTGGGTCTGATTTTGAAGAAAGAAAAAAAGAAAAATCTTTTTTAACGATTTCATTTCCAATGAATGTCGATAATCTCAGAAAAATTACAATAAAATCAATTGAATATTCATGAGATTAAAGTTTGATTATATGTATTCCATTCCATTAATTTTTGCTCTAATTAACAAACATCAACTTGTTCGAAAAACTCCATCATGTGCAACTTGTTATTGAATCAATTAACTAAAAATCAAGTTGAATCCACTATCGCTGCATAATTAAACCGTTATCACGCACGTCAAAAGAGTAAACAAAGTTTCATGCAGTGATTGATAGATTAAAAAGCTAATCTTTCTAATAAATAAAGCTTTTCCGACCTCCATGAAGTGGTCTCGTATTTCATCTTCTATATCACGTTATGTTAAGTATGACAAATGATTCTTTTTATTATCATTAATTCGACATCATTCGATATACCTAGGAACATTGAAAAGATCAAAACATAATTTATGAAACTGCACCACACAACCACTCCGCAAAGGTGTCTATTAAATAATGTCGTGCTATTAGTTAATAATTTTTTTTATTATTTATTGATCGATATTATGATAAGAAATCGTATGAGAATGCAGTTATGTTAGTTTATTTTATCGGCAACGGTGAGACCTACATCAAGCCTAGAAATGAATTACTGATTTGTTATATGTACCTTTAGTTTGTAAATTGTGTTTACCATGATATTATTAATGATTTCTATGAAATATCTGATAAAGAAGATCTCGCGAAAATAGCCCACAAACGATGCACGTGAAGAAACATTAGAAAAACATCGAAAACATTCAACATGATCTTGCAACATTGAAACATTCAATTGATCTTAGTTCACGAAGAAAACATTGATGGTGATCACGTTTATTAAGAAATTAAATAAGATAATTAATTGTTTTGATAAATGATAATGACAATAAATTTGTTAAATTATGTTTAAGGTGTTAAATAAACATCTGTCACTGACATCAAGTGCCATAAGTTGTAAAATAAATAGCTCTTTACAAGATTATGCAAGTTTTGGTTGAACTTTACGATTCAACAAATTGTTGTGGTTTTTGAAAACAGTTTTTCTCCTCTAAACAAAGATGATATCATTTGCCACAATTCATGTCTTTTTTTAAACATTTTTTAATTAAGCTAAACTCCATAAAGACACTCATTGTTTCTTATTTACGATCTTTCTTTTTCTTTTCGTTTGATAACGCATAAGCTCATAGCTGTTCAAGCGGCGGTGTTATAATGATAAATAATATAATGGAAGTAAATAAACAAAACAAAAAAAAGTGTTTTAAATGGAAACAGTTTCCCCTTCAGTCTTTTTCTTCTTTCCGCTCACACCGACTCATTACTCAACTGTTTAAAAACTATTGTTTGTCGCCTTTTGGAAGTGAATAAAAGAAAGAAAAAAATTAGAAATTCTACGATGCAAAATGTCTAATCATTCGTCGCTCCACTAGATAAATATTTCTTTTTGTGTGACTCATGTTCTGTAATTTATTTTTACATGAAAAATTTCTTTGAATTCTTTTGAGATTTTCTTTTAATTCTCAAAAGATTTTCGTGTCAAAAGGAATTGGTTTTTATAAATAGAGTTGAAACGAGAGTGAAAGCTGCATGAGATTTCCCGGATTACAGAATGCTTCTTAATTACTTCTGTTTACAACCAAAATTGATACTCTAGTCAACTGAGCATAAATTTAAATTATTGGAATGTTGAAAGAAGTTGTGGACCATAAACTTTTTATGTGTGATGCTTTAATCTTAAGCTATTGTGAATAATCGCGGAAACTGTAAAAAATATATCCTAAATAAGCTGTTCGTTTGAAGATCATTAGCATTCACATCCACAATGCTTGTTCACAAATCTTAACGAAAAAATTATCATAAAACTTTAGACAGAAATTGTCATGCAAGTTTTAAATGGAAATGAGATTAAATTAGAGTTGTTACAGTAAATGCAGCCACCTTCATTTCTTCTTATACGATATAAGATTACATTATTATTCTTTCGATGTGGATGAAGAAACTTGTTTCTTACTCAATTCGCAATTATTGAAACATCGACGATCCCTTAATTCAATTGTAAAATTTTAATATTTTCTTATTTAATTTCTAGCCGAAGTCGCATGAAAATGGATTCAACGATGATGACAGTAATCGTGGTGAAAAAGTGTGGTTGGTGCATCGCGGTGGTTTTTGCGCTGCCATAAAATTAAATCAATCCAATGGTGCCGTAAATATCGAACCAGGGAAGGTGCTTATCGAGTTAGAGCACAATGGCGAGCAAATGTATGTTGACGATGATGACATTGAGAAAGCAAATGTCGGTGAGTTGGACTTAAGCGAGGACATTTGTCACTTAAAGCATTTAAACGAGGCGTCAGTTTTGCATTGCATTCGACAAAGATATGCAAGCAACTTAATTCATACAAGAGCTGGTCCTACTTTAATTGTTGTCAACCCAATGGCACCGTTGTCGTTATACTCGGAAAAGGTAAAAAATAAATACAAGAAATAAAACAACAAGACATTAATGTAAAGAATAAAATCCATAAATTTAATTATCTTTTTAGGTCGTTTCGATGTTCAAAGGATGCAAAACAGAAGACATGCCACCACATGTTTATTCATTAGCACAAACTGCTTATCGTGCAATGCTTGAAACCCGTCGAGATCAAAGTTTGATTTTTATGGGCCGTTCCGGATCGGGTAAAACAGCTTCGTTCAAGCATGCACTTTATTATTTAACTCTTGCTGCTGGATCCACAAATCGTTTGTTAACAGCTGAGAAAGTTAACGCAATTAATACAATTTTGGAAGCTTTTGGAAACACAAAAACTGTCATGAATTCAAATGCCACAAGATTCACTCAAATTTTTAGCCTTGATTTTGATCATAGCGGACAAATTGCTTCAGCGTCTGTTCAAATAATGCTAATGGAGAAATCAAGAGCTGGTCGACGGACTAATAACGAATCAACATTTCATGTTATCACGAGATTACTCGCTGGTGCTGAAGGTCATCTCCAAAAGGAACTTCAACTTGATAATGTCAATTTGGATGAAAATAATTTGTTTGTTTACATTTCAAGTAAACTTGATGATCGTCAGAAAGCATCAGCTGATTTCTCTCGACTTGCTCAAGCTTTCTATACATTGAATGTCGATCAGAAGTCAGTTAAAGCAATTTGGTCAGTCTTGGCTGTAATTTATCATCTTGGCTTAGCATCAGCCACAAAAGTTGGAAGTGGATCAACAGCTCGAATTCAATTCGCACATCCATCAGCTGCGCGACGTGCTGCAAGCTTATTGGGTGTGTCGATGGAAGAACTTCTTGCTGCTGCTTTTACCACATCATTAACGAATTCAAATCCAGGAACACCAACTAGATCACCACCAGACAGTCTTGACAACACTTTAAATGCTGCTTTTGATAGCTTGGAAGGTCTCGTCATTGGCTTGTATTCTGAAGCTGTTGCAGCTGCTGTTTCGTTAATCAACAAAGCGATTTCAACTTCCATTCATACGATTGCTTCAATCCTTTTAGTTGACACGCCAGGATTTCAAAATCCTGCCAGTTGTGGACAACAAGCTGGTGCAACATTATCCGACCTCAAGCATAATTACTTACAAGAAAGACTTCAATTGTTGTTCCATCACATGACGCTTGTCATGCCAAGAGAACGTTATGCACAAGAAATGGTTGAGATTGATATGGAAGGCTTCAATGAATCTTATCCAGGTCCTTTAGTGTCATTAATTGACCGATCACCACAAAGTCATGTTGTTCGAACATCACAAAGAGACCTTCGCGAAGCTGATCGACGTGGATTGTTGTGGCTTTTGGATGAAGAATCAATTTATCCAAACGCTAATGACGATTCATTCTTGGAACGTCTTTTTACTCATTACGGCGATCGTGAGAGTCAAAGTTTATTGAGAAAAGCACCAGGAAATCGACAATTTGTACTGCAACATCTTCAAGGCACAAATCCAGTTTTATATTCAGCAATTGGATGGTTGAAGAATAGTCGCGAACATCCGGCGGTGAAGAATGCAATAACATTACTTCAAGATAGTTCTAAAGAAGAGATTAGCAGTTTGTTTATTGGAAATTTGGCACGTGGTGGAACAATCTTCTGTGGATCAATTGCTGGCATGGAAGGAACTCAATCATTAAGACGCGTGTCAAGCATTCGACGATCTTTCACATCTGCTGGTGTTAAAAGGAATTCAGTTATGTTGCAAGTAAAATTTACTGTTGATGGTCTCATTGACACTTTACGACGTACCGGCACGCACTTTGTTCATTGTTATCTACTTCAACATAACGGCGGAACAGCAACAATTGCAAATGGAAAGTTGCTTCAACATACGAGTGAAGATATTGTTAATGTTCCATTGTTAAGATCACAGGTTGGTTGATGAGTGCAACAAGCAGAAAATTTGAAATTTTAATGTTTAAAATATGTTTCCATAGGTTCGCGGGTCACAAATCCTTGAAGCAGCACGACTACATCGTCTTGGCTTTCCTGAGAGCGTCCCACTCAATGAATTTGTTCGTCGCTTTGGTCTCTTAAACGACTCAACAATGCCAAAGGAAAGTAACAGCGTGGAATTGATTTTATCGTTTAATGAAATTGACTCAACAACTTATCGCATCGGACCAAGTCAGGTGAGTTTGAGAATGATGATTTTCTATGATTTATGATTTTGAAGAGTTCTTCAGAGAATATCCGTCACTTTAATGCATCTCATGTTTCCATCTAAATTTACATCACGCGTTCGAAGTTCTCATGTTACAAATAAAGCAATGCAAATGCGACTTAATTTATGCGGCAACGAGTAAGAATGAAATGTTCTATAATTAAATTCCATTTTCTTCTCTTTTCGTGATGGCTTTGTGAGTGAATTGTGAGTTTCTTACTTAGAGTTATTGACCCTTCGTTTAAAGACGTGATTCTCATGACGATTCGACACTTTTCAAATGCATCAAGCATTAAAGTACGAAGATAGATTCTTCGATGAACAAAAGTAATTTAGACAAGACGAGACGTAAGAAAAAAAGAAACAAAAACAAACGAACGAAAACAATCGTGCTACAAATGATGGATTGAAATTTATTTAAATATTTCTCTCTTCTTTCCATTGTTTATCTTCTTCAAACGCTTATCATCTTTTAATTTTAATTAATTGAATTCCATCATCACGCGGTAAAGTGGGCGCCGCACCATGTTCTTCTTTTAATTATTTATCTACTCACTTCGAAACAGATCGAGGTTGAAAAATAATAATAAAAAAAGAGAATTTATAATTTCTTCGGACTTTAAAATTTGACACATTGCGGTGTTTTCTTTTAAATTTTAAATCTCGTGAAACTGAAAGCGATAAAAATTGGTGAAAAGAAAAGAAAAGAAAAATTATTGCAGACTTATAGAAAGGGAAAAGCCTCGTAAAGACGTTTGTTTGTCGACAGTCATAGCAACTGCGGTTCAAGTGCAATAAATAAATTGAATTTGTACGTGAGGTGACCACGGAGGTCATAAAAATCTCTCTCAGTTTAATTTCCACTGCGTGCACTGACTTTGCAACTTATACCAGCCGAACGTTAATAATTTCTTCTAACTTTTGTTGCTCATTGCAATTCTTCATGCAGTGAAAGCTTTCAAAACAATTTCATATCTCATTCAATGCACATTGTGAACTTCGCAATTAAAGGCTTTAAACATTTCTAATAAAGCAATTTAGTACTTGATGCCATTAAATGAGCGATTAAGTAAAAATGCTCGGACATGATTTTTTCTAATATTCGCCAGGTGTGGTCGTGGTCGGTCTTTAAAAAGGTGAGTTCAGAGATCAGTTTTAAATTAATCGCAGCAAGATTTTCACTTTTTCCTCAATTCTACTCGCTCTATCACTTATGAGAAATTTCTTTTTGACACATTGCATAAGTTAAACATTTTTTTTGCGATCGCTTTGGTTGTATAAGACAAGCAGATAAACGAGCGTAAGAGTAAGAAACGTGTCCACTTTAATGATAACTTGTAGGTGATAAATGATTGTTTTTGCGTAAGAGGAAAGAAAAAGTGGACGATAAAGTGAAATCAAAAACTGATCTGTGTCGTAGTCTTTTTTACTGCAAAAAATAATAACTTTTTATTATAATTTCATTTAAATTGCTTTATAGTATCGCTGAAAGAACCTCAAGCTCTAAATTGTGATTTCTAAACTCCCAGAGTTATTTACCTACTTCATAAGATTTTATGATTGAATGAGACAAGTTTCAAGTTTTTTATTTCATGATGATTGAGGTTTAAATTATTTAATGTTTATTCTACTTTTCAAATTCACCAGAGAATAATGTTGTTCGTGAAACTAAAGCTTATCGATGGCCTAAATAAGTCAAACTATAATTTAAATAACGCAACCTTCAAACCGCACTTAAATCTGATGACTTTTTTTTATATTTTGGGCTTCTTCAATTGCTCATTGTCAGTGAATCTTAATTCTTACATAAAAAATGCATGTCTTCAACTCAGTTTTCTCCATGAACAGCAAAAACTGATTGCATGCATAAGCATTAAGTACATGTTAAGCGTTATAATTTCTGATAATTTACAACCATTAAAATTCCGTTCAATTGACGATCGCACAATATTGTGAAAGCGAATTTTTGTTTCAATTAAATAATTTCCGATTTGTTGTCGTAATTTCACTGTCTTGAACATGATATTAAAAACTTAACAATACTTAACGATAATGTTGAGAGCCCAGTGGTCAATGAGAATCGTGCAAGCACTTGTTGACGTTTATTTTATTGTCGTGCAGTAGAATTTGAGTTCATCAACCCAAAAATGAAAGTTGTGAGCTCACTATCATGTTCCAATAAATCATTTGTCTTGATATTTATCATGGTGGAAAGAAAGAAATGTTGTCATGAAAAACAATGAAGAAAAATCGCCGATCATGCACATGAAAAATATGGAAGAAAAATAAAAACTTGATCGTTGGACAACGTTCGACGTTATTACTTGCATTCCACTTTGAACCTTAAAGTACTTTAAATTATAAAACAACTGCTGTTGATAAATATCGAAAATATTTTTCTCTCTTCAAAAATTTCTTAAATTCATTTCATTTTTCATCAACAATAAGCAATTGGAAAAGAATGAAAGGAAACAATGATAAATGAAAAAAAGAAATTTTATTGAACAGTTCTTTTGTTGTGTAATTATAATTAAAGGTTTTATGAAGATCATTTAATGAAAAGAAAAAAAAAGTGAAGCGTCGATCGCTTTTAAGAATCATTTGCGTTGATTATGGTTGTTGAGAATTTTCCAAATTGAGCATCGGAGTTTCCGTTCCAATGGTAATGAATTCTTCTTAATATTTTAATGATGATGAACTTAATTGAATGTTTTTAAACTTTAATAAATCTACTGATGATCATTGACGAGCGGTTATCAATGTCGCTATTAAAAAGTTGAGAATGAAAACTTTTCACAGTCATCGTAGACGTTTGAATGGAAACATTAAAGCATCATTCAGGAGAATGTTGATCGTAAATTCTTATGCTTCCAATTTAGTAACGCTGTTTGGCCCTGAACCTCGCGATGACGTCGAGTGTGGGATTTTTCTCGATTACCTTCTCATGATGAGATTCACAACATATTGAAGCATGTGTTTAATAACCGTATAAGCTGAAACCTTAACGAGACAGAGAAAACTTTCAAAATAAATTAAAGAGAAAAACGACTCAACATATGTTAACTCAATCAAGCGAAGCTCAATTTGCACATTTCTTTGTTTTTGTTTGCAATGAACGCGTGTTGTGTTTACTCGGTTAAATTGTGGTGAGAATTTATTTGATCCGATTTCAAAAATTTCTTATTTTGAATTTCTTTTGAAAGAATCTTAACACGACTTCAATGTAGAGGATTGAATTGATCTTGAAAAAATCCTTTCCAAATGTTTATTAATCGCTTTCTGATAGGATTCGAAACATGTTAAGCTTGCTTATTGTAAGCAATATGTAAACGTCAAGCACGTTTCGCGGCTACCAATTTCTCTCCTAATAACAAAAATCAATAAGCGAAACAGTTTAGAAAGTTCATTTAAATAAATTTTATTTATTTTCTGTTCGCAAGATGACTGTCGGTCTAAACTTTCGTGTTTCAAATGTTTATTTATTTAGACTCGCTAGAGTTCGCATTGAGTTCCGCCCCCGACTCGATTGATTGCAGAATTATGCATAAAATTTTTATAGCTTTGAACATTTTGATCTTTGACTTCATTTCTCTCTTTTTGAAGCATGAAAAAATGATGACAATTAAGATTGATGGTGATGAGGATGAAGTCAATCTTTTATGACATCGTCAATTATCTTCAAGACATTTGAAAACATTTTTTCTTTACTAATTCAATCAATAAATGCTAACAGTTGAATCTTGCACGTTTTAGCAGTCAAGGTAAAGTGTGAACCACGAATTTTGTTGCCTACTTACACATTATTATACCTTGAGGGGATTATTTGTTACTCATCGATGTGACATGGCAATTATCGTAATCTGATTGCACTTTTATGTTGTCTCGTATGGGAAGTTTCTACAGTTACATTGGTTTTGTAGTCGAGTAGCTTTATATTCAATTTATATCATAAATCAACACAAAGTTGTCGTTTTCTGTTCAATAAATTCATGCGAATGTATTGACATAGGACAGTTGTGTAGTGTGATCATAACATAAATCATTCGTTTTGATGCAATCTGTAATTGAATGTTCAAAGTCATAGAAAGTGGCAAGTAAAGATGAAAAATTGCGTATGATTTCTTCATTAATCTCTTGTTTTAATGTAACTTCATGCCGATCTTATGTCAGAAAGAATTTACGTGTGCAATAATTCAACGCTACATGACGCTTTCGGTTTACTGCGTAAAAGCAATTTCCTTTTAATTGATGTTAATTGAAATAACATGCTGATGTTTGATAGTTCGGTAAGGTATTTTAGTTACATTTAGCGCGAAATTCACTATAAATCAATCGAATTATTTGTGTTTATGCGCGTGCCAAGCTGTTGTCTTTGTTGTAATCTTATTAAGATTGGTTTGTAACATTCGCAAGCAATTTCAACTGTCGCTTCCAATTATTCATCGAGTCGATTGATTTGATCTCAATCTATCACTCAATTTTCCTCTACGCTTATTGCTTTCTATGAATTAATATTTTTTTTATTTATTTGCTATGTTGATGAAAGATTTGCTGATTTGTTTTTCTACAAACAGTCAAGTTTTTTATCTTTGTTGCTGAATCCCAAAGGTAGTAAACCAATATGCATTACAGAGCAAATATTCAACTGCATGAGAAAAAAATCTTTAAACCACCGAAACAGGAGATTAAATAACATAACCGGAAGTGGTTTCACTGGAATTTCTTTAGAAATAATTTCTATTCGTGCCCATCATTGGAATATTTCACGCCATCATTTGATGGTAAAGAAGTAAGAGAAAAGTTTAAGAGTAAAGTTCTTGTCTGTTCTGTTTGAATGGTTTCCTGAGAAAACTGGATTTGAAATAAGATCAGAAAAACCTGTAAGACTATCAAGATTTTATATTCCGCTAAAATTGCATAATTTCTGAACCACGTCCACCGTTGATCTCATAATTACTGTGTCAGAAAGAAGAGAAAAAAGAAGAAAATCGGAAAATTGATCAGCGATGCTTTTTGGCACATGACGCGATTATAAAGTCACGATTCTTTGCTCTTTCAACTGACCGACGCCTTTTAATCGAATCATCGATTTTCTGATACATACAGGAACAAGAGAAAGTTTTATGATTAAACATCTCACGGGAATTCTTATGTTTCAGATGAAAAGAAGCATTTTAATTGAACTCATTTTTGTTTTGTTTTGTTATTTCGAGGGAATGTCTCGAAAGCAAAGAAACAGGTTGAGTGAGGCGAGAGAGTGCTTAACAAAAGACTTCAGAATGAGATCGCGCGATAAAACGATTTATTTCAATTCATATTACAAAAATAAAAATTACAAAACAACGAAACCGAAAACTAAGAAATAAAGCAGAACATGAATCTCATTAAACCATTCAATTACTTCCAATGGTGCACTGAGCGCGTCAGTGGAAATGTTTTTAACTTGTTTCGTACTCGTCTGGAGACCCAACAACTTCCAATGGAACGAAAATCTGAAGAAAAGAAAGAAGGAAAATAAAAAGAGTCTAAGACGGTGTTGAATGAATCGCGGTGAATGAGAAATTTGAAAACAGTGAAACTGTTCACGTCGTGCGCGCAACAACCTGACCATTTTCTTCTCTCATGTTGAGCTGTGTTTGCTTATTTTAAAAAAGTTTTCTTTATTGTTAAAAAAAAAATCAAATATCTAAGAAAGAGAGAAAAACTTTCGATTCGTAGACTTGATGTGACGGACATTTAAATGCTTTGTTGACAAAAGCTCGATGAGTATCTATCGTTTGAAAAGAAAGAAAGAAAAACATAAAATTTAGAGACGCGAGTGATCGCATCAATGTTTCGGTTAGCGTGCTTCAATGATTGAAACAATAAGCCGCTCGCGGAGCGCATATGTGGAGTTTGAAAAGAAAGAAAAGAGAGTGAAACGTGAATTTTAAACACACGAAATCTAAAATATTAAGTATAGGTTTTCACCGCGCTGTGTGCTGATTGTTATCCGCGAAAAAACAGTGGAGCTTATGTTTTGCGTCTCCAGTTGGAGTTGAACTTTCGAAGGCGCAACAAGTGGAAAAATAAATTACAAACTTCTCGTACATACTTTGGAACTTCAGTGAAGAGTTTAATAAGAAAAATACAAAATTTGTGGATTATCTTGGATTACTTTCACACCTTCACAAACTAATTAAATTGTAAATTATTATTTCTCAATCTGCTCGACTTAAAAGCGAATCTTTTAATTTAACAAAAGATGAGGAAAAGAAGAAAACATAAAAAAAGTTATGAGAAAAATTTTCTTTATTGGCAAATTGAATATTTTTTGGAAAAGTTGTTGAACTCTGTTGGATGTTAAAAAATATTTCTTGATCATGATTACCAGCATGACTAATGCTTCAATCACAATTAGCATTGAACTCTAATTCATTATTGTTAATAAAAAATGAAGGGAAAAAAATAAGAATTGAATTGTTCATTGAATCAGTTTAAGGTTTTTCTAAAATAAGGTTTTAAGATAGAAATTGTTGAGTCGTGTGGGCTCATTTTCACGGTAAATTTCTGCTACTTTGTTAAAATGAAGCTTGATTACAAACAAAACAACTGCTGCATGAATTCTTTCTTTTCTTTTATTTTCTGGAGCGCAACTTTTGGGCTGAGATGAATAACAAGTGATTTCCCTTCGTAGCATGAATCAGTGCAATTAAAAGGCATGAAAAAGAATTCATTGTTAGTAAGTTGAGGTTTTTGAGAGGCGATGCAAAAACGGTATTTTCTGATTTCGGGTAACATTTGCAGTTTCCCAGTTTCGAAGCTACTTAAGAGATAAGAAAGAAAAAAACGAGGTTATTGAAGGGAAAAGAAAGAAAAATATTTGAACGAGAGAATTAAATTTATTTATTTTCTTAAATTCGAAAACAAAGCAATTGGAAGTTTAATGAAAGTTTCTTGATCGAAATGATAAGAAACCATCACGAATATAATTTTTTTCTCTTAAAGAAACTAATTTATTTCGGTTTTTCCTTCCGCAATCAATTTAACATTATCCTGATTGAGCATTTCATGTTGTCATGACACAAAATGCCTAAATTGGATTCATGACTTGCTTGACGCTTACCATAAGATTTTGGATGATTCTGATTCCCGAAAATGGTTGAGCGTGTAGCATATTTTTCATGGATCTCGGTCAGAAAGTAAATTCGATTCAATTCAATTCAATTTCTCGACGTTCATTATGTACTTTTCCTCTTTTACCTGTATAATGAAGACGCTTAAGACGATGATTTCGGGAGATCTTTAAACACGAAAGGGAAGAAAGACAAAGAAAAGATGAAGAAGAAAACCAGTTCTATTGTAGCAATTGTTTACGATCATGTAAGCCTACAAAAATTTCAAAAGAAGACTTTTCTTGTGATGATTTAAAGAATCATCGAGATCGTGATTAATATGAAGCATCAATTTACGCTTTCGCGGGAGGTTCCTGCAATTATGGAATCTTTGAGATTTTCTTTCTTCTCCGTTTTTTTCCGATTGTTAATCGATTTCATTGAAAAGAAATTTTAAATTTCTTTCATAATTTCCCATCAATTATGAAGCTCATTCAATTGAATCTACCGAGGAAGAATTTTTCATTCTTTAACAAGTCTCAAGAGTTGGTGCTGTTGAAGCCGCTGTGCAATGTTATTAAACTCTCATTTGTTATTCAACTCAAGCAGCATTTCAATGGATAATAATTCACCTTCCTAATAATTTAATTGGCAATTACAAACTAAATTGCAGCCGTTTTTCTTTCCCTCAACTGCAGCTTATCGATATGTTTTTGAATGAATAACATTCAATAAGTAACGTCTAGGAAAGTGAATTGAATTGAGTTCGACGTTCGTACAATTGCAGTCTTAATAAGATTATAAAAAAAGAAATACAAACATCAGGCATCAGAGTCAACAATAAAAATTCTTTTCATACAATTATTTCATTGTAATTTTGTTTTTTCACTTCTTCTTTTGCTCATCTTGCGTAATAATATTGAAAGATCGCGTCGAAACCATTGTGTTTACATAATAAAAAATGTCAATTTAATCTCTCAGGATTGTCTTCTTCTGGAATAAAAATAAATCGGGCATAGAATTTCATGAAGGAATTCTCAATTTAAATAAATTGAGCTTATCTTTATGCTCAAATGACTTTAAAATTGTTATAACAATGGAAGCGATTAATGGAGTTAAATATCATCCAGTGCCTGCAGTTCGTAGTAGCAAAATAAAGCAAGCAAACGGAATGCAAAAATTGTACACAAAGATTATAAACAAAATCGAAGATTTCCCTCCGAAGCTGCATCCAAAACCTGTGCCTTGTAATTTAATCCGAAATTCGCCTATAAACAAACCAGTGACGAAGGTCAGAAAGACAACAGAAAATCCGATAATTAAACCGGTACCAACCAGTGGTTATGAGAGTCTCGTGTCTTCAATTTTATCTGACGATGATGAGTTTTATTCCAAACTGACCTTCGACGATTCAGAACAATCTCTCGAGGATGAGATTTTCGAAGAATTAGAAAAGGTCGCACACGATGAAGCAAAACTCAATGCAGCTCTTCAGAATTTTGACAAAATTCTTTCTGAATACAACGGTAAGAAAGCAAAAGAACTGAAACAAACTGAGGTCGTTATTAAGAAAGAAGAAAAACCTTCAGCAATTCCAAAGCCACTTCAAAAATCAAAGACTTGCAGTATCATCGAATCAAAATGTATTTTGAAGAAACAAAATGAAGAAAAGAAGAAAAATATTCCTCAGAAAGTTGAGAAGCCTTTGAATGTTGAAAGCCTTGTTCCGATAGCAAGTGCCAACTGTTATCAGGTCACTAAAAGCTTGTGGAACCTTCAAGATTTCGATGACTTTGCAAAGTCGGCTAAAAGCTCTGAAAAACCTCAACTTGCAGTTCGTAGAAGCGATGGACCGTCGACGAGCGCTCGTAGTACAATGTCACGAGCGAAAAGCGTTTGGGACATGACACCAACCGCACCATTATCACTTCGACCCACTTACAGTCGTCAGTCTTCAATCAGTAGAATTCCAATTAAATCATCAAAGCTCTCGATGTCAATGATGCATCTTAATGTAAGTAACACGGCTTTAAACACATCATATTGTAGTCCATCGCCTCGTATGACCAAATCATCTGTTTATGCATCGACAACTTCGCTTTCAAATCCAACATCATCGAAACTTTCGTTAACGAGACGATCATCATTGGCTTTAGCACCGAAACGACAAGAAACTCCACCACCGAAATATGTTGAGACGAAAACGAGTCTTCAACGTCGTTATTTAACGTCATCAATGAATAACATTAACAAAATGCCACTCTCAATCGCACCATCCAAGCCAATTCAAATTTCTACGACATTGAAATCTGCAAAAAGTGAAATGTCGCTTAACAACGGAAGATTTGTGTTAAAAGCTTTCGATCGGCAGCAACAAAGTAAACAAAAAGTCGACCCAATTCATCATAGTCGCATGGCATTAAAAACGAAAAATGTTGTCGGTGAATCAATGTTTGATAAATGCATGAATGTGAAAGGACAGGAATTAGCAAGAAAAGTTGAAGAAGTTAGCGAGTTAAATTATGTTAATGAAAGAACGAAGACGATTGTAGTTATTGGCGATGGCAAGAAACGTGATTATATTGCGAAACATCAACAAGCATCATCAGCATTCCCATCACCGTCTACAAAAGCATTGTCAGTTGTGAGCATGAATACAAAATCGAGCTTAACGAATTCTGCTTATTCAATAAGAAATCATCACAACGATGCTAACAAGACGCTGCTGAAAGTAAATGCCATAACAAATCCATGCACTGTTGACAATCAAACGGGAAATCGTCAACAACGGCAACAAACTGAAAGTGAAAATACTTCAAAGTCAGTCACTCAGTCATCTAATAGAACAACAGTTACGACGAAGATTGTCACAGTAAAATCTCCTTATAATATTCGAAATAATCTTTCACAATCGCCCACTCTGAAATCATGTGAGATAATTCCAGTAGTTTTGGACGAAACGACGCCAGTTGATGTGAAAGATTATAACAGTGATTGTAGTGACGATAGTGGACATATTTCAAATGAGAACGAAGATTTGACGTTAAAAATGGAGTTGAAGAAACCACGAAAAATAAGCGAAGAGTTGCTGGGAATATTCGAACAAAAATCACAACAAAATATTTTACCAGCAAAAGCGAAAGTCATCGAATTGAATCACGTTAACCTGATCAAGTCATCGCTGGAGATTTATCCGACACTCAATAAAACGTGCAAGAGCGAGGTAAAAATATTCATTGGCCAGTATTAAAGTAGAAAAAAAAAGTCAAAAAATGAAGATTTTGCTCAAACAAACTCACTTAAGCTTGAAAAATCAACAAATTGTTTTACTGATTTAATTATGATGAGACTTGGACGTGTTTGGCAAGTGGTACGCAATCATTGCGGCATTAAAATACTTTAAAAAGAAATTTCTTTCCTCCTCTGCTTAATTAAGTAACTGATCATTGTAAGATGCGACTTAAGTGTAATATGTGTGGTTCAAAAAATAACTTTACATTAATTTGTTTTCTTAGATTTTGGAGGACAATGATAAATTTTGTGGGTGTGTTTAATGAAATGGAAATTATATGAAAGTTGTTTTTGTTAAATATGTAAATTGTATGTTGTGCACAAAAAGAATTATTATTTTTTAAATAAATTTATGCAAAAATATGAACAAACAAAGCCGTGACTTAGTTTTCGGATGTGCCCACCTATTTTCTAAAATAAAAAAAATTATATGGAATGAAGAAAGAAAGATCATTAACCCAGCGAAAATAAGCAAAGCGATTCATTTAAATTGCGCAGTTGATTACACTTCTTAGCATTGATGTTTATTAAGCCATTACGCCACTAAGTGCCCAGTGCTTCATTTCTCTCACTTAACATTTCTTTTCTTTGACTTCCCCACCTTCGACAGAGCCGCTTACATGATACACATTCTTCCATTCATTCATTGATGATGTGAAAGTATATGACGCGCTTGAATGCCAAAACGAGCTGTTAAAATGATTAGAAAAACAGAAAAATTTCTCCAAATGTTAACAACAAATCTGACCAGATAAACACTCACCAGATGTTTGACTTAATGCTGCGTTTTTTGGCGCAATCAAACAGAAAAAAACGATTTTTATTTATTATTCATTTACATATACATAAACAGTTGTGAACAGAAGAAAAGAAGATAAAAATGTTTGTGAAAGACAAGAATCAAAATAATTGAAACTGAATGATAAAATAAAAGACAAAAACTCATGCTGAGACTTTTTAAATTAAATTTGTTGTTTACTTGCGAATAAAATCGAGGACGATAGAATGAAATGGGCAAAATTCATGTCAAACGTCAGACAAGCACATGTCGATGATATTTCTTCGAAAATCACATGGAGGGAAGTCAATAATTTCAGAACTCGTAATGTTCAAATTTCACGATAAATTTCATCTGAGATGTTTTCTTTAACAAGATATAAATCAGCGTGCGAATTTGTTTTGACATTTGGTGAAAGATGATCAGTGACAAACGTCTTGCTTTTATAATTTAAAATAGGTCGACTGTTAAGTGTTTCGGGAAATGTTTCAAGTCAACAGCTTCTCGCGTAATTTTAATTATCCTATTAATGCGATCAATTTTCTCACCATAAACTATTCCTTTGTGTCGATGTTGATATGTAATTTCCGGTCATCGATCGCAAACAATTTCCTTGAGTAAGGAAATCAGTGTCTTGATCAGTGAGATATAAAAGAAATCACCAGACACGAAGCATATCTACATGAGATCTCATAAATTATTTATTAATTTTAAATTGCAGACCAGAAGCAATGTAATCGCTGGCATGATGATCGAGATTTAATCTATAGTTGCAGGTATAGACATTGAAACGTTAAATTGAATCAACCATGAATATCAAGAAGCAAGAAATATAAAGTAAAGCAAAAATATAAAAAATGTTTCAATGAATTTCACTTTTCCTGAAGATTGTTTCAAAGCTCTTTTTTTGCTTGCTAAAAAGGTTCAAAACTTAAATTATTTCTATTTTCCTTCCGCTTGTTTGCGTTATCGCTGGTGAGAAATCTGATTCGATTAAATGGTAAATTTCATGAATTATGGGATTTTTATGTTTGGATATGATTTTTTATTTCTCTCATGAGATATTCGTAAGTTAACAATCAAAATGAAAGATTTGCGAGTTATTTTCTTAATGCAAAATTCGTGTCATAACTATCGCATGGAAAGCTTAATTCCACTGTCAAACTTTTTAATTTATATCATTTTATATTTTATTAAGCGGAAGAATTGCGCAACGAAATTATTTTTGATTGATTAGTCAGCAGAAAACGACTTTGATACGACATTTCACATTTCTCCCGTAAGCTGAGTGATTAGGAAAGTTCTCATGAGCTTTAATGCTTTCTCTCGGTAGTTAAATAGCGCACGATTTTGCTATTTTAGATACTTTACTATCCCACCACCACCCACAAATACAAATCATCAATCGGAATTTACAATTAACCAATTATCTAAGATGATGTTGTTAATTCATTTATGTTTTTAACTACCGAAATTCAAAGGCTCATTAATTTACTTGTGTATCTGTTATGTCGTATGCGCTTTTCATGAAACTTTCATTTCCGCTCTTTCTCTACCATCGTTTGTCTTATATTTCCATAAGTGGGATCACTATTTAAGCTTCTAAAAGTGCCGTTTGGCGCACTCCACAACTCCTAGAATGGAAGACATGAATGTTCATTCTGTAAGGTCGAGTGGTAGGTAAATTGAAATCGATTTCAAGTAACAGTACAATTTTTTTGAAATGCTTAGCTTAATTAATCACGAGACGAGAGCCAAGGAAGCCATAAACATTAATTCACATTGATCCCATTCGCATGAAGGTAATTTGTAATTTCGCGAAGTCAAACTGCCACATTTAGAATCATTTGTCATTTCACAATTGAAACATTCAAACTATTTATTACCATCATCGTTCTAAAGTAATTTTTCGTCGACTTTCATTTCATTCACTCGTTACTTGTTGATTGTTAAACAACAAAACCATCGATCATAATTGAAATGTTGTGCTGATATTAATAAATTGGCATTTAAACAAAGATGGACGTGTGAAGTCGAGTCATGATGCTTTTCGATGATATTTGATGTTATTGACCTTATGTTTCGCTTTGCTTTCTCGCAATTTTTGGGTGGGATTACGTTGCGATGTGATAATTGAGAATTCGCATAAAGAAAGAAAACTTAAATCATTTTTCAGCCGCTCTTAAGCAACATACGAAACTTTAGAAAAGAAAACTTTCACCAAATAAATTCAAGAAGAAAAAAAGACAAAAGATCGCGAACATTGATTTGTTGTCGCTGGTCCAGGTTGGTTGTTGTGTTGCGGGCAAAGGTGGACATTAAAACATGTTTTACATTCTCCGCATATGGTTGAAATCGAACAAAAGCGATGTAACCATTGATACTCATAAAAACAATCTTTTATGCTTCTTTTACTGCTTCGTTTTATTTTATTTTATAAATCGAAGAGAAATCAATCAAAAAAAATGTAAGAAAAATTTAAATCTTCATGATTTCGCAAGAGAAGAGAAAAAAATTCATTCAGCATGCTAATTGATCATTGAGGATTATGAAATGATGAATTATACAATAAAAGATCTTGTTGAGTCAATGTAACACCATGGGAAGTCTCGCGAATTTCATTTTTGTTTCTGAGTTTTCGTCGATGAATCCGATGGAGAGAAAATTAAGGTTCATGGGCATGAGATTGGATTAGAGATGCACTAAAGTTCAGTCAAGTGATTCTTTTCTACGTTTCATTCTAAGAAACGTGAGAAAGGAAAAACTTCACGAAACTAACGATTTGAATGTAATCACAGCAATTCCATCTGAGCTGCGGGAGATTGAGAACAAAAGATGTTCATCTAATTTCACGTATTATTCTTTCTCATAGGTCTTGTTCCGTTCTGGTGTACTTAATCAGCTGGAAGCTAAACGTGATGAGTTGTTATCAGATCGCATCATACAATTGCAAGCATTCTGTCGTGGATATCTTGCGAGAAGACGAGTTGGACAACGTCGTGTGCAGGTAAAAAGAAGAAAATTTTTGTCGTCAAACAAACGTTAAGTAATCTCAATTATTTTCATCTAACAGGAACTTGCAGTGCGCTGCATTCAAAGAAATGTTCGTGCGTTTATGCAAGTTCGAGATTGGCCATGGTGGCGTCTTCTTGTACGTGTGACACCACTTCTTAACGTCCATCGTACCGAGGAACAATTGAAAATCGCCAACGATGAATTACAATCGCTCAAAGCGAAAATGGAGAAACTTGATGCCGATCGAAGCACACTGAAAACGGAAAATTCCAAGCTGGAAGCGAAGGTGAGTTCTGTGATCAAATTCTATTAACTGCATGTTGGAAATTTCTTTCCTCTTACACCCATTTGCGGTTGTTTTTTAATTAAAAGTCGATAAAAATCAATTTGCAACTGCACACAAAAAAAAAACAAGCCAAGAAAATCGTTTTGGGTGAGAATGTGGGACGTTAGTTAAATGGACATTTAATAGAATTGTTAATTATGTTGCATTGCACGATGTTAACGATATTATTTATTGAAGAAGTTGTCAAATATTTTATTATAAAACAACTGATACTGTATAAAAAGAAAAAGAAATTTAATGTATACACGAGTGATGATTGTTTGCAATTACAAGTAACAACAAGCGATAACTGGAAAAGTTACGGTGAATGTTGATTCAATATTAACTAAGTAAGCAGTAAAGTCCAACCTCCTAAGCATTAAAATGTTGCATTTTCAATTATCCACTCGATGTAACTAGCAACGAAAGTTAAAATAAATAGAAATTCAAAATAAATATCTTTGGAGTGACGAAAACATTAAAAATCAAATTATTTACTTTGAAACTCTTGTATAAATGCCAGGATGCTTCGGTTCGCCACATCGAACTCCCCACGAGACAATTCCAATAACTGTCCATCGCTTATTTGGTAATTGAATCATCAGGGGACCCCTGGAAATAATTTGATTGAAATCATTGTCGAATGGTTGATGAACTTACCCGCTGTCGCCTTGACATGAGTCAGCTTGATTAGCTCCAGCGCACAAGACACTGTCATGGATTTTATGTGTATATTTCTCTTGGCAATCTTCATTCTTCCATATCGGAATCGTGACTTCCATTAGTGTCGGTGAATGTGGACCAGCAAAGAATTGCGTTCCCCAGCCTATTACAACTGCTTGTTTTCCTTCATAACTATCCGTCACGGGTGGCATGCAAATTGGCCAAATGTAAGAGTTAAAAAGCGAGGGTCGAATGATTTTCAAAATCGCGATATCATTCTCGTAAGTTGTTTTATCGAAATCGATATGTTGACGAATTTCGGCGACTCGAAAATCTCTTGTTCTCGTTTCATTTGACGTTTCAAAGGAATACTCACCGAGACGAACAAAGAGATCTTCGATTTTGATTCGATTTGAACAGTGGGCAGCAGTTAAAACGTGTCGATCGGTAATTAAAACGCCTCCACAAAAAGCGCCACTTGCTGCTTTCTTTGAAGTTAACGCCGCCATCCATGGGTATTCGCCGGGGTCTGCTGGTCTTCCTCCAGCGATTTTTGGGAATTGTTTTGTTGCTACGCCACAACCTCTCTCTTGTGGATCTTCTTCAGCCCCTGCATGATCATCTTCTTCATCTTTAATACTTCCCCGTTCAGTGAAATCATCTCCAGATGAAGGAAATGATGCAGTAAGAAGACCAATCCTTTCACCGATTTCATCCGCACAACAAATTCCGATAGCACTTGATTCAATCACACAAAAGTAATCGAAAAATTTCCAAAAATTGCTTTTCATATCGATCGTCAAACAATGGCGAACATGCTTGCAATGACCGTTTCTACCGGATGGTGTCACGCATTTTTGATAATTTTTGTTTGGCTGCAAAAGTTTCTGTGATAAAAATAGCGAAAACAAAAATCATTTCCGTTTGCTTCTCACTTGATTGAAGGGTAAAGAAAGTCGTTTCGCTATGTTATTGCTTATAGCTGCAAGTAAATATAAATTAGATCAACGAATGAACGTTATCAGCGATTCACTTGAACTTCTAACAAGCAACTTGATAGTTGATTGTGAAAGTAGAGCAATTAAATTACTTTCGACTCACTCGAACTTTCTGTAAATTCTCCAAAGTTATGAACCGTAAAAATTAAAACAAATATTAATTTAATTGTTTGCATTTTAATTGAAAATTAATTTCGGTGTGAAGAATTTAATTTTGGAGTTGATTTCACTCTCAGGTTTAATTTTTGTTCTGATATCGTCGATCTCATTAAATAATTTTAGCAAAGTTCAAACGTGTTTTAATTTTAAATTCTACAATAAAGTTGATCAGACTTATTCACTTGAACTATCGCAATGCGACTAAAGAGAGTTCTATGTATGTGAAGCATGATAATTTATTTACAACTTTGAATTTCTTCATAATGAAAAAAAAGCTTTAAAAACATGAGAATAGAAAGAAACTTTAAAGAGAGTGATAAGAATTTGAGTGTCTTCAAATTTATAAAAGAATTTAATGCTGGCAACCACAATCAATTTCTTTAATTAACAATTGTTAATTAAAAATACAATTGAAAGTTGAAGTCATTAAAAATCATCGACTTTGTTTCTTTTACATCTCACTGACCTACAGCAATGAGTGAAGTCGTTAAATAAAATTACACGCTTTTAACTGTTTTGTAAGATGTTCAAAAATATATAAACAGGTAATAAATCCGCCTACAATAAAGTAGCAAAATTTATTGACATTATTATTGAAAGACTTTCAGACGTTGATTGAAATATGAAAATTTCTTGAAGGAAAATTTTGTTTCTAATTTTTTTAACAAATTCCGGAAATGCTTACAAATCATCGGAGAGATTTTATGTCATGCCACAATTCAAAAATTGTGTACGTCGGCGGTAGAAAACAAGCTTCCAACGCTCACAAACTTTTTTATTTATGTTCGGAAAACTGTTACATATCTACACAAAAGACTGCGCATTGGACAATGTCCAAGAAAAGTACTCAAGCTGAAAAGTTATTGTAGAGAGAAGTTTCCGTTGATGGCGTCTTCTTCTTCCTTCACTGAATATTTAACCAAAATATTTCATTTTTCATCGACTTTGATTTAAAACTGGCTATTAATTTAATGCTTTTTGGCTGATTCCTTACAAAACATGTAAAGTATTTTGTTGATCGTCTTAAATACAATATTTTGAATGACAATGAGCTAGAAAAGTGACATGGACACAGATAATTAATTAAAGTGGCGTTTAAATGCTTAAAAAGTTTCATTCTTAATTCTCTGAATGTTGCGCAATGATGAATTGGCTTATTTTTATTATGCGAGCAGAATTTTAATCAGCTGATGAAACGATCAGTTAATTTTGAAAAGTCTCTGGTTAAATGAAGCAAGGAAGATATTTTTGAATTGCTATTAATCTCGATGACCTCACGGCCATGTTCCATCAGACAACCGATTGCAACATAAAATTCATCTTACAAATGGTTGTCAGGTCAAAATAAGTAACTGAACATGTCTTGATAAAGTTACTCGCATATGTCAGACTTTCACTTTTGTGGTGAACATTTTTCTTGTTGATCTTTTTCAATTCAATTTCTTTCGATCGATGAAGTTATTTATTTTTATTTTTTTTGCGATGATGTTGATATTTATGTGAAACACATTGCAAGATAAAGTTTTCGAGTTGTGAGAAGATCGAATGATGAAAAATATTTGGCAGTAAATTCATTTTCGAATGCAGATTAATTATGCACAGCATGATGTTCTTGACTTCTCAGAACCTCAAATAAATATTGGGAAAGGGCAAAGATTTCTTGACCTTGCATTTTCAAAAAAAAAAACGCTAAATAAATAACAAAACAATCCCAATGAATAAAAGTATTTGAAACATCGTTGAACCAGCCAAGAAACAAAACTCTGCCATTCAGGCGTCGACGACGATGCTTCAATTGTTTTGAGACAAACTCATTCTTAACAGAAGTGAAAAGAAAAATGTAAATATTACTTTCGAGGATTACAGACATCGCTTCGTTGTGAAAATAATGATAGTCGTGTGGACTTTCACCAACACGAATGAGCAGTCGTTGAAATCGGAATAGCACAGTATGCTAAAATTAAATCTTCATCTCGAGAGCTTCGTATTCAACTTGTTGCTTTGGTGGATGGAAATTATGATAAAATTTCGTTCTTCCCAAGCTTTTCCGAATGTTGGAGAATTTTCTGATCGTCGTCAGTCTCTCCGTTGTTGTCGTGGTAGTTGGATGTTGGGTGGAACTGTGAGAGACGTGAAGTGATGAAAACTTTTATCCTGAGATTGATTGATCGGTCGAATAATTAGCGGACATTTAAAATTCACTCATTGCATCGTGAAAAACTCTTCTTCGTGTCACATCTCGTAAAGAATGTTTAACAAGAAAAAGCCATCGGATAAAATAGAAACAATTACTTCGGGAAAATAAAGAAAGAAAATTTCACACACAGTCACGACGAGAAAATCCGCAGGCAAGCAACTAAATCAGTTTGAAAATAAGTTCGCGATTAGTCACAACGATGCTGTGGGATATGAAAGAATAAAATATTAAATATTATCATTGGATGTGATCATTTTAAATTTTCATGATTTTTTTTATCGCGACAGTGATAATAAAATAAAAAGGAAAATTCCTCACGTATTAAGAAAATTCTTTTCGATCTTGTTGTGATATTATTGCAGAGTTAAACAAAACAAAGTCGAGGAAAAGTTGCGTAATTTAAAAAATGAAAATATTTCTTGATTAATTGAAAAATCAAACACGAATTTATGCCGCTCCCGCCTTCAATTTCAATGATGAATGGACTTCACCCAGTTCCATCCATTCAAATGAATGGACTTCCACCAGCTAAACGACGCCCACCACGACCCATCATCCGACCAATTACACCTTCTGGAGGTCGGTCGAAACCAACAGATGAAGTTGCAGTTTCTAAACTTCCTCCAGCTTCGAGATCATCGCGATATATTCAGAGCGGAAGACTAAAGATTCCGATTATTCGCTCGAATACTTCAGAAGATCTTAATGATCGTCGAAGCATGTCACATGAGTCTTCCTACGTGTCTCGATCGCCTTCGCCTGCTTATTCTCAATCAACACATCGTAGCGGCTCATCACTTAGCAACTATGACTCTTGGCGTTCATCCGACAGTTCCAGGTCGAGAAATACGCCTAGACGACAATTTCCTCAATCTTACATCGATCATAATTTAGATATTCACGAATTTTATAAAATGGAACAATCGCCGGTGGTGTACGACGCTAATTTGTCGTTTGTGCTTGGTATGAAGCAGCCATTACGCCAATCAATGCGTGCTTCGCCAGCTCACTCGGAAAAATCAACTGCGTCAAATTATTTAAGCGATCAGATCTCGAATTTCCTGAGACGAACAGATCATGTCATGGAAGAATGGTCGGCAATGGGGAAAAAGAAAGATGACATTGTAAGCTACATTGAACGACAACGCGAACAGAATTCATTGGATCGTAATGTTGGACGATCAAAAAGTGCCACAAATATTCTTGTCAGGGGATTCCAATTAACTAAAAGTCAACCTTCATTTAGACGGTCAGTGTCACGTGATATCAACGAAATTCCTAGCGATTTAATTGATGACGATGATCGCACTGTTTGTGATGAAGAGGTAAAATTTAAAGATAGAATTGAAGCATATGTTGATGTTGATATTGAAAACATTTCAACAATATCTCGTAACATTATAAACACAGATTTTTCTCTTCTATTTCATCTGTAATCAAAAGAGAAAAAAAAAAGTTTCTTACGTGCACCTCTAATGATTTCATGTTCCATGAAAATTTTATTTTGCGCGATTACACAACAAAACCATGAAAAGAATTACTTTCGCACCGTTATGGAAAATTTTCTAATTAAAATTCTCCTTTTGAAGTGTCAAAAATTCATTTGTTTAGGTCATTCTTGTGCGCAGAAAAGTTTCGCTGAATTATTTATTTTCATTAAAATCCGGAAAGATTTATAAATAAAACGAGAATTAGGTTTGAACGACTGTCGAAAAACTGATTTATGCACAAGGAGTGTTTTAAAATATATTAAAGTTACAGTTGGTGAACGACTAAAATAAGTGGTTGACGTTTTGTTAATTAAGCTTGCCATTTAACCCCAATCAAGGCTTTTCACTGTATTTCTTAATTAGAGAAAAAAAAGAAAAGTTTTTTTGAACGACAACTGAAAATCATGTTTTCTCGAAAACTATTTTTAACACTGACAAGTCGGTTTTCATTTTTATTTGTTTGACGATCTGTCGGTTTGAGAAAACAAATAGCCGAAAACACAAATGAATCACAAGGCAGAGATTCTTAATAAACCCTATCGCTTTATTGTGCAATGTTGTTCAAGTGCCAGAAACATTTCCGAGCAATTGAAATTTCTTATGTTTCAGTTTCTTCGGCTTTAAAATCTTTACTTAACATTTTATGTTTTGAGGAGAAATATTGACTATAAAATCAGATTAAACGATGTTCATTTCATGTCTCATAAAGTTAATATAAGTGTCTCGACGATTGCTTTAGATATAGAAAGTAGAAGAAGCTTATTAAATGTTTTTAATTAAATACTCTTAGGGGATCGACTTCCATCTGATAATATAAAAGAAATTAAATTTTATTATAAAGTTCTACTTTCGTTAAGCTCGTGAAATTTTACTGAAACCGAACTCTGACTATAAAATTTCAATTAAGTCATTTGCAATACTTATTGATCGTCGGAGTTTTTATTTGCGAAACAATTCTCTGGTTTCAAATGCTATTGAAATTGGATCATGTCCAATGACGAGTGGGGGGATTACTTAAAAAATTGATGTAACAGCTTTTAACTCATTCATTATGCAAGCCTTGCCACTTTTGATTATCCACTAGATTAAAATGTTTTTTGATTTATTGTCACGCTTCGTTGACGGATGGGCAACAAACGCATCTGTTGCAACAATTCCCTCATTTTAGTATTTCGATTAAGACATAAATTCTCGTCGATCTTATTCTGCTGCGTTTCGTAAATAGATCATGTTTGAGATGAAAATTTATTCGCAATCTCATGCTATGAATAGCAGAGTTGATGATCTTTCTGACGATGTTTACAGCAGACTACGAGAAAAACCTTGTAAAATAATTTAATCCCATGCGGATGAAACAAAATATAATCCGTCCAAACAAAGCAATGTTGATGATGATAATGCAATGAAAATATTTAATATTTACCTACTTAATTTGCATTCGGAAGCTTCATTCCATAAGTATTAAAATATTTTCTTTCAATCCCTAAATGGAATTTTTTAATTATTATTTTATTAATAGTATTGCTTAAACTTCTCATAAATACTTATTTGGTTAGAAATGAATAAAAAGTTTTAATCTAATTTCATTCAGCTTTACCACTTATAGACAAAAAGAAACTCGCAATTATGCATACTTATTATTATTAATAAAACGTTTCATAACTCCTTAAATGCCTTGAAACATTCAAAAGATATTTTTTCAAATATTTTCTTTGAAAACGAGCTGAGAGAAAAGTTTCACCAATAATAATCTTATAAATTCTTTCGATTTCACCGATGCCAAAAAGATTAAAGCAAAAATTAATTGAATTTCTATGACCATGTAAATGAATATTAATCATGGATGGTTTGCTTTAAATGGATCAGTGTCATTGTCATTAAATTTTGCATTCATGAATTAATTTCAATATCCGAAAATTTGCTGCCTTGTTGGCTATTGTGATATATTAGTATTTATGTATTTAGGTAATTCGATAGAAATCTTTTAATTATGTCGACATTCTCGAATGTTTAGAGATCTTTCTAAGATCTTATTAAACTCTGAAAGCTGAGAGAAAGAATGACGTTTGGAATTGGAGGGGTTATTCATTTTAAGCCTGGAGAAACAGTAAAAGATCTCGAAGAAATAATTCTAAATAGAGTTTTATTATTATTTTGAATTGTTTGAAATTTACATGAATTGCCCCTTAAGCAGCTTACAAATTGAAACTTTAATCTCTCCAAAACTTTCTGACTCTCTTCTCTTTTTTTCTTGTTTACTCTCCACAAGTTTAAATTTCTCTTATCATTTTTTAACGTTCGTGATAAACATCAATAAAAGCTAAAAGCAAAGTAAACTATCAAAGATTTACTCCCTCATTCATTATAAAATCATTTTGCGTCATTTTAATGAAACATTTGTGAGAAATTAAAAGTAGTTAATTAAATCATTTGGCTGTTGATCGTTTTAATGTGAAGTTTTTCACAGAATTGTGTTAATTAACCAGTTGCAAATTGATAACTTCTCATGGTGATCATACACTGTGCAAATACATAGAAATTACACTTTCAAGATATCATTTTTCATCTTTTCTTATTTAAATATATTTTTTTATTATATTTTCCTAACCGCAGTTATCAGAGATGACAGTGGAATTAGCTGAGGAACATTCTACATCAAATCTTGCAAGTGAACGTTTAGAAGCGGAGCAGAGTGAACGATTAAGATTGGAAAAAGAACTTGACGATCACCAACAAAAATATCGCAACCTTCAAGAGTCATCTGAGAAATTAGAAATGGAACTGATTTGCGCAAAATCAGATTTAAATGGGTGAGCTTTAAATAATTTCGAAACAAAATCAAATTAATTAATTTCTCGCTTTTCCTAAAGTGTTTTGGAAGAAGAAGATGGAGATGACGAGGGTTCAAGCAGTGCCTATCGTCTTAAATATGAACGTGTTGCTCGTGAACTAGAATTCACGAAGAAACGACTTCATACTCAACATGAACACGATTTGGAGCAACTTGTCGGTCTTAAGAAACAATTGGAAAAGAAATTAGCGGATGCTTATGAAGAAGTTGAGGAGCAACGTCAAGTCGTGGCACAATGGAAGCGAAAGAGTCAAAAAATGACTAATGAGATGAATGATTTGAGAATGTTGTTGGAAGAACAGAACAGTCGAAATAATTTGTTAGAAAAACGACAAAGAAAATTCGATTCAGAATGCCAGGCACTTCAAGTAACTTTTGCAATTATATTTTAATAAGATGAGTTGTATTATTAACTTATTTGCTTTTCAGGACACTGCACGACAAGAACGACAAGCAAAGGACAGACTTTCACGTGAAAAAGATGTTCTAATTGCTGAAAAGTTCCAACTTGAACAGAATTTAGCGGTTTGTATTTCTTTTCAGTATATTTTCAATCAATTTCTAATCACTTTATTTATCCTTTTCATAGGACACTCGTCTTGAGTTAGAACTTAAGGAAGAGAAAGTTTCCGCATTGAATCGTGAATTGGAAGAGTTGACATTTGATGGAAGCACTGAAGAAGAAATTGCGCAATTGAAACGATCCAAGTTAGATTTCGAGAAACGTTGCAAAGAACAAGAAGAAGAATTAGATGAACAAGCTGGTCAAATTCAAGTGAGTTAATGTTATTTTTTGAAAGATTATAAACATTTAATTAATTTTCTTTCCAGCTTCTTGAACAAGCAAAACTTCGACTCGAAATGAATTTGGAAACGATGCGTAAAGATGCTCGTCGCGAAGCGCAACAGCGTGACGAAGAGATTGAAGAGATTCGAGGATCTTCTTATAAGAAAGTCAAAGCTCTCGAGTGTCAACTTGAACAGGAACATGAAGAAAGAACTCTTTTGGTTCGCGAGAAACATGAGCTTGAAAGACGTTTGAATATGCTTGAAGATCAAGATCGTGCTGAAAGAGCTGCGGAGGAAGCAGCCACACAAAAATTAAAGAAAGATTTGAGAAAATGTAAAGCATTACTTCGTGATGCCCAAACACAACTCGAAAGATCAAAAGCAGATGGCACTGGTAAAGCAATAATTCGCCAACTAAGAAATCAACTTGAAGATGCTGAATCGGCACGAACTGTTGCAATTAAAGCTCGTCAAACAGCTGAATCAGAATTATCAGATCTGCAAACATCATTGGATGAGATTCAACGTGCAAAGTATGAAGCAGATGAGAAGGCAACAGCTGCTCAACGTGATCGAGCTGAACTGCAAGCACAAATCGATGAAAATGATGAAGAAATGAGTGAATTGATGAAGAAGTATAGTGCAACAGTTAAACAACTTACTGCTGAACAATCAACAATAACTGAATATGAGATAAAGATTTCCGAACTTGAATCTGAAAAGAATTCATTGAAGGAGCAAATTTCTGAGCTCACATCACGATTAGAGAACTTTGAAAGTATTGGAGATTCAAGCTCAAATCTTCATAACAAACGACTTGAATTGAGAACCAAGGAACTTGAGTCACGTTTGGAATTTGAACAAATGACACGAGCACGACTTGAAGTTCAACAGAATCGTTTGAAAGATTCGATCGAGAAAGCGCAAAATGAAATTGCACAATTCAGAACTAAAGAGGCTCACGCACAAGAAGCGTTGAAAAAGACACAAAAAAGTTTACGAGAACTGCGCGATGAATTTCACGTCATTTCAAATCGAGAACAGGAAGGTGTCACAAAGAGAAAAGATTTGGAGAAAAGACTTGAAACATCAGAAGCTGAAGCAGTATCAGCACGAAGCGACTTACGTCTGGCATTGCAAAGAATTGCTGATCTTCAACAAGCAATGGATGGAGAATTTAGTGGAGCGACTGAAAGGTATTTTAAACTGAAAATTTATTTAAAGATGACATTGAAAATGTTTTTATTTTCTTTTCAGTGATGACAGCGACGTTTCAAGTGACGAAAGTGAACTTGACATGCGTCTTCGTCCGACGTCATCAGCATCACAATCCACCGTTATTAACCGCACCCCAAAAAGTTCGTTAAACGATTCTACAAATGGCTTAAGTCTAACAAATAATCACAATACAAATAACTTTAATACTACTAATAGTTATCTAAGTAAGAGTAACATTAGCAAAGCTTCTGATGAAAGGGACAATACGCCAAGGTAAGCTTATGGAGAAATTTCTTCTTAAGCACCAACAAACACTTTAATAATTCATTGGCTTCATTCACAATACAAAATTAACTAACAAAAATATGAAACGAATTATGCACGTAACGATTAAAATTGATGTGATTGCAAAAATTATTAACCCAAAAACAAAGTTTTAAACAACCGTGAAACAACGATCAGTTTTTTCCCATTTTAGAATTACAATTTCTACTCAACCGAAAGCGCAAGGAGAAGTCTTGAGTGCTGACATCGAGAATCAGACGAACGGCAGTGACACGTTTGTATAGGGACGACTGTGTGGTCTTTTATGTTAGTGTTTAGTGTTAAATAAATGAAATTAAAATGTTTTTTTAAGAACTGTAAAACTTAATCACAGAAACATTTTACATACATTCATTGAGTTATGTTTAACGTATAAAAAATGGTTAAAACCGCAACATTGAATGAAGAAAATGAGAGGGAGAAAGAATGCATCTAAAAGTTTCTCTCTCCCTCGCCACCACAACACATTTTGCATAATTAATCGGCTAACTCTGTATCTGCGAATTTTACTTCATAATTTACTCAATTTGCTTTATTAGCATTAATTTAGTGAAATTTAAATCTTCATTTCTCTTTCAATTTACCTTTCTTTGTTTAATTTAATTTATATGATTGAGTCTGTCTGTAAGTTTAATTGAAAATATATGCGAAATGAATCAAGAAGGAAACATAATCATTTATTGTTTAAGGAACATGCTTTTATTGCATAAATCAAAAGAAAAGAAATAAAAGAAATCAGTAATATATTAGTTATCATATGTATTATTAATTGGTAATCGAATAATTTAATGTTAAAGTAAAAGTGCTTTATAATTTCCCTTTCATGAATTATTTGTTTTTGTCAATTTAATTAATGTAATCATAACGTGAATAAAGATTAAAAATGTTATTAGTGAATATTTTGAGTTTTATTATTATTTTGGAATTTTATATGATTTTGTGACTTTCAGGATATTAAACAAGCTTTCGGAGGGATAAAAATAATTTTGAAAAAGTACAAAATATGTGTTGGGTGTGTGTCAGTTGTCTTGAAAATGAAATTTAAAATCTTATTGATTATCTAATAACAAAATAATATCTCCATAGTTTTAAGATTTCAAATGTTACAAATTGTATCTGCTACGAATTATAATCTACATAATTATCTAAATTAATACAGTAAATTTTACAATTTTGATAAATAGTTTTGTACCGCAATATGAAAATGTAATCATAGATTATTAGTCGAAGAAAACTTTTGAATATCTACTTACTCTTTAAAAGTTTTAGTAAAATTAGTTTATCTAATAAGATGTCAAAAGTCAGGTGCCCTAGTTGCCACAATTTATCCTAATTATTGTTGAAAATGTTCCATCGTTCCTTACTAGTTTCCCTATTTCTTTTTAACATTTATTTATCTAGATAAGTACGTAGATATAATTCTTTTTATAGAAATGATAGTTTCAATAATATCTTACATAAGTATACTTAATTATTTTCATAATAAGTTTGAATGAAATTTGTATGTCAAATTTAACTTTGTACTGGGATAAAAATATTTAAAACAAACAAAAATCTAATAAAGAAGTGTTTGAATTTCATGTTTTACTTTTTACACTTTGTATAAATGAAATTTTGCTAAACTCATCTTTTCAGGATAATTTCTAGATTCCAATTATTGCAATAAATTCACACACAATCATTTCTCTCTCAAATATAAAATCATTCACTCTCTTGAATTCAAATCTTTTGTTCATCGTCAAACTCATTAAAGGACTGATTTCGTATTAGTTTAGATAGTGTTCTTGTCAGAGAAAGAAGAAATTCGTATTTAGCACGACGTGATAAATTAAAAAAAAGTTCCAAAGATGACTACTCCTAATACTGTAAGTTGTAATGATGATTAAAAGTATCAAAACTTTATTTTATAATCATAATCAAGGTTCAAAAGAAATTTTCATTCATCGGAGTGATTGATGGAGTGATCAACTTCAACACAAGTGTTTTGAAAATTTTGAATGGCTTACCAATGATTGTCTCTAGCTTTGTTCTTCTCATCATTAATGAATTCTTATCGCTATTTACTAACCGTTCTGCAACTGTTGGAGATCATCTGCTTAATGGTGAGAAAGTTTTAGTAAGTAGAAGTAATCACATGCTTGAATGTCACACAACCTAAAAGTTTAATCATTTCAGATCATTGGATCAGATACAATGCTTGGTCGAGCATTTTCTATAATGTCAGTTAAAATGGGTGGAACCGTCATTTGTATCGACAAATCGAGGGAACATAGCGATCATTTCATTAAATTAATTAATGAAGAAAAAATGGATACAAAAGCGTATTTCTACGAGTGTGATAGCAACAGAAAGGATTCAATAACTCAAACAATCGATGCTGTAACTAAGGACTTTGATGCCATTGATATAGTAGTAAATTGCATGACAAGCGATGTCGTGCAATCTTATTTCAATGTAAATTTGTTAATTTCTACGTTTCTATTTCATTCAACAAAATTCATTTCAGTTTTATCATGCTATCTTCCCTATCATGAAGACAAATAATAAAGGTCATCTTGTATTTATTCGTACTTTTGACTTCGCTACAAGAGCGGCTATTAAAGGTTTATTTGAAAAAATGAATCACGATTTGAAAGATCCGAATGCTTGCAATATAAAGACGTCCTTGGTTCATGTTTTCCCAAAATTTGATAATGGTGAAAATGTTCCAAAAGAAGGAATTTTTGCAAACATTCTACTCGAAGACCTTGCTTGTAATGTCTTTATAGGAGTTGCAAAAAATAAGAAACATATTTATGTCCCCGATTCTATGAACATCTTTGGCTTCTTGATGACATTCATACCATCACCTTTGGTAGCAATGTTTGAAAATCTTTTCTTCAGTGATTAATTTGTTTATATATGATGTGCAAAGTTAATTCTATTGTCTGAGTTATAATAAAGATTAAAGGAAATGAGAAAAATCAATTCTTTGAACATTCGCATTGATGTAATTGATGAGAAAGGTGGCAATATTAAACGTGATGGTGCACATATTCATTCGACTATATATGGTGTTTTTTCTCCCCTTGGTATCCCCCAAATGGTATTTTTCAAATTTCCCTTTGTATCCCCCAGTTGCTGAAATATTTGTGAAAACATTGAAGAAATGCTCCAAGCCCTGTTTTCAAGGCAAATTTCCATTTGTTTGGCTTAAAATAAAGCTAAATTAGCTATCTGTGGTGCTCAGTTGGTGTACGACTTCCTTAAAATTTGTTAAAAATTAGAATTTTAAAAATAATCAATGTTTTTAATGTTTTTTATTGCTCAAAAGTTTCAATGTTTTGATCGAATGTTTTGATCCAATGTTTCAAGTTGAATGTTTTTCCTGAATGTCAACATCAACGATCGGAGAGCTTTGAAATTTAAGCTTAAAAGTTTACGACAGTGAATTTTATTCAATTTCTCGTATACATCAATAAATACAATGGACAAGATTAAAAATTTCGAAAATTCATACCGAATGTTCTTGATTTTCAGTTTCTGTTTGAAGCTTTTTGAGCTTTAAAGATTTTAAAGCTTTCAAAAGCATTCTAAATTTAAACCTCAGTTTTTGACATTGATTATTCTATTGCGTATGTTTCTATCCATTAATATCATTCTTGTTTTGACTACCTAAATAAGCTAAACATTTAAAGTGTTGAAAATTTGATTTATTTGAGTTCTTTTCAGTTCAGTTGTTTGTATGTGAATATTCATATTTCAATGACATTTTTATTTCGAATTATTTCAATACTTAATTTAATGATGTGCTTCTTTTGCTTTAATTATTTATCCAATGACCGTTACCAAAGCTCTCTTATAATCCCCTTTGCAGTCGTCCTGAAATAAAAGAAATCAAGAAATTTATAACACAATTTTCTTCGCTTCTTCCTGCTTTATCAATTGAATTTAGTTTTTATTGTGCTTTATAAACACATTTCAAAAATTGTTACGAAAAATATAATATCAATCGAGTAAAACATTTATGTAAAAATTTATTATTTGAACTGACAACGATATCAATCTTGAGATTCCATTAAAAAAAATGATAATAAATAAGTAAATTAACTTCAAAATAGGTAAAAAATTTGTTAAACATGGAGAATGTGGTAAAAATGTAATTAATTACTTTTAAAGATTTCTAATGCCTAAATGCTTTTGTAAAGCAATAAACTGCCATTAAATACTTTTTTTTTGTTGCTTAGTATGCAACAATCATTTCCAGCAAATCTCCCAAGTCACCACCCGCGTCATCCTAAAAACAGAAAGGATTTGTTGTTTTCTTGTAGATATTCATATGGCTTTTAACTTTAAATGTTTCTTAATCTTAAACTTAAGGAAATATTTTTCTTTTAAGATATTTATGTGCCAAATAAAAATGATAAAAATTTCAGAAAAACTTTGACGAAAATAAATTTTTACATAAAAAGAAAAATTAAAGCAAAATTAACTTTTGAATTCAAAAACTCAAATAAAAAGCATAAAAAATGTGCAAAAAATTGAAAATTCTTTGATTTTCTTTGAGAAACACTATTTCTATCTGTTTTAAAAGTTGTTTATGACACTACACTGTATGTGTAAGTAGAAATCCATTAACATTTGAAAAACAAAAAACTTGCAGGCAGCAGCTTTGATGGTTTTGGAAGAAGTAGAATGGAAGAAGGCATTATGTGGTTTAATATGCAACAAGTGTGAACAACAAGTATCCAATATCAATTTTGAGTTCTTCCTGCGGATCAAAAAGATACAAACAAGGAAGTTTATTATGCAATCTAAACTAAAAAAAATTACTACCATAAATTTATTTTTGTGGAGAATTTGTGATTTAGAAATTGTTCTACTTGCACATGCATTATAAAAGAGTTTTTGAATTCATAAAGTTTAATTTTTGTTACTGTTAATTAGACAAGAAAAGCTTCGAGAAAAAGTCATTGTTACGTGCTTTCTTAACATGTGGAGAAAAGAAAATTAGCAATATGGTGAAACGACAGCACTTGAATAATTTGAAACTCAATCAAAACATGTAACGGAAAAACTGCTCGAAACAATGCGCTTCTTATCACGCAAACAGCAATTATTTTCCTTCTCGCTTGCTCCCTTGTAATGCTGCGAGAGAAAGTAGCACAACACGATGATCCACATCTTCTAAACTGCTGTAAAATGTTTCTATCTCAACGTTTGAAAATAAAATGATGAAATTTGTCGTTTTTAAACCTTTATTGATACTCTCACATTTTGTAGCAAAGCGGAATTCATTAACATCAAAAGCATGACCAAAAAGAGGTTTCGCTCAATGGTGTATATGTGTTACGAATAAGACTTCTTTTTAGAATGTTACTTAAGTATTGTGTGCAAACTTCGTTATTTATAAATGAGCACCACTTAAAGCTGAATATGAACTTCAATATTAATTTTTTTACTTCAACCTTCTTTTAGAAAAATTTTTTTTTTTTGAATGGTACTGGATGTGCGTGCGCGAAAAAAAATATTTTCTATTTGTTTGTGTGTGTTTTTGCATGAACCTTAAGAACTAGAGTTTCGCAAGTGCGAGAGACTTCTTAGAAGAAAGCAAGAGTTTTATCCGATAATTGCCAGCAGTGCTTTCTTGTAATCGCCGCTTGTATCACCCTAGAAGAAATATATGTTCGTCATGTTTCTCAATTGATCTAAACAATTCGACTATGAGTGTTAAAAATTTAATGTTAAAGAGATTCGTCAAAGAGTTACGTCATAATGGTTGCTAAGCTATAAAATTTCCTTTCATGGACTATGAATTCTTTTTGAGTTTCATTCTTTTCAACTATTTGACACATTTAAAGGTAACGACGTAATTGTAAGACAAATCCCTTCAATCAAATAATTACACATCATTTGGAAGAAGGCAAATAGAAAAACAAAATAGCAAAACTTTAACGCGCGTCTAATTTTATCTTCAAAAAGCTTCTGCTTTATGACTTTAGTCAAGGCTGATGAAGTATCATCGTCATGTGCCAGAAGGAAATGATTCAGAAGCTCATGAGAAGTCCGAACAGTTTTTTTGTGTTTCATTTGTTTTGAAGAAAAATGAATAAAAGATTACAAACAAGTATGATATAATCAAGAATGTATGTTAATTTTTGTGCGAAATGAGTTTTCATTGCTTTTTCTTTCTACTTTCAATGTTAAAAGAAGCCCACGAACAGTCATTTGTTCACAGTGTTTATGGACAAACAACAAGAGATAAAATAACATTCTCATGTTAGAGAGAAAAGAAAATATAAAAAATTTACCTTGACCCAAGACTCCAAACTCTTTCCATACTTTGCCTCGAAAGCTTCTTTAATGTCACCCAAATCGATTTCCGAACGTGACACGATGATGCGAATAAGAGTCTTGTCGTTGGTTCCTAAATAATTTTTGTATGCGTAAAATTTGATTAGAACAATGTTTTCATTGCTATGAATATTAGCGTAAACTAGTTAATATGATAAAATACCTAAACCAGCCATTGAATCATAAAGTTTCTCTGCGAAGAAATCAACCTTCGATTTTACGACCTTAGCTATTGCGTAGCAACAAAGAAAAACTGATTAATCCTTCTATTCAATGCATTTCCCTGTCATGAAATCTTACCAATGGCCAAGAAGCCTTTTTCAACATTTCCTGAGAATTCTCTCTTGATTGCTTTTTCAATGTCGTGACCACTCATGGCCTCGTATTCCAAGAAGATTTGACGCAATTGCTGGTATGATTTGGTGACGAGAACTCGATTGAAAACTGACTCGTCAGTTCCCCATTGACCTTCACCAGCTTCAAACAAAGCAGTGGCATCAGCAACAGCAGCACCTTGATCAATTCCGGTGTTTTCTTCGCGGTTTCCTTGAACCAAAGACACTAACAAACGTTTGAAGAAGCCTGAAGTGTCACCTTTCAAGTCACTTTCTAAGCTATTTCCGTAAAGTTGTTCGTAGAATTCAGCAATTGTGCGAATTCCGTAGTTGGACAAAGTGCACAAGATTTCGATAAGTGCTTCTTCGTCTGTGCCCAATCCACTCATTGCATTATGCAATTCCTTAGCGTAGAATTGAGGTAATGGTGTCATCAAAGCCATGATAACATCTTCGAACTTTCCACCCAATTCCGATTTCAAATCGGATGTCAAATCCTTTCCGAAGTTGGTCTTGTAAGCTGATGCAATTTCCAAACGTTGAACGATACCACGACGTGCGATGATTTCGATAATTGCTTTTTCATCTGTGTAATTAAATTTAATTATAGAAAATTTTATTAAAGTAAACAAAAATATCCAATTACCAGTTCCAAAGCCCTTCATGGCTTTACGTAAGACAGCGGCGTCTTCATTAGGATCAAATGGATCAGCTGGGAAAACAGTTGGCTGACACTGAAGTCAAAATAATTTTAACATTAGTTAATAAATTGAAATTCGAATTCATTAAACAGTCAAACATTTGCGTGACACATGTTTAACGTTTTCGCTTTCCAATCGATTTCCCCCCCGACCTATTTCTTTTCATATTTTTTTTTGTTACTACTAAAGCGACCCACAGTAAAAGTCACGAATAAAATTTGATGGAAAGAAGTCTTTCGTCGATAACCTCACCATGATTAAAAAATAAAAAGGAAGAAAAAAATGAGAGAATTCTTTTTATCCACACCCCATTGAACAACTCAATTATTTACACCCTAAAATAACTTTATTAAATTCTTTACCGTTCTTTTACTCATTATTGAAGGATTTTTCTGTCTTTGACGGGATTTTATTTAACACGGATGACTCAGAATCACGCCCAAATTCCAAAAATAGTGAATAAAATCGGTAGGTAATCGCCAATAGACTTTTACTCTCGTAACTCGATGACACCACGTCTCGACTCGACGGCAGACTTTTAATAACAGAAATGAAGCTTTAAACACAAACACGAAGTTCTCCCGAAAAGAAACAACAACATCAGCAATAGCAGTGAGTTGTATTTAATTTGTTTATGGTTGTGGCACCGAAAAAGCACACAAAACGTTTGTAATGTTCATGGTCGATGCCGGCATATATGAGAGAAAAAATCAGCGCAACGCAATATAAAAAAAGAGCGAGAGCGTTCATAGTATTCCGAGAATTTTTCATAACTTTTCGCTTGCTTTGAATGTGTAAAGTTAATGTCGATATTCTTATGTAGCATCACACAGTGAGTATTAGATAGATGGAAGTTAAAAGTCAGGATATGTGTCGTGTCTAAAGCTTATGTTGCCGGATGATGGAATACTTTCAAACATGCGAGAAATGGTTGTGTTTGTTATTGCGCAGAACTTAACTACGATCATTAAAGGTACCACGGTTTATGCCTCATGATTATCTTTTAAAATTCTTCCGGGATTGGTGGAAGCATCAAGGAATTATACAATGACTTGTCAAAGTCGGAAACAATTCCGAATTTATTCCGGCACTGCTTCAAACTATTCTCACGTTTTGCTTCACATCCAAATTCTTTTCTATGGCTTGTCAAGGACTTCTAAATAAGTCTAACTACATTATTAATCATTTCTGCGCATTCTTTATTACAGAAACAGAATAAAGTCATGAAATGTAAAAATGTTCAAGTTTCATTCAGTAATACAATTTTTTGTTCTTTAATCTTGTTACGCGAAGACGAAAAACGAAGATTAGAACAAGAATATAAAAAAATAGGATCACAATACAAACACAAGCAAAATTCAATGCGAGATGAAAAAACAGAGAATTTGCGCAATTTTATTCTCTTCGTTTACGCTTTTTCGACAAAAGAAAGAAAAAAATGTATTCAGCCATAAAACTGGCAAAATACATTGGCAAAATATTACATCATTGTTTTTTTACTTCATTCTCAGTTCTCACTTGTGTGGATTTCATTCTCTAAAGAAAATATTGACCTTGAATGTGTCATGCAAGTAAAGCGAGTTGTTGTCAGGGTGGGAATGGGGCATGGGATCGAGGGAAAGCAATCTTAGATAGTTGAAATGTTGTGAGATTTTAATTAACATCCGGTCTTCACTCATCATCGTTTATCTCATATTTCAATCAATATAGCTTCAAAAAAACATTTTTGCGTAAATAAATATACTCACTTGGAATGGATAGTAAGCTGCTGAACTCATCTTGCGTGGACTTTTCTTAACAAGCACTTAGCTGAAAATGAAGGAGAAAAAAATCAATAGAGTATCGTCTTACGATCGGAAAATAAGAAAATTTATGTTGAGAAGAAAATCTCTGGGGAGATTTCGAAAGAAAAATCTATTTTAGTGTTGGAAAAAGAGAAATTTTTGTCATTTTGAAAGGCCGGCTGTGTTTTTATTACAAGCAGCGATATTTGCTGCTTGAAGTTTGAATTATACGCTGGTATGTCAGATCATCAATTTCCCTTTTGTACACGATTCTAATTTAGAAAATGCTGCATTTGTGTGGATGAGAGAAAAGAGTTGAGTTGAATTGCATTTGTGTGAAATGCGGATGGAAGTTAATGGATTTAAATTGATTCACACAAGAATAATTTTATAATCAAAGTTTCCAAAAAAATCCCTAAAATAAAGATTTTAACGATCGTGGAAATATTTTATGAAGAAATCAAGCGTGTACATTCGTTATAACTTAAGTATAACGAAAAAGCAACAACAACACTAAAGATTTCTTGTTTGCTTGATGAAGAAGCATCATCACTCTTCACTGACTCAAAATATGTGTTGTTGATTATTTATTTATAAATTATTAACGAGTGATCTCACGCAAAGGGAATGTTTTGGTCTCGTGACGATCAACTCATTGCATTTAATTTATGTTTTAATCATTGAACTATGCTGAGTAAAAACTCCGCAAATTATGAATCAATGAAGAATTATTAATAATTGATTTAGCGGCAAATGGAATGTAAGAAGTTAATCGTGATCATAAACCGATGCTTGCATTATTCATCGGAAAAGGTCGTTTGTCTCTGATTAAATCACTGACATCAGCTTGTACCACATAATCAAGGTGAAACACAAATGAAGCAATTAGAAACTCAGTTTACACGATGATATGGATGCTGGTACTGAAACGAATTGTTATGACTCATGGTGGCAGTTGTGACCTCATGAGATAAAAACTTAAACCGTCACACAATTTATTTGCATATTTTCACTTTAATTCGTCATCATACTAAATGAGTCAAGTGCTGATGTAAATCTTTAAACCTTTAAACCTTAAACGTGTCACAAACAAGTTTCTCTTATTTTCTGAGTATTATCAATTGATCACGTCATGGTTGAGTGATCTCATCAAACACAATCACATTTCATTCACAAAACGTCTTTTTGAAATGCAACACTGCACATTATCTTGTCATCAATATTTTTTTATTTATTCATAACCAGTGGAACACTCACACAAATAACACTTGAGCAGTCTTTGGGTGGGTTTGCTGTGTAGTTTGAGATCGACGAATAAGAAGAATAAAACGTCTGTGGGTTGTGTGCAACTCACTTGATGAACTTTAACAGAAGAAATGAAGTTTCTTAAAATATTTTTCACAAACTTATCGCGAGAGTGTGCTTTGCACTCGAATGTAAATTCACGTCTAACGAAGTTTTCGCGATCGAATTAAGCTTTTATATTAAAGTTGCTAAATGTTTGCAACAGCAGACATAATCGCTAAATAGCTTAAAAGCTTTTGAATAAAAAACAAATGATGACTCACCCAATTAACTGTTGAACTAACGGATAAAACTATCTACGTGTGGATTATAATCAAATGAATTTCTGTAGATTTTTCGAGAATTGTCGTTCTTATTTTACATATCTAAATCATCAGTGACATTATAAAAACGATATTTCCAGTTACTTTACATGACAAGTCTCCACATATTTACACAGAACACAAACAAAAGAAAAATGATTCTTGAATGGCGTCGGAATTCTTTAACAGCATTTACTGCTTTCCCATCAACTTTGGATGGGAGGAGGAAAAAATCAATAGTGACTTTATATGGGAGCGTCCAAATGTTTCCCCTTTTAGTTTTACCAATTCACATTAAGTATGCATTCAAGGACATGAAAAATCTATTGATGAAAATTTTTACAGAGTTTTTAAAAAGAATCGACTCAATTGATGATTAGTTCCACAATATAAATAATTTCTATCAAATCTTTTGTTCTACTTTTTATAATTATTCTGGAAACATCGACGCAAACGTGATCGCATATTAGTCATATGTTTGCCAGAAGTTCTTCTAATTTGAAATGCAAAATAATATTCCATATATTTGGACGATGATAAACGCAAATTTGTATCTTTTCTAAAGCAAGTCTTAATGCAAGTTCAAGGCCATAAAATTTTCGCACATGCTTTTAGAAAACGCGTACGATGAGAGATGTAAATTCTTGTAGATCTTCTTCTTTTCTTTCTCGCTGCGCAAATGTAATAGGAAATCTCGCAAATATATTTTTTAACATGCCAACTCTTCAACACTTTAAAGTTACATAATAGCTCTTTTGTTAAAGGTGTGTGACATCCACAGTGCAAAAGAAAAATAGGTTTCTACTTTTTTTTTTCTTTCAAACTTCCAATTTTATCATTCACTGATAACACTTAGAAAGTCTAATAAACTTTTGTTTTCCAACACCGGCAAATATTTACTTGAAAATCATGATTGTTTCTTGTAAATAGATCATCATACTTACTCAAAATATCTTTAAATATATTTTTTCAAACTTGTATACACTTCACAGAGCTTTGAACGATCACGAGTAATTCGAGAGGAGCAAAGAGCGAAACTGAAAATGAATAAAAAAGATGTGATACGATGTCTTGTGTGTGGACTTTCAAATTTGAATTATTCGCTTGAACTCTAAACACACTCCTTTGTTTTTTTTATTTATTTGACAGTTTTTATACACAAGTAAGTAGATAAAAATGGTCATGGAAGAATATAGAATTAGAATATTGTTCATTTGTTTTCTGCAGAATTGTTCTAATTACCATAAAAGGGAAGAACAAAACGACGTTACTTTCTAAATCTTTCATTTTCATCTAAACATACTCCTTCAGTTTTATTCAAAATTTAATAAATAAACAGAAATGCAGGAATTTCAAATTTTAAGATGTTCGGAATGTAAAACATTTCAAGTTGACATAGTTAAAAAGGCGAAAAAATGGACATGCAAGATTTGTCATCAAAAACAGTCTGTCAAGAACATATATTACTCTACATTTAATGGTAATTTTTGTAAATTATTTCGTTTTACAAAATTCGTTTTGTCATGATTTTAATTGATTTTTAGCAAAGGAATGTCGCGAAAAAGTCGATGAAATAAGGTCAAATAACTATTATTTAAAAGCAAATGAGGATGAGATTATTTTACATGAAGTTAATCAGAATGTTGATGATTTTGTATGGGAGCAGTCGAACGAAAGTTCCAAACCAAGCCCATCAAAACTTCCTTCTAAATGGTCCCAACTAATAAATGAATGGAAGGAAGAGAAGAACGAAAATCTAGATAAGAAGAAACATGAAGATGTTAAATTAGAAGATTATTCTAGGAGCTTCAATGATTCAACTAATAAATTATTTTCAGAGAGGTTTCCAACAACTTCGAAACTATCGAACATTTCTAAAGAAATCAAATCGCCTTTGTATTCCCATCCAAAGTCAACGATCCTTCCTAAACTGATTGATCTTCATAAAACACCATCAAAACAAAGTCAACTTTTTGAACCTCCAATCAAGAAAGTAAAGACAAGGGAAGATGATGATTTTGAGCTTTCGCAGGAAGATTTAAATGCCATTGATAGTTTATCTTAAGTTCTTTTATTCATCATTTATAATATGAAAAATTTTAAAAGTTCCATTATAAATACCAGTAATGTTGCATTGAGTATCCTAAATAAAATAAAATTTAAATGAGCCTTTATTATTTTTTAAACATTAAGCGGAGCTTTTGACTCAACACTAAACATAACTATACTCAGTAAAAAGGCACGTGAATTAATATTCACACACACTAATGCATGTTAAAGTATGGATGCGTTGAGAAGTTCTTAAAATTTTGGCAATTGGATCAAGTTTTCTTCTAAAACATTAATTTAGTCCACTTTTATTTCATACATCTAAATAAACTGTTTGTTCATTAATTTGAGTTAATCAAAAACATCAATTTAAGATGGTTTATTGTAAAATAAATCTAGAAAATAATGTAAATGCCGTTTATAAGCCTGGTGATAGATTAAAAGGTAAATTAATCATAATTTTAAAGATAAACATAATGATGAGACTGTTTTGACACTATTCTAGGAACAATTGAATTATTTCTTCAACAACCCATAAAGATCAGAGGTGAGTTATAGTTTAAATAGTTTAAAATTTATTTAGGTAATCATAGAACTTCTATGTTGAATCATCTCAAAATAAATTCCCAAGGTCGTGTGTATTACGTTGATGTATGTGCAAAATCAGTTTTTGTTTAACGCTAATAAATGATATTGTGAAATATAATTTTAGGATTTTACTTTGTGTTGCTTGGAAGAGCCAAATGTCATTGGACTGAAGGACGTGATCATTTTAAAGGAGAAAATTTTTACTTGAATTCAAAAACTTATTTGTTTGGTGGTCCAAACGCCGAAGCTAGAGAAGTTGATAAGGGAACTCATCGGTTTGGGTTTAGTCGTGAACTTCCATCTCTGATTCCTGGAAGTTTTGAAAGCCCCATTGGCTACATAAAATATCATATTGAAGCATTTCTTGATGTTCCTTCGGATATTAATGAAAAATTTCTGTCGCCGTTCAAAGTTGTTCGAAATGATAATCTAAACAATGATCCAAGTTTAAGTCGTGAAGAAACCAAATGGTTTGAACTTAGTTGTGTGGGATCAGAACCACTCCTGATAGATTTAAGTTTGCCTCAGAGTGGTTACATACCAGGAGAAGAAATTACTTTAACAGTAAAAATTGATAATCAAAGTAATTATCTTATGACACGCTGCATTCTTTATCTCAAAAAGATCATCAAATACAAAAGGTACACATTTATGTTTCTGATTAGAACATTACGTATCTAAAATCATTTTTAATTCAAGTGATCGTAAAACAAAAAAAATTGAAATTTTATTAACATCAAAGGAAAGCTCTAAAGGTGTGCCACCGAAATCTTCAGTGGAACTCATAGAATCAGTGATAGTTCCAGAAGGTGTAGAGTTTTCAAACTCAAAATATTGCGACGTTATTCAAATCAGTTACCTTTTAACTTTTGAAGTGATATCTCCATCCGTATCTGGCGACATCAAAATTACATTTCCGTTAACTATTGGTGCAATACCTCTGGCAATTGGAACATTTCAGCCACTGCGTACCCGACATTCTCAACCATCTGTTCCAAGATTAGCAACGATACAAAGAAATAATCAAAATTCAGTTGCTGCAGCTAATCGTTATGAGGATCCTCGTAAGAACTGAAAATTATATCTTCATTATACCTTAACTTAATAATCCCATCATTCCAGCTCCATCTTTCGAAGAAGCTATCAGGAACTGTCCACGTTCTTCGGCTCCATTATATTATGAAGAAGATTTTAGTTAAATGATGATTTTAATTGAGAGAAGTTTCCAACAACTTCGAGACTATCAAACATTTCTAAAGAAACCACATCGCCTTTGTATTCTCATCCAAAGTCAACGATCCTTCCTAAACTGATTGTTCTTCATAAAACACCATCAAAACAAAGTAAACTATTTGAACCTCCAATCAAGAAAGTAAAGACAAGGGAAGATGATGATTTTGAGCTTTCGCAGGAAGATTTAAATGCCATTGATAGTTTATCTTAAGTTCTTTTATTCATCATTTAAAATATGGTAAATTTTAAAAGTTCCATTGTAAATGCCAGTAACGAGCCATGATCTGTAAAGAAGTAAAAATATATTTGATATTACTGATTAAAATAAGAATTTTAATTGTCTTACTCATTTCTTGATAACTCAACAACATTTCCACATCCATCAAGTTTTCCTTCAATCACAGTTTCGCGAATGTTACTGCTTGTTCTAAAGACTTCCAATGTTCCGTTATCCAGAGGGCAAAATATATGTTCCATGTTATTCAGACAAGAAATTTTCTTCTTCATTGGCAGTGGCAACTTTACAACCAATTTCGGTTTCATGAAAGTTTCAGCCACTTCATGAAAGAAAATTTCACCCGATAAATCACAAGAAATTATGTAAGATTTTCCACTATGAGAACTGCTAATGAGTGATGAGATAGAAAATTTGTGAGAATTCAATTCACGAATTATTGGATTAAATTCTCCTTCTTGATGCATTAATTGATTCGATGAGCAATACAACAAAGTTCCATTGAGAAGTCCAACAATAAAATCGTCATCAGCTCCAGGAACTGAGGCTATGCAAGTTATGAGAGGATCTCGAGTATTTCTTGGCTTAATCCTCATAATTTTATCCACAGTTGTATTTTGTTTGCTGACAATTTTGTAGATTAAAATTTTTCCATCATTTTGACAACAAAGAATTTTATTGTCGTTCATAAAAGTTAAAGCTACGAGTGTATCTTCCGAAGATTTAGAAAACAATTCCGCAACTCTTGATTCACTTTCTTTACTCGGTATATTTTGATAGTTCCAAACATACAAATCTCCAGAAGTTGAACCTCCCGCAAACATATCACGATTTTGAGGGTTCGTTACAAGAAATTCTATCGGTTCTTTAACTGGAATTGATGTAAGCTCTTGCCAATATATTTTTGCATCACTTTTACTTCTCTTAGGCTCAAAAATTAAAACAAATGACTTCATTTGATCATCAATATAGACAGAATACGATAAAGCAAGAACTGGCGAATCTAAAGTTGAAACTGAAAGCCAAGTTGCAGTTCCTTTGATGAGACTATCACTTTGATTTCCTTCATGATTGAGATATTTTTTTAACTCAATATCCTGATATTCTTCTATCTTTATAGGCGATACATCAGTGTTGGAATTATTGTTGTAAACTGGTGTTGGACCTTCTTCCAATTCCTTTTCAAGTGCCGGCAAAATTTTCTTCAACCATGCCGCAAGTTTTCTATCTGTCTCCTCATTTGAATTACTTATTATTGTTGGAGTTGCTTGAATCTAAATCAATAAAATCATTGGAATTTATTTATAAATAAAAGTTATTCATTCAAAACTTACACCAACATCTTTTGATTCAACTGTACTCAAAGACTGATCCGAAACTTCTAATCGACTTTCCATTGCTTCTGTCCCAGCATCTTTAACAAGTACCTGTTTATCTTGATCCCATGTGGAATCAAAACCAACGACTTCAGATGAATAGTCAGATAAATTCATTCTAATAAGATTTTTGTTCAAAAATTATATTTCCTTAGTTACGGTTTGTTTACATTTTTCTGATCACTCATTGTTGAACGCACTCGAAAAAATCTGTTAAATTTTCTAATAAGAACTTTTTTCTTCTAAAAGCTACTTAAAAAGCGAAAAAAAAAGAATTAACAAATTGATCTGATTTATTAAAAAGGCACAGTATTTATTTTAACAGGATTTTGTGAATAAATATTTTATAAATATTTATAATATTCAATGCTCGCACAAGGAAAATTCTCTTTCATAATAATATTCCTGGTATTCGTCACGTCTATATTTACGTTCAAACATGAGCTTTTCCCTATTTTCTTCAGCTCGTCTTCTAGTAAATGTCCTTCGTTTGTTCTTGGGGGCCCATGCATCTACATCATCCCATCCAGGCTGTTGCGGCAAAACATTGTGTGTTGATACTATTTTTGTATAAGGATCAACGAGAAAGAATACCAAAATTTTCCGATATCCTGGCTTAGTTTCATCAATCAACTCAAAAGGAGTTACGACATGTTGATAAACATTTGGAAAAACAATACAACGATCTTGTTTAGTTATCAAATGTCCTATAACTTGATTCAATGGTTCCCTATTTTTGAATCCATAAATAACTTCAACTCCACGATGATCATCTTGCGAATAATTTGGTGCTCCAACTGATATACGAAAAGAAAGTTTTGATTCTGTAATGTTGTCAACATCATAATAATAAATTCCTGTCGCAACAATTCTCTCTTCATCGATTCCTTCAACATGCCAAGTTCCACCAGGATATTTCGGTTTTTCTGGAGTAAGTTTTATGTAGGATAATTTCACAATAATTTGTAATTTTTCACCATTTAGATCAATAAATTTCTCAGGAGGTATAGGAATTTCAAATTTAGGAACAGGTACTGGTAAAATTGGTCGATTTTTTATATATTCTCTGTAGCTTTTGTAATCTGAATTAGAAGTATCTTCAGGGTGGTACCATGACCAACCTTTGAGGTCAATTCTCAACCCTCGAGGATTAGCAACATCAGTAAGTGATCGATTGAACATCGGAATAAATCTTCTTAAAATCTCACCAATGAAATCATAAAGCTTGTTGTGTGTAAAAGGATGAAGATTATTGATATAAGAATCAAATGAAATTGTTGTATCATCTTTGAATGAGATTTCAGCTGGCATCCATCTGTATTTGGCTTCTGGACGGTACGTGGGAACATATTTCCAATTCCTGTCTTTCATTTTTGGATTTTCGATACTTGATAACACAGTCGGATTAATTGTTTTCCGGTTGATCAATAAACTCATATCTTCAACATAACAGTAAAGTGATGGATGAACCAAATCAATTACTTGATTGTCGCTTCCGGGATGATAATCAATCTCTTCGTCTGGAATATTTTCTAATGTTTCAGAAACAAGTTTTTTGAATTCATAAGAGAAAGCATCGTCAATAAGATTATCTGCTTGCCATGATCCATCAACTGGTCCTGGTTCAATAGAACCATCTTTCAAGGTCGCATAATACTTTACTTCTTCAATGACGTAATCTATTGCGTCGACATCATATCCATGCTCTTCTGCTTCTTTCCTCCATTTCGAAACTATTTCATTTTTTAATACCTTTTTATGCCAGTTATGTTTGGAACGTATGCGTTGACTCAAATCTAACATCTTTAGTTCTTGCATGCATCTGGGGTAATAATTTTGGTATGGACAATACAATTCAATATCTTCCGGTAACATTTTGTTATTTCTTGCAATTTTTTGTGCATTTATCATGTGACTAATGGATGTATGAAGTTTAAGAGACAATATATCTCTCAAATTTTTTTTCAAAATGGTAATTTTTCTCGCTCTTAATCTTTTGTACTATCTAAAGCATTCTCAACAATTTATTTCACAATATTTCGAGATTTTTCTCTTCGTCGCCAATGTTTACGCCTTGCCGTCTCGAAGTATACTGAAGTGTCATTGATGCGTTGACGAGTAATCATGTTCTGCGCCCCTCTGGATCCAGCCACTGCAAGTACCAGTTAGCCACTGAAGTTCAAGTGTAAGTTTTTACAAAATTTTGAAATCAATGTTTTATCGCTTGTGTTTGTTTACATTTTTCTGAGCGTTCAGTGTTTTGTTCTTTAAAGTTGTACTAAACGCATTCGAGAAAAAATTTCTGAAAGAACTTTTATAAACGCACTCAATTTGAAATTCTTCTATCGTAGCGGAAACATTTTTCATAAGTTAGTTTGATACGACAGTAGATAAATAAAAGTGTTGAACTATAACAAAATGTCAAGCGCCGAAACTCAACAGCAAGGCGGTCAACCGCATCTACAAAAACAAGACTTAGCAACGTTGGTGAGTGAAAATTATGTGTATTCTTAAAATTCTTATGGCTTGGCTTTATTTTCCTACAAAACTGATAAGTCTACCATATTTTTCTACATTGTTGCAAGTAGAATCTGAAAGTAAATTAAAAATTTAAAACAACTATACAGAAAGAGTTTTAGTTTCTGTTAGAATTAATGTTTAGTCCACGCATGCAATATTTATGATTATTGAGAAATTTAATAACCTCCAAAATATAAAAAAAAGTGTTAAAAATGGATGCAAGGATAAATCTGTGAATCTCTATTAACGCCTGAATTTTTTCTTGTAGGATATTAATAAATTGACTCCTCAATCACCAGAAGTGATATCACGACAAGCTACAATTAATATCGGCACAATCGGTCATGTCGCTCATGGAAAGTCAACAGTGGTGAAAGCAATTTCGAGCGTTCATACAGTTCGCTTTAAAAATGAATTAGAAAGAAATATCACGATCAAACTCGGTAAGTTAAGATTCAGAATTCTCTTTATTTTCCTTATTATTTCGAAACATAATTTCTGTTTTCTTGTTTGAGTAAGTAACAATTATTGTTTTGATGGTTAATTGGTTTAAAGTTATTTACATTTACTTACTAAGTATGGTGTCCTAGCAGTACACATTCAAACACTTAACTTGCAATAGATTTAAGATCAATTCACATACACAAAACAAATTCTTTTGAAACTCATGCTGTTCAGGTCATCAAAACCTGTCATCAGAAAGAGATTCATTCCATAGTAACTGCAATAGTTTATCATCCTCAATGAAGCTGGGAAAAAAAGCTCTTTGGAAGAAGTTCCTTTTGTTTCTTCCAGAGAATAAACTATGAAGGCAGAAACTATGTTGATGAAATATGGGATTTTCCTTGTCTTGTTCGAGGTTTGTTATTTGAGTCCAAAAATTTACAGATGACACATCTGAAGGTATTGAAATGGATTATCTGCGTCCAGTCATCGTAGTGCCTAGATTGACTGAGAAACAAATTTATAGTTTGACAAAAGATTATGATCGCAAGCGAAATATCAAAAAATTAATGAAGGAACTGAATGGAGGATCTCAAAAGCTCAGTGAATCAAAAATTACATCAATTCGTGAATTTCTTGGATGTAAACGAGGAGACTTGGATGATCCAATCTTGAAACAAAAATTGTCAACTTTTAAACTGGAATATTCGAGGAATGCTGACATTGGGCGCGATTTTGATGCATCAAGTAGTTCAGAAAGCTGTTTAAATGAAAGTTCTCGACCGAAAAGAAAAGTGCAAGCACCAGTCAAATTATCGTTGCAATTGAATCCACCTAAAAAAAGGTTCAAGAAAGAAATTCCTGAAATTGTCAATTTTAATCAAGAGTACGAAGTTGAAGTAATTTGTGGAGTTGTTGTTAGAACCAATCGTTCATTTGACATTTCGTCACACATTTTGTTTGAAGTGAAATGGAAAAATTACTCTCCAAGACAAAATACTTGGGAACCTTACAAGAACGTTAAAGATTGTGAAGCACTGGATGTGTTTATGAAGTTTGAAATGCGAGGGAGGGAAAAAGAGATTGAGAACGATATGAATGACATATTTCAAGAGATTCAAGCAGAGATTGAAAATTATGGGAAGAAACCAAAGCCGGTCATCAATGCAAAATTGAAGACATTTAATTCGTTGCAGTTTGATTACTTAAAAGTCATTTACTTGTTGGTGAAAAAGGAAATGTCGTATTATCCTGGATTTATTGGAAAATTCCGTGAACACTTCATCTTGAATCATTTTTACGAACTTAACAAAAATCAACGTGAAACGCACATGAAGATGGAGGAAGAAATCATGGAAAAAGAAAGAAAATTGTTCTCAGTTTCAATTGTAAATGATGTTGATTTCTCTACCATTCAACCTTTTGAATATATCAGTGAGAATATTTTACCGAATGGCCTTTCCGAAGAAATTTCCGAGACAAATATTGGATGCAGTTGTGAAAATGGATGTTCACGTGAGTCAAAATGTTGTCCATCGTTGATAAATTCAAGGTTTTGCTACAAATTTGAAAGAGGACGAAAGCGATTGCGTGACATTCAATATCAAATAATCTATGAATGTAATGAGAAATGCAGTTGTGATGAAAATTGTTTGAATCGCGTCACTCAACAACCTCGTCAATTTCCATTGCAAATTTTTAAGACGGAGCAATGTGGATGGGGTTTGAAGACTCTCGTGAGCATTCCAAAGAACACTTATTTGATGGAATATACTGGAGAAATCATCGATCAACAAGAAGTGAATTCTCGAGAAGAGAAGTATGATGAAATCGGAAAAACTTATCTCTTTGACTTGGATTATGATGACGATGATAATGCCACTTACACAATCGATGCATCCACGTGTGGCAACATATCTCGACTCATCAATCACAGCTGTGAACCAAATTGCCAGATTTGGCCTGTAACAAAGCACAAGCAAAATCCGCCATCATTATATCGACTTTGCTTCTTTACATCACGATTCATTAGAGCAAATGAAGAATTGACGTTTGATTATAATGGTCGATCTGAACTGATTGTTGACATAAAAATGGAGAAGCATGAAGACGCCAATGAGAATATTGAAATATCTGGAAACACAACCGTACAATGTCATAAGACAAAAAGTATTTGCATGTGCAAGAGTTCATCATGTCGTGGATTTATTTTCCAATAAATATTTTAAATAAATTTTTAAGGAAAACAAAATACGCTTTTAACAGAAATTATACGCTTATTAAATGATACAAGTTTTGATTATTTTAAAATTCAATTTTTCTCATTTTCTTTTCTTTTTTGACTTAAGTTTGTTGTTATAAAATTTGTTCTAAGAAGGCGCAATAAATCGAATTGGAAATTGTTTACTACTTTTATATCTTTAATCATTTGAATGAAATTTGCAATAAAAATAAGCATGAAATAATTAACTTATAAGTTTTTTCATTTCTTTTCATTTCTCATCAGGATATGCCAATGCGAAAATTTACAAATGTGACAATCCAAAATGTCCACGTCCAGTTTGCTATACATCTGGTGGATCTGGAAAGGATGATCATTTTCCATGTTACCGACCATCATGTACTGGTCGTTTCCAATTGATTCGTCATGTCAGCTTTGTTGATTGTCCTGGACACGATATTCTTATGGCTACGATGTTGAACGGTGCTGCTGTCATGGACGCAGCATTGCTTTTGATTGCAGGTAAGATAAACATTGAACGTGCATTTGAAAGAAAGTTTAATTAAAATATCTTTAAAATAGGCAACGAGTCATGCCCACAACCACAGACAAGCGAACATTTGGCAGCCATCGAAATTATGAAGCTTAAGCACATCCTAATTTTGCAAAATAAAATAGATTTGGTGAAGGAAAGTCAAGCAAAGGAACAACATGAACAGATTGTTAAATTCGTTAAAGGAACTGTAGCCGACGGTGCTCCGATTATCCCAATTTCAGCTCAATTGAAATATAACATTGAAGTTTTGTGCGAATACATCACCAAGAAGATTCCAATTCCAACAAGAAATTTCACAGATCCACCTCGTCTGATTGTCATTCGTTCATTCGATGTCAACAAGCCTGGATGTGAGGTGAATGACCTGAAAGGTGGAGTCGCTGGTGGCTCCATCTTGCGTGGTGTTCTTAAAGTTGGACAAGAAATTGAAGTTCGTCCTGGACTGGTCAGCAAAGATTCCGAAGGAAAACTTACTTGTCGTCCAATCTTCTCAAAGATTGTCTCACTTTATGCTGAACAGAATGAATTGCAATTCGCTGTCCCTGGTGGACTCATTGGTGTCGGCACGAAGATTGAGCCAACTTTATGTCGTGCTGATCGTTTAGTGGGTCAAGTGCTTGGTGCTGTTGGAGCATTGCCAGAAATCTTTGTCGAGCTAGAAATTTCATATTATTTGTTGAAACGTTTGCTGGGTGTTCGTACCGAAGGTGACAAGAAAGCTGCAAAGGTTCAAAAGCTATCAAGAGGTGAAGTGTTATTGGTAAATATTGGATCATTGAGTACTGGTGGACGAGTTGTTGCAACAAAAGTGGATTTAGCTAAGATTGCATTGACGAGTCCCGTTTGCACGGAAGTTGGCGAAAAAATTGCATTGAGTCGGCGTGTAGAGAAACATTGGCGGTAAGTCAAATTTTGTTTTAAATTTTATTTAATTTATTTCTTAATTTAATTTATTAATCAACAGATTAATTGGCTGGGGACAAATTCGAGGTGGTACCGTTCATTCGATTAAATAAAAAAACGAATCTTAAATTGAAAGACACCAAGAGAAGACAAAGCCAAGCCTCCCAATTCAACGCAAACCTAGAAACGTTAACTGATCAACTTCGGATTTGAGCGCATTATTTAATCATTGTTTTTTATATATAAATAATTCCACAAATCGGTGGAAAAAATGAAATTTAGGATGAATAAAATTTACTATCAAATTTTCTGTGGAAGAAAGAATTTGAGAATTTTGTATTTTTATTGCTGAAATGTTTTCAATTAATTTAAATGCGCACTATCCGAGGATTCAAGTTCTTCACAAAACTGCGCACAATATGACGAAACTTCACTCACTTTCTTTTAATTTTAAATCAATTATTTTTATTTCCAGCTTTTTTGCGTTTATTTTACTACAATGATCTCACAGGATGCAAATTTCAATGCTTTGTTTAATTTTTATTCTGTCTCTGAATCGAAGAAATTTCACTTTTAATTGGAATTTTAAGCGAAGGGTTTGAGAGATGATTTAAACGGGAACTGAAATCAAATCTGTGTATTTCTTGACTTTACTAGCGACGCTCATGTCAATATATTTGTCACCAATTGAAACAACCATGCCACCGATGATTGATGGGTCAACTTTAGCTGTGAGTTGAATGATCTCGTTTGGTTTGATAAATTTCTAAAAGAAAATTTAACGTTTTGAATATTTGAAGTTTGATTAAAAGAATTAACTCACTTTCAATTGTGCTTCCAACTCTTTACGTTGAGCACCGTCAAGTGGCTTGGCAGTGATGACTTCACACACAATTTCACCTCGGTTTGCAGCCATAATGAGCCTGAAAGCATTGATAACAGCATCTAACTTCATCAAACGTCCATTTTCAGCAAGTTGTTCCAATAAGAAGCCAGTAGCAGGATTGAATTTGACTTGAGCTGCAACTTTATTCAAAGCATCTGCTTTCAAACTTCTCTTAATTGTTGGATTGATAATGAAGTCACGCAACTTTGGATCTTGCTTCATGGAACTTTGGAATTTCACCAAATCCTTCTCTACTGCTTCAAGAGACTTTTGTTTTGATGCAGCTGAGAAAAGTGCTGTTGCATAGCGGCCTTCGATGCCAAAAACTTGAATAGGTGGCTTAATCATTTGTTGAACAGCAGACGTTGAGCTGATGTTACGAGTCTAAAAATGATAGAATCCAATTAATATAACACCAACTGTTAATTGTCATCGTTTATATCTCATCATTCAATATTAAAAAATAATTCAGTTGCATAACATTTGTTAAAAAATATTATAACCACCGCAAATGTCTTTACCAAGCAAACTCATTAAAAAGTAAGTGTTCCATATTTTATTTACTTTCAATATCATGCCAGTATACACACAATGGTGATGATACATACCAAAAGTCCCAATTTATTAGCACAGGCCATTTTTTACAAATTATTTTTCGTTCGATTTTTCTGAAAAATATCTCAAGACCCTTAGACTGAATGCACTCATAAACGGGGTGTTAAAGTAATTAGAGAATGAGGATGTTTAGAAAGATTCAAATTTGAGAGGGTGTTTAGAAAAATTTAAGCTTTGTTTTGGTCTGCAGGTGTAATCAGACGCACATTAAAACATTTTAATATTCCGCTGAAAGTAAAGGTAAAAACTATAATCAATCTGTTTGAACTTAAGTTGTAGATGATATTCAACCCATTTAATCAAATAACAACTTTACAGCGGTACATTTGACATTAAAAACAATAAAAGTTTCGTTGAAAAAATGGCATCATCTGAACCCATCGCTAAAAAGCAAAAAATTGAAACAGAAGAATCACTTCTTGAAGAGATTGATTCATGTCAAAATGAAATCGATGCGCTTAACGAACAAGCAAGTGAAGAGATTCTAAAGATTGAGCAGAAATACAACAAATTACGAAAGCCATTCTTCGAAAAGCGATCTAGTATAATATCAAAGGTAAAAACTGAAATTGAATGAACTATTAGAATCATTTACTAAAGGAAATGTTTGATTTATTAGGTTGAGAAGTTTTGGGTCACTACATTCATTAACCATCCAAGAATTTCAAGGTAAATATTTTCCTGAATACTCAGAGGTTATTTTAATCTGATATCCTTGCTTTTGTTTATATGAATTTTAGCATCTTACAAGATCAAGAAGAAGATTGCCTCCATTACATGACAAAATTGCATGTGGAAGATTTTGATGATGTTAAAACTGGTTATCGCATCTCATTCCATTTCAAAGAGAATCCTTACTTTGAGAATGACGTATTGACGAAGGAATTTCATCTTGCAGCTGAGAACCAATCGGCAACTGATTTTAATCAAACATCCACATCATCAGCAATCAAATGGAAGGAAGGAAAAGATCTGTTAAAAGAACTCCAGTCAAAACCACAATCGAATAAAAAGCGAGACATGGAGCACAAATCATTTTTCGATTGGTTCTGCGATAATTCCGATCCAGTTAATGACGATCTCGCTGAATTGATAAAAGACGACATTTGGCCGAATCCGTTGCAGTATTTCTTGGTGCCAGACATTGGTGTATACAATGACGAAGAATCAGACGGTGACTCTGAAGGCGACGAAGAAGAAATCAAAGAATCTGGTTCTGAATGTGAAGATTTGGATGAAGAACAGGAAGATGACGATGTTGAATAAGTACAATTGAATAATTATAATCTCAATCAAGAATTAATATTGAATTGCCTCATATATATTTTCATTTCCCGTGAAATTTAATAATTGAAAAATAATTTGAAATCGCGACTTAAAAAAAAGAAAGAAAAAGATTTTTTTTTATCTAAAGTTTAATTTTAATTATCTTTTGTTATCATTTGATTGACTTCAACACTTCTGAAGATGAGAAGAAAATAAACTTCAAAAATGTATAAGAAAATCTTTTAATTCAAAAAGGAATACCTAACAAATCAAACATAAAAAAACGTTTGATTATTTACAAAAGCAAAATTTTCTCAATTCGGGATTTTCGCTATAAATGCAGCGAGCTTGTTCCCCATATTTGTTAACTCGCGATATATCAGAAAGTTTTACACGAAATTCATTTTTAATAAAATCGTAGAGAATACTTGATTCATAAATAGCATTGCTTGGTGATGTTGTAATCTTCACTTGGTACATATCGTTAGTGACTTTGGTATCAGCTGACAAATCGGCAAGAAAGCCGTCAGTATCTTTGTTTGTTTTAAATCTAAGGAGATTCTTCTGTGGAATGAGTTTCCCCGACCAATTAATTTCTCCGAGTTGAAGTTCATGACAGACGTCACGATAGTCTGATGTGAATTTATTTATTGAGTCGACGACTGCTTTTGCAGCTCTGAGAACCTCTTCCGATGTTGAGTCATTTAAAGGTTGCCATGACAAACATGAACACCAATGAGGCTCAATAAAAGCATCTGCACATGAACGATGTTCAGGAATTCGATTAAATAATGAGATTGCTCGATTGTGATTAGATCTTATAATGTTTCCACGAAGTTGAACATTCAAAATATCTTGAAGAGTTTCATGAATATCAAAAGGCGTTGTTAAGCGATCAACATTAGATTGAAAGTTTCTATATTGCGACGAGTATTTTCTTTTGAACCATTCAGGAAACACGAAAGAGAAAAACGGCAGTCTTTCCTCCAATTTCCCTTGCAATGTGTTTCGTATTTCTGCAAATCTATTTCCATGATCTGACATCATGATGAGAATTGTGTTGTTAAGAATACCTGATGATTTCATGTCTTTCAACCAATGTTCAACATCATCATCAGCAACACTTATCAAATCTGAAGATAAATAAAATTGAATTAATTTATGTAGAATATTATTAAATAGATATAAAACATTTTTACTTATTGAGTCATGAGATAATTCAGCGTGGAAGCTAAAGATGAAACTGGGATTCGTGTTGTTATATTTCTCTAGAAAATCTTTGGTGTAGTCTAACATGATTTGGTGTCGCGTCTTCTCTCCAATACAAAGTTTTTTATAAGATTTCAACTTGTTTTGAACAGCTTGATAATAAGTCCGCATATAATGGTCTGTAGGTTGTTTATCGAAACCATTTAATCGATAACTGAATGTGCCAATATCCGGTTTATCTTCATTAAAAGCAGTTACATAGCCTGCATCTCTATATTGATTCCAAATCATCGGATAAACATTGACATGAGTGGAAAGAAATTTTCGTTTGCGTGTTTCAGGTAATTCAAGTTCAGTGAAACCTGTTAGCAATGGAATTAATGCTTGTGGTGTCCCATCGCCAATAATATTGTATCCTTTGAGAACATCGGCATTTAAAACTTTCGTAAGATATTCGTAGGATTTCGGTAACGTTCTGATAAAAGCATTTCGACTGAGCGAATCAAAGCCAAACATTAAAACATTGACACCCTTAAGTTCCTTTCTTCGTTTGAGAATTTCGACATCTTTTCTTATGCCAATAAGTATTCCAGACCATTTACTACCATCACTAGCTTTACATTTAGCTTCGACGAAATCAGAATTCTGTAATAAATAACGATTTGTTGAGCGTGTTGTTGAACCATATTCGAATTGGTAATCGTCTTTTCTGATAATATCTGTGAACTCGCAAGAAATAAATCCGCCCTTGGCTTCAATTATTCGTTTTTTAATCGCGCACAATGATATTGAACAGACTACCCAATCTTCTTCAGTTCCACAGTCAAGTAAAGGCTCATTTTTTATGAATTTCATCATCTCAGGTGCATCATGCGGTAAAACTGGAACTTTACATTTTCCCTGATTTGCCAGAGAACGAATTGATTCCTCAATTAAAATTCTGTGAATTAGAAAAACAAATATTTAAATTTTTATATTCAGATGATAAGCTTCCTACATAATTAAAAAAATATGAGAGTTATTGACACAAACACAAATAGCAACATAAGAAAGTGTTAATGAAGTGTCTTCCAAAAAGTAAACAACTTCAATAACAACTCATGTAAATATTTTATTTAGATCCGTGTATTGCAGAGTTGGGATTTGACTGACTGACTGACAGACATTGACTTGTCAGTCTGTCAGTCAAAAGACTTGAGCGGAACATTTATATGAACGTGTCCCAACAAACGAATATTTTTGTTCGCGATTTTGACTGACTGACTGACTGACTGACTGACAGACATTGACATGTCAGTCAGTCAGTCAATCGAGTTGAACGGAACATTTGCCCATCTCTGGTGTATTGTAGAAACCAGAAAATTATTTTTTAATAATATTAGAATACAAGAAAAAAAATAATTAAATCTAGTAGAATAAAAGCATATAAATTACATATTAATTAAAAAATCTTTGGCTAATATCTTAGTGCATAAGAACCGAATAAAATAATTAAAATTAGTAGATAATTAAAGTGTTTTTCGACAAAATTAAGTGAAACAAAAGATAGAATTCACGAAATATTATCGCTGTGCAGCATCTTATTGTTGTCGCATGACAATAGAGAAAAATAAAGTAGTCATATACTTCTGTTCAACAACGGTGCCATCTATTGATAAGAATCCCCACGTTGCAATAAGGTTGTTCAGAGGAACAGCCGAAGGCGATCGCCGTGTGAGTACTTTTAAAAAAGATCAAGGAATTTCGTTCTGGCCATCGTGTCGTTTTTTTATCTTTTCAGACAATTTCGCTTAAATCGACTTGTGGGGGGTTGATGCGAAATAATTTAAGTAATACTTGTGATCTGAGCGACATCAAGTTATTGAATCATGGCAGCAACAGGATTATGTGGATTAAAATGTGAACGCGAATTAATAGAGAGTGAAGCTTTAAAATGCGAAAACTGTAAAATAATGTTTCACTACGACTGCATGAAGATCCAAAAGATTTTATGTACCAGCTGGAATAAATGGAAATCTCCAAACCTCCAATTTAAATGTGATAAATGTATTGACGACGATGCGAATATTAAGAATGTCCTTAATAGAATACTTCAACATCTAAATTACAATGAGAAGAAAAATATTGAACGACACAATTTATTAGTGGAAAAATTCGAAATTATGGAAAAAAAAATGCAAAATAACGTTGACGAATCTGTTGAAAAAATTGTGAAAGCTGACGAAAAAAAAATAGCAGAAATGAATGACGGTTGGTCCAAGGTAGTGAGTGGAAAGACGAAGAAGACTAAAGCACCAAACCTTCGTGAACCTGTGATAATAATCTCCCCAAATGACGAAAGCCAAGAAATGAATAAAACTGAAGCATCTTTAAAGTGCATTGAACCATCTGATTTTTCAGTAAGAGGATTATCCAAAGGAGCTAAAAATAGTGTAATTATCCGTGTAGAAAATGAAAATGATTGCGACAATTTGATGAAGGAAGCAACAGTGAAATTAGGTGATAAATATAACATTCGAAAACCTGCTAAACGTTTCCCACGATTCAAAATATTGGAAGTTTTCCAACCTGAAGATGACAATGAAAAATTTATTAAGAAATTAATTAATCAAAATTCACACTTAAAAGATGACAAATTCCAATTTGAAGTTATAAAAAGGGAGCAGAATAAATCTAAAGGTGAACTCATCAAGGACACATTTAACATTGTAATACAGACAAATGGTGAAGCATTTAAGGAAGTTATGAAGCATAAGAGAATATATGTTCGATATAAAGGTTGTAAAGTTGTGGATAATATTTATGTTCGTAGATGTTACAATTGTTTTGGATTTAACCACATCGCAAGCGAATGCACATCAAAACTCGCGTGTTCCAACTGTAGTGAAAATCATTTAAAGAAGGATTGTAGAGAAACCCTCGTCAGATGTGTTAATTGTGTGAAAGTAAACAACAAGTACAAATTGAATTTGCCAGTAAATCATAATGCATGGGCGACTGAATGTTCTGTTTATCAAAGAAAATTGAACAAGAGTAAGCGGGCAATTGACTACATTGAATAGCAACAACAGAGATACGATATCATATACACAAATGCGCAAAGTTTAAATGCAAACATCACTCATTTTCAGCAACTTTGTTCAGAGAAGAATCCAGCCTTATTAATGTTAAGTGAAACACATGTAAATGATTTTTATTCATCAGAATTAGAGATTAACGGATATAATTTCATAAGTTGTGACTCCGATAGCTCACATACTGGCGGAGTAATTATGTATGTTCGAAATGATTTATGTTTCAACATACTAAAAAATTTCCAGAAAAGTCGAACGTGGATATTATCTGTAAAGATAAGTGAAAGCCTTATAAATGGAATTTATACTGTCATCTATAAATCCCCGAAAGAAAAAATCGGTGACTTCCTCGAAATTATTGACGAGTTCTTGGAACAAACTATTGATGACGACACCAGAAATGTAATTGTTGGTGATATGAACATAGATGTAAGCAAAAATAATAAGAACGTGAAACGATACTTATCAATGATTCAAGATCATAATTTAAAGCAAATTGTCGACGAATTCACCAGAATCCAAGTCCGTAGAAGTAAACATGAACAACATCAAATCTCTAAGACAACAATCGATCACATTTTGACGAACAGCAACGATATAGAGTATGCTGTAAACAGAAGCGAAGCTGTAACTGATCATTTTATGCTGCAAATAAATCTCAACGACAAAAAGTGTGTACAAAAAAAAAAGAAAATACAAGAAAAAGTTATTAAAAACTGCTGGAAAAATTATTCAAGATCAAGTTTACATGAAGCTATAGAAAATATCGATTGGAATGAGTGTAATAGTCAGTGTTATGATAAAAAATTTAGTGCTTTTGTGGAAGATTTTAAATGTTCAATAAACAAAATCGTAGTGAAAAAAAATATTTATAAAAGTAAAAATGAATGGTTCAATGAGTCGATAAAAAAATTAAAAAAAGAAAAACAATACCTGACAATGAAGCACGAATTCTCTGGAAGCGAAAATGATAGAATTGCTCTCATGAAAATTATTAAAAAATATAAAGAAGAAATAAAAATTCAAAAGTGCAAAGTAATCCAAGAAAAAATTAAAAACAACTTCAGTGATAATAGAAAACTGTGGAAAATATTAAAATCATTATACAATGAGAAAAAAAGTGAAATTAATTCAATCGAATTAAACGGTGCGCTCATGAGTGATTCATCTGAAATAGCTGCAACCTTGAACAAGTTTTTTATTGAAAGCGTTGAGAAAATCGTCGAAAATATCCCAAAATCGAAGAAAAATAATTATAATGAAAAAATAAAAGAATCGAAAGTGAAATTTTCATTAAGAAAAATAGATGAAATAGAACTGAGAAATATTATTGAGATTTTAAAAGAGAAAACATTTTATGACAATATTAATGGAAAAGTTATACGCGATGCTATTTCTGATGAATCATTCGCCACCAAGCTTCTTTATTTAGTAAATGAGTCCATCACAACGAGTACAGTTCCTGCATGCTTGAAGACATCAGTTATAACACCGATTCCAAAAGTTGTAAATGCAAAGAATCCAGAAGACTTTCGCCCAATTAATAACCTTCCGGTTATTGAAAAAATAATTGAAACAATTGTTAACGACCAGCTACGAGAGTTCTTGGAAGATAACAACATTCTTAGCATACAACAATCTGGGTTTCGCCCAAGACACTCAACTGAAACTGCAGTGAATGATATCTTAGCGAATTGGATGGAAGATTACGAAGAAAACAAGGAAATCGTTTCTGTGTTTCTTGATTTCAAGAGAGCATTCGAGACGATTGATCGTGAGATTTTGCTGGAAAAGATGAAGAAATACGGCATCGATGACAACGCATTAAAATGGTTTAGAAGTTACCTGAACGAACGAAAACAAACAACAAATATTAATGGAACTTTCTCATCTGAACATGAAGTAAATGTTGGTCTTCCCCAAGGATCGAAATTATCAAATCTGCTGTTTATTCTCTACATTAATGACTTACCATTGAACCTGAACGCAGCAAAAGTGAGTTTATACGCTGACGATACAATGCTATCCATATCGAGGACATCAAATGAAGAAGCAGTTGATTTAATGAATAATGAACTGGATGCAGTATCAGATTGGCTGAGATTCAATCGCTTAGCATTAAATGTGAAGAAGACACAGTGCATGATGATCGGAAAAGGAAAAAAGGTTGATGACAAACACATATCAATAGATGAAGAAATAATTGAAACAACAGCAAAGGTGAAATATCTTGGAGTTATTTTGGACGAAAAACTTTCATTCAGACAGCACCATGACTACATCACTAAAAAAATAAAAAAGAAATTAGGTCTGCTTCGACGAATTCAAAATAAAATGACGAGAGAAAGCAAAATTATATTTTTAAAATCTTTGGTGATGCCTCACATCGATTATTGCTCAACAATTCTCTTCACAATGGATGATAATCGAATCAAAGAAATTCAGAAACTGCAGAATAAATTCATGAGGATAATTTTGAAAGCAAAATATGACACAAGTTCGAGAGTTATGTTAGACGAATTGGAGATGCCATCAGTGATTGAAAGAATAAAATCGAATACATTAATATTTTTTAATAAACTAATGAGAGGTCTGCTTCCAAAATAGGGTTGTCAAGTCATGCCTGACGACATGCCATGTCG